TGCTGGCACGAGATATCCACAGCAATCAGCCTAGCCCAGATGAAGACCATGACGGGCTTGAGCTCTGTTGCGGCGGACTGCAGCAATTTCAAAACATATGGGAAAATTCCGATGCTTAGAGCCAGCTGTACCGACCATGGCCCCAAGTCAAGGAACCTGCCGAGTAATATCAAAGCCCTTACCCTGTGCTGCTGGCTCAGAAGTACCTGAAGAACGACAGGCAGTTGATCGGGGGGCTTTTGGGCCACGGCGTCGCCCCTGGTGAGGTAGACATCAAAAGCAGTCAGCTGCTCGGTAAAGAAGGTTGAATTTTGATATTCATAGTCGATGCCTTCGTTCTCTTTCCTCTCCAGTAATGGCAACTGCGCCAACGCCATGTCTACAGCCAAATCCCATGTTTCCCATAGGGGGTGTTGATGTGTATCTGGCAAAGCAGGGTAAGACTGAGGATGGCACCCATACACCATCATGATTCTTTGCGCAAGGAGGAAGTTGCGAAATAAGGCAGCCACCATGAGATCTTGGCGGAAGAATTTCCTGAACAGATCTCGGGGCAGTGTGGTCCACGCGATACTATCAGTGATGGCGGTGAAAATCCAGTTGAGCTCGCCAAGAGGCGTCCGCCTCTCCTGAAGGCGGCCGGGAAGCTTCTTAGCGCGCTCGGGAGTAAGATTTGTCTTGAGGGGGTTCTGTAGGACGAAGAACCAAAGTGCCATCTCGATCGGGGTGGTCAGGCATGACGTGAAAAGATCTGCCGGGAGCAGCGGGTTTGTAGGGAGGTTTTCCTTGACTGCGCACGCAGCCAAGTGGATATATGGTCTAAAGTTGGTCTTGACGTGATGAGGGTCTCGCAGCGCAGTTTCTTCCTCTTCCTCTTCATGCTTGTCGACGAACCGGTGGTAATTATTCAGGATATTGCCGGCCTCTGAGCAGTCCCACACGAAAATAGTGGGTGCCTGAAGCCATTGCTGCAGGTCGTAGAGCGAAACCGGGATATACTGAGTGTAGGTCTTGTTAAAGACCCAAATCTCGCCTGACGCCGTCGGCTTTGGTACACCATGGCCGTTGTAGTGCAGCAACACGCGCTCTTCCTTGGCGTTCCGACGAAGAGAAATGCAGAATTTCTTGGTCTCCTCGACTGATGGATCCAGATATTGCTTATAACGAGCTCTAATCGCGAGAGTCTCATACTGCGCTTGAAGGGCCTTGCCAATGTTCTCGAGTGCTTTTTGTATGGGAGGGATAGTTGGGTCTGTCCAGGCTTCGAGTTTTGCACCCGGATTGGTTTTGAGCTGGTCGGGAGGCTCGACTCCGATATTCAAACACACCGCGAGGGCTGCAGATACTGTCTTGAGCCTGTCTCTTTGACGCCAATCTTGAAGTTCGTACTGCACCGCCTTGGGTTTGGCGGTAGTCTCATGTCGTTTGTCTGTAAAATACATGTACCAATTCTAGCGTTGAAAGTCAGCAGGGCGTTGGAGAAATCGCACCACCGTGCAAAATCGGCAGAAGCTCGTAAAAACATACATTTGCAAGCTGGGAAATGATGTGTTCTGATTGATAATGGTCTTCAAACCCGTGTCTGGCTCCCCAATCGCGGACCTCGTCCTCTTCGTGGTCCGACTCCTCGATCTGTCGCGGCACATATTCACTCTTGGAGCGATGAAGCGATGGTTTCACCGGTCGAATCGGTCGCTCGGGCTCCAGGCGGATGTCGTCGCTCGCAGTGACGCCATTCTTGCGGCCGGGCGCGCTCAAGGGCCGCCTGTCGTTGGTCTCGTTGGTCTGCGATTCACGGTCGGAGCTGCTAGTCGACTGGACCTTGAACCGAGACGTTTCACCGCCGTTGGAGGCGGAGGCGGCAGATGCGTGTGAGCCATTTGCACCAGATCGCTGCGTCATCTCAGCTGGAAGTCCATGAGCCGCGGCTCGTAACTCGCCTAGTCGCGCGGGCAACGGGGTCAGAAGCGTCTCGGGGGTGTCGACGCGGGGATGTGATTCCTCGGTGAAACTCGCAGGCCGTTGCTGTGGATGGTGCAGCCGGAAAGGCAAAGTTTGGTGCGGTTGAGGCAGAGACATGGCAGTCGTGACGGTCGCGGTCTAAAGTGGAGCAAGGCACGATTATCTAAATCACCATGATGAAACACCCATGCCAATCAGGTGCGAGGCCTGGAGCGATGCCTTCATCTGCGTAGATGCGATGCGACGGGTGATGGACTGGGCAGAAAAGGCGATATAGTGACGGGACTGAATTGAGAAATCACCCAGCCTTGGGCACAGAGTTTTGGTCTGCGGCGGATGGCTTTTGGTCTGATGGCGGCCAGCCCACGCGTACTGTAGGTGGCAGGTATTACGGCCCAGCGCCACGGCCGACGCACAGCTTAGAGCAGCTGGAAGCTGGCCAATGCAAGGCACGCCCGCGGTAGTACAGCCCACACGGCGCCTTTGGGTAATTATTACGACCATCAAGGCGATTATTACTACTGCCCTCACCTAGATCTGGGGGCTGCCGGCCACGTCCAGTGGCTGGAGTTGGAGTGGCTCCAGTGTTTGCTAGTTGAAGCCATCCAGCTTGTGCCGCATCCTACCGCCAGGCAGAAACCCGAGTATGCGCTTTGGGGGGGTCATATGAGGTTGTGAGTCAAAAGCTTATACGCTTGTAGCCGGAGTTTAAATACATTAATATGGCACCAGACGCTTCTGGAAGATAACATGTAGCCCTGGTTTAACATCTGATGTCCAGGACGCTGCAGCTTCCGAGCAGAAACCAATAAACAGCTTTACAGCATACCGCTACTAGATGATAGTTGGGCGCTAGTGATGTCGATGTTTTAGTAATTCGAGAAGGGCGCTAAAAAGCTTAGAAAGCTTCCAGTTGCCGGCATGGCATCATATATAAACGCCGCCATGGCACTGTCTGCGTTGGAATATAATTGATCGCGTCATAGGTAATTTGAGTCGCTATCAGCTCTCGGTATGGATTTGTATATCATGCATGTACGTGTTGCGTCGATAAATGTTTTACCATTCAACGACTTGGAGTTGTCTCATTTCTGTCGTTGGCAAGCACGTGATCCGATCATAGAGTAAGCCCCTTGTTGCCAAACGCCGTCCGTAACGTTGCTGGTTGCGATAGTAGGGAACACGGTTGTGCGCCAAGGAAAAGAAATTTTAGATTGAACAGAAATGATGGTGCTTTAATGAATAGAACCTGAAGGGTTGAGTAATACCTACTAGGACTGACCTATGCATTGATACGGTGGATGTGCTTTTGCATTGTTATAACAGGGCTTAGGATGCGGATCTAGATGCTGCGGGCTGTGCGTATAGCTCCGAGAGCACTTCGTCTATTGACGATGGAGACTTGTGCTCTATCATTGCCAAAAATATCCACCCTCTCTTCAGCTATTAAGACAATACGAGAAGGAAGAGTTTTCAATAAACTGTCTGTCGTGCATATTTCCAGCTCACTTGGTGCCCAGCAAACATCAAATCTCCCCATTCTCTGGAGCATACAGGGTAGGAACAGGAGCATCCATGCCCCTGGCCACAAGCGATCGACGGACGACATTGCCCCTGCTGGTGGGCGGCTCATGAATGTACATTTGCCCAGAGCCGGCTTGCCAAGGGTCCTCGGGCTGAGTTGCCCGGTACCCGGCCTGAAGGATCGCGAAGCCATAAGGAGAGGGAAATGATCAGGAGCGGGACGCCAGTGAGCGATCAACGCCGGAGCTGAGAGCATAGACTTGCAGGACAATGCCCAGCATGAAATTCAACCAAACACCAAACCTAGTAGTGACTTATCCATTAGGTGACCTATAAAAATGGAATGCTACGGCTTCTACTAGCAAAATCGTACAGAATCCTCAAGCCTCATCATGGGGTCCGTCTCGAGCGATACGGCACATGGAGGCACGAGCACTATGAGGTCAGCAGTGGGCTCCTGATCGCGAGCTTCTAGACGAAACGGAGCAAAGCAGAGCATTGGCCCAGGCCGCAAAAAAATTGCCATCAGATTGTTCCTTGCGTCAAGAGCTGGCCCTTCCCGTATTCGACGCTGCAAATGCCTGTCGCTGCCCCTCCAGCCCCTTGATTTCTGGTCAGCTCCACATCGTCGCCATCTCCGACTGCCAGGGCGCTACGGCTGAGGGACCTGGCCACCCGCCGCACCGCAGGGCCACCGCCCGCCGACGCTGGCGCGGCTGCAGGTACCGCTCAGGTCACTGCTGTTAGGAGTCCCCCACAAAGCCATGCCGTGGCACGGCGGTACGTCAGTACCTACAGCAGCTTAGTGCACATTGGCGAGCCTGCAGCCCCTAAAAATGTTCAGTTGAGCGCCCAAGGGCCAGCATTGCCCGCTAATTGGCCCGGCGAGCAGGCCCCAGCACTGTGACAGGAGGCCGAAACGCAGCCCAGCACCGCAGGCAAGCGTCTTTGTCCACCCCGTCCCAACTTCAATCACCAACAGCCGGCGCTGTGGCTTTCTCGTCTGTTCTCTCTCGCCGCAGGCTATTCCCTTCGTTCTCAGCAATTGCGAGCTCGCAGTGCTTTGGTCTCTGCATCTCCATTCCGCGGGTTCGAATAGGGCAGAGCACACGGTTCGTCGCGGGCATTGCTCAGGGCCCTCTTCCTCCTGCCACCCACACCCCCCCCAAATTCGCATCCTCCCCAAAATAGGTGGCCACTGAAATTTCGGCGACACTCCCCCGGATACCTCCCGCAGATGCTTGCCCAGCCATCTCGACACTCGAGCTTCGACCCCCTTCTTTCTTAGCAATTCTTTCTTCAGTCACTCCTTGGGCCTATTCAGCCGTCCGCGTCTTTGTGTGCGTGCGCGCGCAATCCTCTCGTTGCCGTTCGCTCGTTTCATTGGGAACTACTCGCCGTCTACTCGCCATCTACCCACACTCGTTTACGTCTCCGACAACCGCATCGTTCCATAGCCGACCTGCGAATACATCACCGCGCATATTCCGCCAGCGAGCGGCTCGCAGTCCACCATGGCGTTTCTCTTCAAGTCCAAGAAACACCAGGACCGCACGACAACCAGTCGCGACGGCAGCTCAGGCTCCCAGGGGTCCATCCAGAATGCCCCCGGACGCGTGGTGGCCAGAGACGACAAGAACACAGCATTGCAGCGCGCAACGCCCACGGGCAGCCTGCATTCTATCGACAATGACACCAGCACTTCCAGCCCTGATCAGGGCGGCCCAGGCCATGCACGCCGTGCTGGCAGCGTGGATACGCCTCAGACGAGTGATTTGCCAGTGAGTAACGTTGACCTGGAGCTAAATTGAGCTGGCCACTGCATTTCTTGTATCCTTGTGTGTGCATGACATCTAACATGGAGAATCAACAAAAAGTTTCGCAACACTCCTCCCGTGAGCAATTCAAACGCTTCGCTCTACCCATGGTCGCAGCGGCGATTGACCTATACCTCGTCGCATCCGAGCCCGTTCCCACGATATGGCGCCGCCGTCAACGCACTCGCCTCGAAAGAAGGAGATGTTTACTTGATGGGTGGCTTGATTAACAGCTCAACAGTCAAGGGCGACCTTTGGATGATTGAGGCTGGTGGTAGCTTGAATTGCTACCCCTTGGCGACCACCGCTGAAGGCCCGGGGCCTCGTGTTGGCCATGCCAGTTTGTTAGTCGGCAACGCTTTCATCGTGTATGGTGGAGACACCAAAATCGATGACAACGATATCCTGGACGAGACGCTATATCTACTTAATACTTGTGAGTATTTTATTCTGGCGACGAGAGTATCGAGAACGTTTACCAATATCTTTCCCTCCTTGTAGCAACACGGCACTGGTCTCGCGCCTTGCCTGCGGGATCTCGCCCGTCAGGGCGCTACGGCCATTCGCTTGTTATTCTAGGCTCCAAGATATACATCTTCGGTGGTCAGGTCGAAGGTTTTTTTATGAATGACCTCTCTGCCTTTGATCTCAACCAGCTACAGTCGCCAGCCAACCGATGGGAGATTCTTATCAAGGCGGAAGCGAGTCCAAAGATACCTGCTGCACGAACGAATCATTCCATTGTGACATTCAACGACAAGATGTATTTGTATGTTTAACACCCCTGTCCTATCCTGTGGCTGTCTTTCTTAACCACTCTTGCTAGGTTTGGTGGTACCAATGGATTCCAATGGTTTAACGACGTCTGGTGCTACGATCCTGCAGTCAACAAGTGGGCGCAACTGGACTGTATCGGTTATATACCCGCTCCTCGTGAGGGCCACGCTGCCGCTATAGTGGACGATGTCATGTACATTTTCGGCGGAAGAACTGAGGAGGGCACAGATTTGGGCGACCTTGCGGCATTCCGCATCACGCAGCGGAGATGGTATACTTTCCAAAACATGGGTCCCTCTCCCTCGCCTCGGTCTGGGCATAGTATGACAACGGTTGGGAAATCCATTGTAGTGCTTGGCGGAGAGCCTAGCACTGCTTCTCCGTCTACGAACGATCTTGGTATCCTCTATGTACTGGATACGACTAAGATTCGGTATCCCAATGACGCTCCAGGGGGACCTCAAAGAATACCCCAGGCGCGACGCCCCAGCGATGCGTCGAATCCTAATAGGCAATCGCCAATGCGCGATGTGTCCAATGGAGGAGGACCTCCTGATCCTAGAAACGCACTTGGTGGCCCTACTGGCCAGAGAGTCCCTTCAAACGGCATGGAGCCAAACGGTCCGCCAAATCCTGGAGGCCCAAGCTCTCCTCCGCCTGTTGGAGCGCCGCCAAGAGTACCTCCTGGAGGCCCCGGAGGCCCTCCGGGTCCAGGAAACAAAATGCGAGCTGGTTCGACCTCTAGCCCCTCCGGACCGCCGCCACAAGGCCCAACTCCTGCCAAGCCAGGTGACCCATCTGCCATAGGACGAGTTCGAGGCGCCTCTGTTGACCGAGCAATGGCGACCGGCTCACCACAGCTGACTTCTGCTCCATCTCCCATTGCTCGCGAGGCAATCCCCGAGGGCGAAGTGCCCCCACCCACAGGTGTCAACACATCAGCTCCTGTCTCTGTGATGGGTAATCCTGCTAATGGGCGACGAACACCAACTACGCCCACACAAGCTACTAGGTCGGGATCTAAACAAGGCTCTTATGGTGAACCTCCCAGAAATGAGCCTCCTAGGAATGAACCTCCTAGGAATGGGCCTCCCAGAGGCGAACCCCCAAGAGGCGAACCCCCAAGAGGCGAACCCCCTAGAGGCGAACCCCCTAGAGGCGAACCTCCTCGAGGCAAAATGCGCCCAGGAAACTCGTCAGGCTCGATTGATGCTACGGGAGAAGGAATGCAAAGGATGGCACCGAATCGACCAACATCACCCACGCATCTAAGCAAGCCGATAAATACTTCATTAAACCGACGCTCATCCGGCCGAAACTCGCAGACAGTTGCACTTCTAAAAGAGCTTGACTCCGCCCGCAATCGAAATGCGTGGTATGCGTCGGAGCTAGAGCTAGCCAGGAAAGCGGGTTATGTGGCCAACGCATCCATGGGGCCCGCGCTTGACGGAAAAGCCATTGAAACTTTTGACGATGAAGATCGGCCGTTGATCGAGGCACTTCTGGCCATGAGGACGGAACTAGCGAATGTTCAGAACGCTGTGGATAAACAAGCCATTGTTGCTGCCAAGCAGATTGCGGAGGCAGAAAGGCAGCGAGATGTTGCCATTCAAGAAGCCGTCTATGCCAAGGCTAAGTTGGCTGCTCAGAGCGGCGGCAGCCCATCCAGCACCCCTCAGCCCGATGGCGAGCGAGACGACGCTGGCGCTAGATCGGCAGAGATGAGCAAAAAGCTTGCGTCTGCTCTCAACCACCAGAAGAGTCTTCAAACGCAGCTAGAGTCTGCAAAGTCCGAACTTGAAGCCGAGAAAAGGGCCCGAAAGCTTGCTGACGATACATCGGCAGCCGCCCAGAAGCGCATGGTCGAATTGGAGAATTATAAGCAGCAAACGTCTGGCGAGGTCGAGCGTCTGAAAGCAGAGCTTCACTTTTCGCAGCGTGAAGCTCGGGAGCAGTCCGTGGCTAGTGCCGAGGCTGTGGCGTCTTTGGAACTATTAATGGTCGAGAAGAACTCGATTTCAAGGAAGCTTGATGAGATTTCTGATTCATCTAATGGCCGTGAAGAGACGTTTGAATCTCTTAGAGCCGCTATTGAAGCGTCCCAAGATGCTACCGCCCATCTCGAGACAAAACTCGAAGAGGAGAGAACCCAGAGAGAAAAGGTCGAAGGGAAGTTGAGTAAGCTCAAGGCTGAACACGAAGCACGCACAGCAGAGCTGGTTGCCGTGACCCAACGCCTGCGAGATGCCGAAGAGCTTGCCGAGAAACATGCTACTGAAGCACGGACTCACCGAGAGGCTGTGTTGTCTGGACTTCATAAGCTCACATCTAAAGATGAGGCGAACGCGCATAATCCAGATGCTGATCGTGCTCTTGCACTCCAGAACCAGCTGACTGCCGCAAACGCCTTGGTTAAGAAGTACCAGCAGGAAGCTGATGTAGCTGCTGATAGGCTGCGTGGTGCGGAGGAGCGGATTGCCGGCCTCGAGCAGTACCAAGAGCAATCTAGCCGAGAAGGCGTCGGTATTCGACGACAGCTTCAGTCAGCTCTGAGGGAAAGCCAGAGTCTCCAGGCCGCTCATTCAGATATGAAGAACCAACTGGCTGCTCAGCAGCTCGAAACGAATGCCATGACTGTGCAGCATAATGCACTCAAAGACATTCTTGTTGAACGAGGCATTAGCCCCACCGCTGCTGCTAGATCGCGCGGCCTCAATAGCCCGCGGACAGGGACTCCCGAGCAGCAGAACCGCCTGCGAGAGCTTGAGTCTCAGCTGGCCAACATTAGCGCTGCTCATGAAGAGACTAAGCAGACTTTCGCCATGCAGGCCCAAGATTCCGAAACTGCGTATCGTGAGAAGTTATCTCAACTTGAGAGCGATTACCAATCGGCGGTGCACTATGTTAAGGGAACTGAGAAGATGCTGAAGCAGCTCCAGGAGCAACTGACACGCTACAAGACGGAGAATAGCCACTTAAAATCAGAGGTCGAGGGACTTGAGGATAGGCTGCAGGCCGGCTCAGACGAGGCCGGCTCTGCTACTTGGGAGAAGGAGCGTGCCGCTTTTCAGGGCAAGATTTCTGAGTTGGAGGCCGAATTCCGCGGTTCCGCTTCTCAGCTGGAGAAGAACCTTGAAAGCCTCCAGGCTGAATTGCTGGAGAGCAAGCAGCAACGGGACGAGATTAGTGCAAACCTTAGCACACAGCGCAAAGAGCTGGAGCAGTTGCAGTCGGAAAATGTCCTCCTCGAACAACGTGCTTCTGATGCCGAGCAGAAGGTTTCTCTACTCTTGGATCAAGTTGAGCACTCTGTTGATACCTACCGCCGTCGTAGTCGGCACGTTGAGGGGATGGTGCCACCAAATGGACTTGGCCATAGTCGCAACGAAAGCTCAGAGGGAGAAAGCATTTATGGAGAGAGTAACCTTGGCAACCTTGGCAACATTGGCAACATGGGCAACATAGGCAACAGGAATAGTGCTGCACTGGACAACCTCGCAAGCGAGCTGGAGACTCTTCGAAACCACTGGGAAACGACGAACAAGAACTATCGCTTGAGTACCAACTTTGATTTTGACTCTGCAGCCCCCCTTCAGCCGGAAGACGAGACTCCTACCATTGGAATGAGCGAGAATCTCGCTGATTGGAGAAGGCGACTTGATACAGACCACCACCCAGACAACAAACAAAACTGAGCCAACTCTCTCACGTTTTGGATATTGCTATGTTTGTATGACAATCTTTTTCCTGCCTGGCCATTTGATTTTATGCCTCACAAACCTATCCGTGTGTTTGGCTCTCTTCTAATAATCTGACGATTATTGTTGCCATCTGATTATATGGCGTTGTTTAATACATGTCACTGAAATGCCCCCATCCTGTTTACTAGCACACCTACTCTTCTATTCCTATTCTCTCCTTAATACCTTTTTCCCTCCCTCAGCCAAGGTTCGTTCGAATACGGGTGTGGACTTTTCTTGTCACGAAACGATACACACGTTGACGGCCTGTCGCGTACGGCGCATGCGCTTGCTCTCTCCGGGGAGAGATGTGAATCTGTGGTTCTGATTTTTTGTTTTTGCAACGCGATATAAAATTTTTATATACAGTTATCTTGCTTTTCTCTCTCTTCATTTATTGCTCCTTTCTGTCGGTTCTTTTTGTTTGTCTTTTCTTTTCTTTTCATTCCAGGCTGTCTTTGACATTGATGGGGAAAGACGGCACACGGGACTTCGGAGTCCTTTATCTTTTTGTTTGTACAATAATTTGTGGCAGTATACGCGTGATCTTTCTTCTTCTCCTTTTTTACACTTCACGGCTGTCTCTCCAGGAGAAGACATCGTTTCAAAACTTTTTTCCGTCGGAAGGACTGCTTTAAAAAGAGGGGAAGCAACACACAAAAATTTTTGCAAAAAAAAGGGGGAGGAGAGTGGGGGGATGCTTCTTTTCTTTCTACTTCTGTTCTTTTTCTTTTTCTTTTTTGCATGGTTTGGCTTACAGATTTTTTTATAACTATATAATCTAAATGATGAGAGATGAATTGCCTGGCCTTATTATATAAATACATCTGTTTATTTGATCCTTGTGCTCCTGAGAGTTTTTGTCTCCTTTATTATGTATTGTAAGAGAAAACTCAGACCAAAGATCAAGGGCGTAGAGCTTTGTATAGCTTCTATAACTACTAGTTCATCCACAGATCCTTTTATGTACAATTTTGCCTCTCAGACAGGGGAAGTAAAGAAACAAGGACTGCGTGGTTCCGCTCAACGCTCAAGATGCTGCCTGCCTGCTTTTCAAGCTTATAAAAACAAATCATCCGACAACAAGACTCGAGCTCTAGTACCTCTGAATACTACAGATTCTTTTCTTTACGCTGCAGCCGCCATAATGCGCTTCTGAATCTTCAAGCACCGCCTAAAATTGAGCTTGGTCCCATCCTTGGGCATGTGTTCCCCGCTGGCGATGCAAAGCACCCTCATCTTGGGATCGTACCGCAGGCCGGTGAGCAGCTTGGGCGTGATGAGGAAGTACTGGCTCGTGTGCTCGCGGCAGGCGATTTCGACCATGCGCTCGTGGACCATGCGTTCGTTGCGGGGATCCATGCCCTGGTTGATCTCGTCGACGACGCGGAAGGGGGACTGGGCCATGGACTGGAGGGCCATGAGGAAGAAGATGGTGGAGACGGCGCGCTCGCCACCGGATTGGCGATGCGCGTTGAGTTGTTGGAGGGATTCGTTTTCTCTATAAGTTCTATTAGTATTTTCAAATGCGACATATCGCCGGAAAGAGAGCGGGGAAAGACGTACCGGAATTTGACCATGATGTCTAAAGCCCACTGGTCAAAATCTTCAGTTTTATTAACGCGAACTTCACCAGCACAGCTAATCTGCTCAAAGTTGTAGGCGAAAGCGTCGTTGACTTTGGACACTAGAGCATCCAGCTTGGGCTCCCATTTGCCCATCAAATCATCCAGCTGCTGAGTGATGGTGGCAAGCTTGCCGTTTGAAGCGTCCATCTTCTTCGTCAGCTTGGCGATTTCCTGCTCGCGCTTCTCAAACTCCCGAATGACGTTGGGATTGGCTGCATGGATGAGCTCGAGGTTTGCCTGCTCAGCAGATATATCCATCTCAATCTCCGCAGCCAGTTTGTTTTCGGCCAACGAGGTATATGTATCCTTCTTGTCAGGATTCTCGCTGATAAGTTCTCGAACCTTGTCAGATAGCCCGCGACCCAATTCTCGGGCCAGAGTAGCTTCATCGGTGGCTTGCTGCACTACAAGCTTTTCTTGTTCAAGCTTCTCCATAATATCAGAGTTGCGAGCTTTGAGGCCCTCAATATCTGACTTGGCTTCGATAAGTCGTATCTTGGCTTCGATAAGATCGGTATGAGCTTTTCCGATTTGACTGAGAGCCTCCTGGTGGCGTAGAACAAGCTTGGCTCTTTCCACCACTGCTTTATCCCATTCAAATCCGAGCTCCACGATTCTTTCCCGGGCCTCGCGCATGGCCTGCTCATTCGCTTCTTTGTGTCTTTCCTCAGATTCTAACTCAGTTAGTTGAACGATCATAGCCAGTTATAATTGCTCAGGAAAACACCAACCTATCTTTTGGGGGATCATCTGCCATTTGGAAAATTCCCTTTGCAGAGCATTCTTCTCTGTCCTTAGTTGTTCCTTCAATTGTGTTAGCAAAGCGATACCGGCATCCAAAATTGTAAAGTCTATCTTGTCTTACAATTTTCCCTTGTATTTCGGCCTTTTGTTCTTCAAAGGTTCCATTCTTTAGTCTCAACTCCCTGTATTCTACTTTCATTATTTCTGCTTCTCCGGCAACTTCGGTTTGCCGCCTGTTCAACTCAACCTTCTCTTGTGAGTCTACGGGCTGAGAAGTCCAAAATCTTCCAGGTTGTATCCTCTTGGTAATTGTTGTCATGGCACTGGGGCCGTACTCTTTTCGTCGACGAACCAAGTACTGTTGCTTTCCGGCTGCCCACTGGCTTATTCGACCGTGATTGACAAGCTTTTCATACTCATCATCACTGTGATCTTTCACCGAGACACCTGATTGATGCAACCTCTTGTCAGCACACAGCATGGCAAGCACTGGCTCAGGACCGTCCAAGTAGTTGAGGGCAAAGCCATCGAGGCCCAGTGACTGAGCTTCAGCGAGAGCAACAGGTGGTCTAAAGGAAGCGAGAGGTTGCGAGCAGGTTCTGATGACGACAGATAAACTCATCTCCCGGTAGAGCTGGTCAGTCAATAATCTGTAGTCATGTTTAGTTTGTGCTGTAAAGCAGAGGAAGTCGTCAGTCTGCAGCAGAGCTTGAACCTGATCCGAGTAGCGTTCGTCCTTAACCGAGCAGCATAGCATAGGTGGCGCAAAAACCTCTTTTTCGAATTTGCCTTGGTTCTCTTGAACCCAATCCCAGGCCGTAGAAATCTCGGGGAAATTCCTCCGCATAAAGTTTAGCTGCTGGCCCTCTTGAGTATCTAGAGACTCGATATCTGCCTTGAGTTTCCGCAGCTCGTCCATCTTCTTTCTCCCATCATCTTTAACCCTTTCCAAATCAGAATTTAATCGGCGCTGGTCTGCTTCAACTTCTCGTAGATTGTGCTCCTCGGCTCGCTAGAGAGGAAACCGCTAGTTAGTGAAGAAGATGAGCGAAACAGAATGTTCTGAGGGCTTACAATTTTTTGATTCCACTCGCCCGCACTGAAATCTGACGGCCGATTCTTCAAGTCTGCTACAAGAGTAGTGATTCTTGATTTTGATGCTGCTACCTCTTTCCTCTTCTCATCAAATCCTGTGCGCTCAGCACCTATCTTATTGGACCACTCTTTGACATCGTCCACTGCAGTGCTTATTTCTTGGGCTAGGCTTTGGGCTGCCACTTGAGTATCCTTAACCGCCTTTACCCTCGATGGGATGGCGGCCTCGATTTCCTGGGCGTAGACCTGTTTCCGGTTGACTGCCTCTAATGATGGCCCGCTTTCCCGCTCAAGAAGTTTCAGTTTATTCTCTGCCTCTTTTCTGCGCTCCTTTGCGGCCAAGTGGTTGTTGCGAGCCTCCTGGTATTGGGCAATTACTAATGCACCTTTTAAGTTGCTCACTCGCTCCTGAATTTCTTCTCGCTCACGGATTCTATCCACGTCGGCTTGCAGGCCTTGCTGGCGGGTTTGTAGATTCTTCAGGGTTTCGGTATCCGCGTGCACGGCTTCAGCGATGTCCTTTTTGTCCTTGTGATGTTCTTGGAGCTGTCGATGCCATTTTTGCATTTCCTCGGGGGCAGCAGCGCGCAGAGTTTCATGCAGCAATTCCACCGGCGTGCAGGCAGCAAATTCGACGACTCTGTCCTGAGGAAGAAACTGACACAGATTGTCTACCTGAATCTTGAGCATATGTATCAATGACTGTATCTTCTTATGGGTCGTCTCTTTGCCATTCAACCACCATTTCTGGATATTCTGCTCTCGGCGAATCTGCACTCGAACAACAAAGTTGGTCCGATCTTGAGGCCGTTTGTGCAGCTCGATCTCGATCGTTGCCGTATCCTTTCCATTCTTGACAAACTCTTTAACAGTGCCTGCGCGGCCAAGGTTTTTGGGGCTATATCCAAGCCCTAGACAGATGGCGCAAACCAAGGAACTTTTGCCCGTACCGTTTGGACCGATGACCATGTTGAGATTTGGGCCAGGTAGAAACTCGGCCTTTTCGTACGTCACGAAGTTCTGCACGCTGACCCGGACGATGGCGCCTGGCTGGAAGCTGGTGTGGTCTGCTGCAATGTTTCGGCCGCGTCGTTGTTCATCTCCCTCGGATTCGGTGTCTACTCGCCGTCGTTTCGGGCTGTCGTCTCCAAATGGTGATCTCCGGTCGTCTGCGCCGCTGTCATCTTCGTCCTCGACCCCACGCCGTCGACGGCGCGAGGTGCTGGAACTCATCTCTTCAGATTGGTGAATGAAGAGTCAGAGTCAGAGTCAGCATCAGAGTGGCAGCTGGCGGTGCTGTGATGTTGTGCATTGAAGGCGTTGGGCGAGGCAGATGGCGGGGACCTGTGCGACGCGGTTAGACGCGTCTGCGAAGCCCCCACCACTTAACGCCAGCTCTTAAGTGTCATGTACGGTATCGATAACGAAACACAGCACTCGCTCTATGCGATCACCAACTTTCAGAGCGTCAGCTTCATTTCTAGCCAAGTATTGCATTGGGTTACTGCCTACACTATGTACCGATAAATATTACACTGTCAGTTACACATGGTATAGAAAGTAGAACGAGAGAGGTTTTACAGTCAGTAGTGCAGACTAATAGGAAGGAACACTGAGTATGGTGCACTCTCAAACTACTAGTAAGATACGCCAGAAAAAACATCAAAATTGCGACAAACACATTGATGCCAAGACTCTCGACATGTATCTGCATCTCAGCCAAGGTTATCAGCTGCTACAGCAAAAATACATTCGATTGCATAGACAAAAAGAGAAAGCGTTGCGTAATCTGGGAATCGAACCCAGGGCTCCCCGACGTTGCTCGGATGGCAACGGAGAATTTTACCACTAAACCAATTACGCTTGATCAGATATTCAGACTCTGGATATACATTATCATAAGCCTACTGAATCGATTTCGCCCGCTTCAGATGGCGTTGGCAACAGTAAAGTGCTCAATGGAGCCGCTTGGAGCTATACGTGGGACCATCTTTACTGAGATGTTTGACGTCGATTCATTTTGCCCAAGGTTCTATCTTGATGGGCTACACTCTGGGCTTTGCTGTAAAACAAATGCGCCATCTCATTTATTCCTGTTCAATGAAACCGCGACAACATGAGCCAGAGCTAGGTAGAGCCATGTTTGTCTTTTCAAGCACGGCACAGTCTACTCATCAAATGGGCCGAAGTTTGATCACTGCCCGAGACATGCACGAGCTGGAAATGGGATCGAGATAAAGCCGTTCTTTCAAGTTGAGATTTGCCCGACTTGGACATGAAGGGCCGATCGCTGACCACACGTTGGCTACATGTAGTTGTCGCTCGCTTAGTCATGTCTCAACCTCATCCCTTGCTTGCAAGGCAAATCGCATGCCTTTGTCTTGGTATTCGACGTTGTTATGAGTTTTTGCATCATATTTACCCTGTAGACTTGGAATATCCATCACGTAGCTATACATGAAGAAAACTCCAGATGGTATATGTTTGTATAATTGCTTCCATGAAAGAGTGCTGTCAGAAAGTTTCCCTCCGGCTGTCACTTTCACTTGGATGCTATTGTCACTCGACTGTCCAACGGATATGATTTCTTTTACCCCTCTTCCCGCCTGAAGCTTTTATGACTGATGGCAATTTAGACTCTGTGGAAAACCAAAGATTGCCTATGAATAGGGGTATAGTTTTGTTCCGGCACCGATATCTCGAGGAACGCGTCCACTCGATCCCACATTGCCGCGCTGTAACGCTAATATGTAACGTGCATCTTGTATTCAGCACGGCTGCTGCAAAGTGGTAGTCTATATGGCCATGTAGTGCAATTCACAGCCGCCCTCATTATTTGACCACAAAAGAAAGAAAGAAAAATCCGAAAAGCGATTCTGAGTAAAGATGTATATTTGCCGTATACTAGCTTAACCTTCTTTACATAGAGAGGGGCGATCTTGACGTATCGCCTCACAGCCAAATTCCAACGCATAGCATCCATATCAGGAATGCATCGCGATACTCGCATGGCACTCTAATCTTGACTCTACTTCCTTGTATAGCTCACAAAACCTAAATCCTAGGTGATATTCAGAGATATCCGATTCCTCTGCTCTGCGCTAGTCCAGCAAGTGACTCGATTTCCACTCTGGACTGAGATGGAATGGCAGCGACTGCGTCAACACCAAATTCCAGCGCCCAGCCTCCCTTGTTTCCCACCATGACTGGCCGCCAGCTGTCCGCCACCTCCATCGAACTGCCAGATCATAGGCCAGTGCGCGCTGTATTCCTTGTTTTTGTACAGCTGGGTTTCATCCACTGCATTCCTGCCCCTCGTCCTTCTTTTTTCATCCGCTCTTTTCTGTGGACTTCGCCTGCCGCGTCTTTTCTTCCTCCCACAGCCTCGGGTGCTCTATGCCGGACGCTTCCTTCTTGCGATCCTTTTGTCTGAACTCTCTCTCCAGCATCACATTGCCCTTTGCCTTTGCACGCGTATTCCTTAGGATCTCGTTTGTTGCCAATTCTACTACCGATAATCAGCATCTTGCCTCTTCACAGTTGTATCACAGCCCGCCTCTATTCAGGTTGCTTTCGAGTATTATGTGCTAATCCTACTACACTTCACGGCGATAACAATGGCCGAATATATCTCAAAAACCCGTTCGCCTCTCGTCGAAACCACCAATCGTCCCAACATGCCATACCCAGCCCCGAATTACCAGAGCCACAAGGCACGATCCAATCAGCCCAACAGTGTCCAGTATCCCGGCCAGTATACAAACAACCAGAATACTCGCCGTGATACGCGTGGCCAGGCTGCGGCTTATGATGCCTACAACCCCCCTACTGCTCAGAGATTGCAGCAGCCAGCAGACGCGGCGAAGCGTCTTTCTCAAGCATCGTATGCGTCCACCTCCAGCAGCCAAAGCAGGAAGAACTACAAAACCCATATTGGACCATGGCAGCTGGGAAAGACTCTGGGCAAAGGCTCTTCGGCTCGAGTACGGCTGTGTCGCCACAGCATCACGCACCAAATGGCGGCCGTAAAAATCGTCAACCGTCGGATGGCGTACCTTGTTCAAGACAGCAGCCTGGCTGCTCTTAGCAAGTGGGACTCGACTCTTCCTGAAGTTAATGGCGAAATGCGTGTTCCCGTAGCGATTGAGCGCGAGGTTGCCATTCTTAAACTTATTGAACATCCCAACATCATGAAGCTCTATGATATATGGGAGAATCGCTCTGAAATGTTGGTCCTACTTATGTTTTTCTCAGCGTTTAAATGCTCAAAACTGACCGACATTGGAACCCAGTTATCTCATTCTTGAATATATAGATCAAGGCGATCTTTTTACCTTCATCAACTCAAAAGGAAGACTTTCCGAAGAAGTGGCTGTTTATTTCTTCCGGCAGATGATCAGTGCTATTGCTTACTGCCACTCCTTCAACGTGTGCCATCGCGATTTGAAGCCTGAGAATATTTTGATTACCGCCGACCTGCAAATCAAGATTGCCGACTTCGGTATGGCAGCTCTTCACCAGACAGCTTCTCACCGACTGGCAACAGCATGCGGCAGCCCCCATTACGCAGCACCTGAGCTTCTCAAGAACCGGCAATATCGTGGAGATAGGGCCGATATCTGGAGCATGGGCGTGATTTTGTACGCCATGCTGTCCGCGACCCTGCCTTTTGACGATCCCGACTTGCGTGTCATGATGGGCAAAACGAAAAAGGGACAGTATGAGATGCCAAAGTTCCTCAGCCCCGAAGCCGAAGACCTCATCCGCCGTATGCTCCAGGTCAATCCTGACCATCGAATTACCATGAAGCAGATTTGGCAGCATCCATTGATTCAGCGATATAATTACCTCGACGATTTTGGCCAGAACACGGGTCAGCCTCCGGATACTCGGAAGGGATTTCAGTACACTCCGATCCTGCAACATCAGATCGACCCCCAGCTGCTGCGACAACTACGTTCTCTTTGGCATATGTTTAGTGATGACGACTTGGAGATGAAACTGAGCTGCAAAGAGTAAGTGATGCCTCGTAGCGACATTTCTTTTGACCAGTGATGCTTTCGGCTAACACGAAGAAAACCAGACCAAATGACCAAAAGGCATTTTACTGGCTCCTCCACAACTATCGTGAACAGCAGTTGGAGGATTTCAAGCCAGAACTGTCTCACTCAATGAGCGACTACCATCATCTCAAGCCAAACTCATGGAAAAAGCGCGTCTCGACATGCGAATTCTACCAACCTCGAGCCAATGGCCATGGTAGATCCGTTTCGCGTTTCACAGTCATTTCCACAACAGCAGAAACCGAGAATGGGACCGTCCAGAGCTACGATCCATATAGAGGCAGCCGAATGCTTAAAGCATGTGGCTCGCAAGCTAGCCACGCGAGGATCACTGTCCATCGAGACGGCGAGATGACACAAGCATCACAGGCGGCTAGAAAACGCAGCGCGTCAAATGCTACTCGCCGCCCAAGAGCTAATTCTGTGCGAACATTTGCGGGTCGTCCTCAGTCGTCAAGGGGATCAGTGAGCTCTTTGCATAGCAACAGGCAAGGGACGCCGCAGAGACACGGCCCTGGTTTGCGACACAAACGAGGAGTCGATTTTTCGCATGTTCGCAAGCGATCAGCCTCTGCAGCACATATTCAACGGGGCCCTCAGCGTTCACGAGCAAACTCCATGGCATCAGATGGCATCCCGCGCCGAATTCCTTCAAGGCCTCGGTCTCCAACACCGGAAATGCCCCAGCTGCCCAACGGCACCTATCCAAAGGCCAAAGGTGAACCAGCGTACAAAGACGCCTCGTTCCTTTTTAACGAAGAGCTGCGCCACTTTAGCAACAACATAGCCAAAGACTGCGATGACGCATTTAGAAGTTCACTCATCGAGGACGACTCCATTTCTGAATCATTGACAGACATGGAGAAGAGGCAGCGTGATTCCACACCGTTTTCTTTTACAATTGATACTCCGTCGGAAGCAACCGCACCCACAGAATTTTCATGTATGTCCTGGAGCAGTCGCCCCCTGCCACCACTTCCATTGGAGCTTGGCCCCAAGGCAACTAATGCAAACTCCCGACCAGCTTCGAGAGCAGGAGACGGAAACATTATGGCAGACCAGGTCAATTTACTGGCCTTGCCATTACTGCTTCCAAGCCAATCGGACCGTCGGGTCGTCTCAGCCCCGTATGGCCAGGTTGGTCGTCGGACAGGTACTCTGCCATGTATCAATGAGAATCCAGGAGGCAACAATACGGCCGCCGTTGAGAAGACAAGGATCGTATCCGCGCCACCGCATTCACCGTCGAAGAAGGCAAACCGCCCCATCAGTGGCGTCGAATATCTGAACCAGGTTGAGAACTCAATCAGAGTTGTCACTTCCCCTACAGCTCAAAGCCCGGTTAAGATTCCCGAGCCGCTGAACGTGCGAAAGAAGATTACCAACCAAAACTTTGGCGATTCGTTGAATCACCATATAGAGCAGCTAGAAAGCACACTGGGGAACTATGGGCAACATGAGGAAGATACTTTGCAAGCAGGCATCAATAGCCCAGTGAAGAAGAAGAGATCCTGGTTCAAACGATCATTCAAGATCGACTCAGAGGAGACTTTGGTAGAGCCCAAGGATGAGAGACAGCGAACCGTATCGTGCGAAACTCGCCAATCGGGTTCCAGCTCTGCGACAGCTGCCTCATCTAAGAAGAGAAACTTTAGCTTTCCATTTTGGAAGAGCAACCGAAATAGAGATTCGAAGACAATGGTTGAAGGTAAAGTTGCTGACTTTCTACTGAATAGTTTTTTCCCCTTTGAAAAAAAAAAAGGCAGACTAACACCGATATTTTCTGATAGATCGCCAAAACCGAGATCAAGAAGTGGCCACTACAAAGACCGATACGAAGAAGCAAAAATGGCATCGGTCGTCGTCAGCCAGCAGCCGCAATATTGAGGTTAAGCAGAATTGGCTTACTAGGCTATTCCGTGTCAAGCCTGCCACAAGCTATATTTGCATGACGCTGTCACGCAAACGTGCGCGACAGGAAGTAGCCATCTTGCTGAGAGAGTGGCGTAAGCGCCGATACGGAATTAAGGGTATACAAGTGGATAAGGAACGCAACATCGTCTTTGCGCGAGTTGCAGCTAAGAACTGTGAGTTGCATGCCCTGTAGCTACTTGACGCCGGAACACACCTAACAAGAGACACAGGTTTGAATCTCAAAGAGGTTGCATTTGCTGCAGAGGTAATGACGGTGATTGAGCATGGTAAGAAACAGCCGCTCAGCATCATTCGCTTTACACAAGAGCGTGGTGCTGCGAGCAGCTTCCACAAAGTGGTGGATACCATGCGAATTGTGTTTACCGACCGCAACCTCGTGGTTAAGGACCGAAGCAAGCAAAAGATGATGATCAAGACTCTGAATTCGTAATGGGCGCACCCCTGCGTTGCCTCTTCTATTGCTTGGACGCTTGAGGTTGATTCGCCGTGTTGAGACACCTAATAACTGTTTGAAGTCAACTGCATATACGGATAACGCGTGGGAAACTTGCTCTCTAACGGGATACTACGGCTATGAAGAACGCATTCGGACGAATTCGACACTGCATTTGTGCGGCAAATTTCATGGCTGTTGAGGATTTTTTTTCTTTCTTATTTTTTGTCAATGGACACTTTCGAATCGGAGAGCAGCATTATTCTTCTAAAGGTGACTTAATATTGCGAGGGAATCGAGATGAGCAAAAGGCGAGGCAAAATGAACAAGGACAAGTTTAATGCTGTTGGATCAGACAACTGGAAAAAAAATGTAGAGCTCTTAACTCTTGGCTCCAATTCCTTTGTACAAGACTTTTGTTGTTTGACGATGAAGCCGGAATTGGTTGGACAGAACGGGGGATTGACTGGTTGACTGGTTGCACGGCCAAGTAAGCTGGCGGATCGGTTGCTAATGGGCAGGACAGAGGGGAGGAATACATGGACTGATTACATGTATTCAAATCAGCTATAATCAGGGGATATGAGAGCATTGCTTCACGTAGCTGAACTGTATTTCATCTGTTAGAGTTAAATATCATGAGGCGATTCAAGGCACGATCGGGTGAAAGTATAAGCGCAGTGCATGTGTCAGACTACAACGACTCAGGACCCCGTAATGATAGTAAGTACACAAATGCAAAGCAGCTCGGTATCGAAAAGCAGTGATGATTACGATACGAATATCTACTATGTATTAGTATTACAAAAACGAAAGGGACTGCAGCCCGGAAAGTCTCGGGTTGGCTGCGAAATTGCGGCTTAAGGAATTTGGAGCCTCGGTTGGCTCCTCGGGATAAGCAGCCAAAACGCATATACATTGTACATACGTACGTATAATTTGGGGTAGATGGGCAGAGACGGTGGGCTGATGGACAGTAAATGGGTCTTGTTATTTATTCGCCACTCGTCTCATTTTAGGAATTGCTATAGGGAACCCAAGGCTGAATGTGGTTTACGTGTACGAATGAAGAAATTGGGCGTTCCTTGTACTGCTTAATAGCTGAGACGGGAGAGTTGAGGAATTAGAAGCAGAGGGCTGTTGATTGAAGTATCTGCGTCATTGGAGATTGAGGCAAGAGGAGAGGAGAGATTGGGGTATATACGAGGTAGATCCAAAGATACAGACTATGCTATGCTACTATGCTATGCTATTGATGTACATGCAGCGCCGGATTTGGATGCTACCTCGTCTTGTGATGGGTCCGAGGGGCATTGGCCGTGTCTCAATTCCTCGGCATCAGATCTCGCCAGAGCCACAGAGAGGCTTGTTTTAGTCCTACCCTGGCCATCTACCGTGCCTGTAAAGCTGCCACTGAGGCCGAAATCCATTGGCTTATAAGAGTCAAGCATGGCATGGATGGCAAAGTGCCGTGCTGCGTGAGGCGCCCGGCCGGCTGCGTTGTATCCAGTACTTCTCGGCCGCTACCCCGCAGTCTCCCTTGAGCTTCTTTCAGGCGTTACAGCAGTGCCGTGCACATGCTTCGCTGCCCCCGCCTCTGGGTATCCGGTACAAGCTCCATCCGTCCACCCGAGGCCCAGACAGGCCGATAGGTGCCGAGCCCCCCCAGAAATCCGGCTGACGGACCAAACAAGAAGAGAAGATGCAAGCATAGAACCTAATTCGAGGGCAAACATGGGTGAATGGATGGATCATGCTAGTTAGTAATTGGGGTCAAGGGGAGAAGGGAGCTTTGACTCTATTTTTCGTTTGTATTGCTTTGGGGGTGGCGAGGCTAATCTTTTTGCCGACCTTGCGCTGTGATTTGGCGACGAGGTGCGTCATAGCCTCCTCCTTGGTGGTTATACTTGGGATAGCGATAACCTTGCTCTGGAAAGCTATATCAGCCATCGTTTCGCTGTGGTTTTTTCTTCTTGTTTTCTCACTTTTGATTATTTGTCTAGTAGACACCAGTCTTTCTTCACTGTGTGTGGAATTGCAACGAAAAGCCATAGCACCTTCACTTCTCCTGTAAGTGCGAGCAGAGCGCCTATCCATCCATATCCGGAAAGCTTACCGCGAACAACCGTCACTGACTGACACGTGAAAGTTTCCCTCACCTCCTCTCTCATATTATTTCGGTTGTGACGTCTGCCAATTGAAATCACCTGGCATCCATCTCTACAAGGGCATCTTTTCAACTTCTCCTTGTCTTACTTTATATCTGGACACTTGACTCCAATTGCATCGTACATGCCACAGCAGCCTTTCCGGCATACAGTCTTCCACAGCTTCCAATCCCGCAAACACTCTCCTCACACAACCACCGGCACAATGGCGTCCACAGAAGCTATCCTCCAGGGCGTCACCGTCCTCGGCAAGGTTGACGAGTCTCACCGCAAGATCCTGACTCCTCCGGCCCTGGCCTTCCTTGCTCTCTTACATCGCTCTTTCAACGCTACCCGCAAGAATCTCCTTGAGCGCCGCAAGCTGCGCCAGGCCGAGCTGGACCGCGGCCTTCTCCCCGATTTCTTGCCCGAGACTAAGCACATCCGTGAGAATCCCACATGGAAGGGTGCGCCCCCTGCGCCTGGTCTGGTCGACCGACGCGTTGAGATCACTGGCCCAACTGATCGCAAGATGGTTGTGAACGCCTTGAACTCTGATGTCTGGACGTACATGGCTGATTTCGAAGGTGAGTCTTGAGAGTGAAATCTGGTCAGCGTGGATTGCTTGGATAGCTAACAAAGAGCAAAACAAATAGACTCCAGTGCCCCTACATGGGACAACATGATCAATGGCCAAGTCAACCTGTACGACGCTGTCCGTCGCCAAGTTGACTTCAAGCAGGGCGCCAAGGAGTACAAGCTTCGCACTGATGCCAAGCTGCCCACTCTGATTGTTCGCCCCCGAGGCTGGCACCTCGAGGAGAAGCACTTCCTTGTTGACGGCGAGCCCATCTCCGGCAGTCTCTTTGATTTCGGCCTGTACTTCTTCCACAACGCCGTCGAGGCCCAGAAGAAGGGCTTTGGGCCTTACTTTTACCTGCCCAAGATGGAGAGCCACCTTGAGGCTCGTCTGTGGAACGACGCCTTCAACCTGGCCCAGGACCACATTGCCATCCCTCGTGGCACCATCCGAGGAACCGTCTTGATCGAGACCATCCTCGCGGCGTTTGAGATGGACGAGATCATCTACGAGCTCCGCGACCACAGCTCCGGCCTCAACTGCGGCCGATGGGACTACATCTTCAGCACCATCAAGAAGTTCCGCAACAACGCAAACTTTGTCCTGCCAGACCGATCCGCCGTCACAATGACCGTCCCCTTCATGGACGCCTACGTCAAGCTCCTCATCCAGACCTGCCATAAGCGCGGCGTCCACGCCATGGGCGGCATGGCTGCCCAGATCCCCATCAAGGACGACAAGGAGGCCAACGACAAGGCCATGGAGAACGTCCGTGCCGACAAGCTGCGCGAGGTCCGAGCCGGCCACGACGGCACGTGGGTTGCTCACCCTGCCCTCGCCAGCATTGCCACCGAAATCTTCAACAAGCACATGCCTACTCCCAACCAGCTGTTTGTCCGTCGGGAGGAAGTCAAGATTGGCCAGAATGACTTGCTCAACATGAACGTCCCCGGAAGCATCACCGAGGAGGGCATCAAGAAGAATCTGAACATTGGTCTGGGCTACATGGAGGCCTGGATCCGAGGAGTGGGCTGCGTTCCCATCAACTATCTGATGTAAGTTTTTTTCCCATTGTTCAAAGTGGCTGTGATGATTATATATATGAACAACATCGCTAATGAGTAATTCAACACAATCAGGGAGGATGCTGCCACCGCCGAAGTTTCTCGAAGCCAGCTGTGGCAATGGGTCAAACACGGCGTCTCTACCGCCGAAGGCAAGCGTGTCGACAAGGCCTATGCCCTCAAGCTCCTGCATGAGTGTGCCGATGGCCTGGCCTCAAAGGCTCCCCAGGGAAACAAATTCCATCTTGCTGCGCAGTACTTTGCCGGACAGGTCACTGGCGAAGATTATGCTGATTTCTTGACAACGTGAGTATTCTTCTTTTGATACACCTTTCAGTCAAATGCATTTGGAACTAACAGATTTGTTCGCAAAAAAAAAAGTCTTCTTTATGATGAGATTACGAAGCCTGGATCTCCCGCTCCGGCCTCAAAGCTGTAAATGTCGAGGCGAGTAGCAAAAAAAAAAAAAGGCTATGAGTGTAAAACTATATGACGAGATGAAGGGGAAGAAAAGATTGTCTTATATCGATATCATTGGCGAAATTGGATGAGGTTACCTATTCATGGTACCTATTGTTTCTCTGTATAACATGGAGTTTTATCGGAAAGTAGTATAGCAGCAACAAAATCATTAATGAATATTTTATGCTTTGATAACCTTTATTATTCCTCTTCTACAAAAGAAATTTGAATTACTAGTCTGTAAGCCCTAGGTAATGGATATCGAGGCAAGGTACTCGAGTAATGTGTTCCTATAGAGTGTGAGTTGTTCCCGAAAAAGACAAACAAATTGCCCAACTTGTGACGAGTATGAGTATCAAGACCATAGTCCGATCTCATACATTATAAGGGTAGATAGCTTGTCTCAATTTACCAAAAGCAAAAAGAAAAAAAAAAAAGCTAGTCCAAATGCTCCGGAAGTGGTGAAGTAAAGATACGCAGTCCGTGTGCCCCGATCCCCCATACCGACGGTCCCGAACCCGATGTCGGATGCCCGTAGGTATTCGGGCGACCACCGGTCCGGCATAACGAGATACTCGACGGGGCCTTGGGCAAAGATTTAGTCGAGATACGTGCACCCCATATCGCTGGGTGCCTGGTCTAACCCGTCCTACATGGAGCTAAAGAGTTCGTCAATGCGAAATTTAGATGATTTGCTTGGAGCAATTACCAGTACGAAGAGTTCCCCGAATACTAGCATTCGGCCAAGGCATCTTTTCCTCTTCTCCCGCGTCGTCCGGGCTGCGGCAAGATGCCCGCTTCATTTAACTATGAAAGCGGAAAAGCCGCCGCGCCACAGCTATCGTTTGGGTCTGTATACAAGCCTCGGCTAGCATATTTCGCACCGCGTTAGTGGCTGTCTCGTAGTTTGTAGTTCTGTTCTAGAATCAGGTGAAGTGTAAAAAAAAAAACGAGCGTTTGTTCGTATCGGCTGAAGCTCAGCTCAGCTCAGGCGGCCCTTGACCTACTCCATCGTATTGACTGGCCAGCTCTGCACCAACCGTCGACCAAGCAGCTGAGTTCCCCATTTCCCGCTCCCGAGTCAATCAGGCGGCGCCAAGTTGAACCGAGTTGAGATTCTGTCTCTTGGCCACGCGCTGGATGATTCATTTCTTGTCTTGTTTGGGTAAGCTAAGCAGCACTCAGCCGGTGAGGGGCTAACTCGATGCAGAGCCTTCACCCAGCCGAGAGGATCCACGAGGATTCAATAGCGCTGGGGATTCTTGGCTGTCCATCTGCCCTGCCGTTTAAATGAGTAATGGCCCAGCAGGTGAGTTCCATGAAACGACAGGACATGCACAGCGCGAGTTTGGCTGTTCTGAGCCGAGAGTCGGGTGTGTCAAGCCAACACACGATAGCCATGGCATGAAGGCTTCCCACACGGCGGCTTGTTTCCGGTGGAGGATGCTTGTACGCCATCCCGCTCATTCCCCGGCTCCCGGGTGTCGGCGCGCGTGCAGCTCATGCTAGTGTTGGTGACCCTGTTGCGCCAGGTGGAACCGTACCATCACGGAGCAATATCCACTAAGAGTGGTGTGAGTCGCAGTAGTTTCACCTGTAATAATGGAGATATAATACCTGCTTGTACTTGGGACGAAAGCCTCCTGTGCTCCAAACCAAAGGCCTTTCATTTGCGGTAGCTGCTCGGTTATTCGAGATCTGATCTTCACTTTGGTCTCTCTCTCACACCGTTGTAGCCCTAATCACCACTGGCATCTTATGGCCCTGTGTTTTGGCAGCACTGCTTCAGAGTCACTTTCTTTGATGGAAATGCGACTACTGCAGGTCGTTCGTACTAATGTCGTTCTAAAGAAAGGAGAGAGGGGTCAAGTAACAGAGAGCATCTTTGATGAGCCTTCTCAAACAACAAGCCAGAGTTTGAACTTGTACTTTCTATGTTGCTACCGCAAGCACCCTAGTCATTTTCATGCTTTAGCGGGGTGGCTAGTCGTGAAGAACGAGAAGACAAGGGGAGAAAGGGGTGCATACTCGCACTACATACTAGTAATGGCAGTAGTAATAGGTACCGTCCTCCGAAGTTTTATGTGTGTGGCACTGCGTGTCCCGTATCGCTTCGGCATTCCATGTGGTTGACGGAACATGTCTGTATACGACAACGCGAGAAATGAATCCTGCCATCGCCCTTATCCTCTCCCTCACGTCACTTGGCATAGACTTTCCAACAACTGAATCGCTGACACGGCTCTGTGACAGATGGAGCAAATCGTGGCGTTGGTAGCTTCAGATCTTCGCGTGGCATGGCACACACCCCTGTCATGAGGCTTTGGTCTCCACGGCGTTCTAGCAGCAAGCCCGCCAACAAGATTCTCGTATAGGGGCGCCAATACTTCGTGTTCTTAGCTTCGTGCAAATTCTATTGCCCTACCATAACGAGAACAAGAGGCATCATTGGTGGCTCCATGTCTGCCGGAGAGCCTCGGAATAGCATCAGAATGTTACCAATAGATACAGTAGTAGCCTTTTTCGTATGCGCTCTGATAATGCGGCATCTCGCCAGCATCCTGGCAAATTGGTTTGGGCTCAGATCTCTCCTGTCAAAAAGTATCTGATATACAAAATTCCAAAATTGGGCCCTGACTGGATCCTTGAATTCGACTTTCTGGCATATGTTGATCTCAATGCCACCATCTATTCAGATACAATCAATTAGCTAGCTTGTACATACGATCTTGAGAAAGTTCATTTACCATTTGTTAGGGCGCAATTGGCGAGAGTTCATGGTCAGCCTTACTGGTACCAGCTGGAAGTCTATCTGCCTTGGCTGCAAAGACTATATTTGTTACGATGCAGTAGTGTCAAGTAGCTTACTTGAGAACCCAGCATACTTTTTCTGAACTTTGTTCCATACCTACGTAAGGAGGCGCTTGGGGGATATTCTAGCTCTTTTTCGTAATGACGTATTCGCATCTTAGCTGATAGCTTATGTTAGCAACAGACCAACCTCAGCAATAGACGGGAACCGTAGACATTGGCTGGATTCAGTTTTACCACTTTACTTGATGAGCCAGACAATGGTGAGACGTGCCTTGCCTGGAGACCAACGAGGACGATTGCGTGATGGCGCCAATCTCGTGGATTCCCACAGGGAGCCATAAATAGCTTGACGTCAGCTTCAAAAGGAAATACTACTCAATAAAGGCATGATGGGAAAGATTCCTACGCCAAGGGGGAGCATGATATACGGCGATGTTTCTGGTTTAGGTCACTGTTTAGCCCACTACCGCGTGGAATCCATCGTGTCCGGCTGTGAATGATTTCATGCAGAGGTACCAAGTGCTCCAGCAGATCAGATGAGATAAGGCTGGCAGAAGGCTGGCTGCGGCTTCCCTCTTTCTCGCTGATCTAAACGGCGTCCACGCCAAAGGAGAATATAAATAGAGTTATTCCGTGCCTTCCCATTTAATCGCCGGTCAGCTGGTATCTTATCTCCCCCCGCACAAAAAATTCATCAAGGCCTCTCCCATTTCTTCCATTGCTAGAATTTCTCGTTTCCTTATCACAGAGCTGGCCAGCCATGCCCATGTTACCGATATCACTGGGCGACGACATATTCACTGGTTTTTCATTCAATCTGCCATACGCAAATCATGCCAAGAGTTGCTGTCGTCTTAACCAAAATACGCCATGGGTATGTCGACATCTGGTGGATCGTCGTCGTGGCGTCTGTTCCAACCCCAGATATGCTAGAAACGCCATTCCACCTTGCGCTTTGGCTTCTGACAGTGGCGCTGGTTTCCGAAGCCTCCCAACCCTAACAGAGGGGTATAGGTGCCTAGGGTCTAGGATGCAGACACCTCCGCGCAGTAATAGCCCGTGATAGACGGGGGAAGAATCCTTCTGCAATGCACGCGCGTCTACTGTCCCTGGTTTGGTCCAATCAACATGCATCAGCATACCGAGCCGGTGCTGCGTCTTGGCATCACAACAGCCATTCTATAACCCGTAGAGGGCCATCACTTCAATCAGGTGCCGCCCCCGGTTGGCTAAACTTGACTGCTGACAAGGACATCAGAGCTAGTCGTATCGACCCCTGCATTCTCCCTTGCAACCGCAACAACCTTGTTTGACGCCACGCAGCATGGCTTTGATTTGCGCCACGATTAGGTCCCCGTCGACATCCGAATCTCCATTGCAGACGGTGGCGGCTGGAAGGATCCAAAAACTCCCGCGGGACGCTGAGTAGCTTTCTCTATCTGCACGATATTAGCTGCGTCTCTCCCGCTAGACTGCTGAGCGGCCAGACATGAGTTGCTTGGCCACTGGTTCGAATCTCCGCCCCCCTTCTGCAACGTCCTCCAATGACAAATCGTTCCCTACGAGGGATACGCCATCATAATCGGGATGCGTGGTATTGTCAAGTTCCGACTGAGCCGAACTCCGAGAGGAATCCCCAGGCCATCACGCGGCAAAGCCCCTAAAGGTCATCCGTTTTCGCGCGGCTTATTATTACTACTTACTACTAGCGGTTGGGAGGGATTCTTTCAGCTCCTTGGCGCTACTGTGGGCTCGCCTGCAGCTAGTGATGTTCCTTCATACGTTAAACCTCATTTGGGCCTAGGCACACACCTACTTTTGCCGCTTGGATGTACCATGTTGCGAGTACAGAGAATGTACTATGTAGCCCCAGTATCGTTTCGTCTATACTGGGTGGAAAGTCGCCTTGTGTTGCAGTCTAGTTCTATACTCAAGATCTTGAGTTGAAGATTGGCCTTGGCTTCCTTTGCTGCATATATGGGCTGCCAATGCAGGCGCGCTGATCATACAAGTTTCGGAATGCCAAACCTATGTCATCAAATGCACGGCCTTACAAAATTATGCGGCTTTGAAATACTGATTTCTAGCGGAGAAGGAAGGAGAAAGGTTGACCACAGTGCAGGGGAGATTGGCAATAGATTGGCAGCTTGCTAGCAGGATAGACATTCATCTATCAAGCCGCTAATGCCAGTTTATATGGCAATTTCCGCATGTTGCCTGTCAAGCGCCTTTAGGACCTCGAGATAATTCAAGGATTCATACGTTTTCTCCAGCTGGTAAGAGCAACCCCAACCTCACTACTTCAAGTTCATGGCCACTTCAGAAGATCTAGCCTCCTTTTAACCGAATGATTTCGCTTTATCTAACCGACCAGAAATTCTCTCAATTTCCGCATAGATGGAGGCGAGCGGCTGAATAGCATGCCATACATCTCGAGTCATTTACTAATTTGACATGCCAGAAGCCCATGAATCCCCTTAGCGCCACCCATCTCGTTCAAAGGTGTAAGGACGTTGTGACAGGCCTTGATCAAGTCAAAACGCGTAAAGATCAGAGGTACAGCGCACTAATCTACCCGCGAATTTTCGATGAGGCATTATGGTGTAGCAGCTCCCTACACCAGGCGTTATTTTGGAGCCGCCCACTGCCGGCGAACATACGCGGAGGTGGAGATGCAGCGTACTTGTAAGTGTTAGTGATTCATGGAATATATGGTCTAAACCACCAACTAATAGAAATCCACAAGCCTTTCAGCAAAGTGGAATCTCGGCTTTGAGGGCTGGCTAGCAAAAAAAGACTGCTCCTAGCCTTTGAAATTTCCTGAAGTATATTTCCATTACAAGAAATGATCCTGCCGAGATGTAACAGAGCACAGGAATTTTGAACTACAGTTATGTTACGGTATCAAGCATTACTGAAGATTACTCTATACGGAGCGTGGAGTGCATCGATTCGCTACAGTACTTGAACTACTGTCTCTACCTAGTCTCAAGTGCGGGTGCGTGGAGACGGTTGTCATATTCATACTGGGGCTGTCCATGGAGCAGATCATTCCGGCCCATGCTAATTGGGCGCATGGTCTCAATAGCTGAACCCGCTAATTCGGATGCCTGGCAGGGATGTCGAGTCTGAAGCACAGCAAAGAAAAAGGTTTTAAGAATACACGAACCCCAAACTCAGATGGAGAGCGACCAAAAGAGGGGGGACTGAAGATGAAAACTTTGAGTTTTCAGAGAAGCAATCATTCCGCCAAGCTCAGATAATCGAAGCCGATGATCGATATCACAGCCGGTAAAGCCACGACTATAGCGACATCCGGACGACTCCCTGCTCACCGCGCCAAGGGCGCGCTGCGTCCTCGGGCCCCCAAACGCTGGGTCGGCATGGCTGAGCTTATCCGGCGATGGCTGCGGCTGGCGCTGGGAAGCAAGCCCGGGTTGCCACGGGTCCACAGGCCGGGGGAGTGGAGCTTTGGGAGGGGTGGATGGATTGTCAGCCCATGCGCGCGCGCTCTCGCCAGCGATACAGACTCGGCGCGGGCACCAGAATCATCTGTCAAGATCTTACCCTTCGCTTATCCCTCGACGTCCTTTGATACGTCCTAAGAAGAGGACGTAAGCATAGCCAAGCCAAGCTTGGAATCATGCTCTGCGCAGACCACAAAGTACAGACTGCCGTTACTGCTGGACTCTGGTATAGGAGGAAGATTTCCGGTAGACCCGGCAAAGAAGAAGAGAACTCGACAAGCAACAGCTGTTTGGATACTTGTACAATCAACACATGACGTGATGCTCGCAGCGCCTAAGATCTCTCCGGAAGGAGGGCATGCTCTATGAGTTTGTCCTAGTTATTGTACAGTAGGTACTGGGCATTGCTTGCATGTAGCAAGTGTCTTCAGGCATCTTGGCCCCCGGAAGTGGCGGTGGTGGTGGCTCTCGCTCGCGAGGCTCTACGAGTTGAGCGTTCTGCCACCTCAGTTTGCTAGCTGTTGCTTTCATGTTATCTGTATCGACGGTGAAGCGCTGGAACAAAGGAGAGAGGAGAGATAGAGACAGCTCAGCTCAGTGACCCGGCTCGCATCGCTCCTGATACAGACGCATTCTACGAGTTCAGCGTATATTATATACGGAGCGGATGGGCATTGCCAACATAGAACGCGCCGGTTATGTCTATACGCAAGAGAGAGAGCACTCAATCGCGAGCAAACGGTATGGCTCAAAAGAAACGGGGGCCGCTAAAAGCAACTGATGCAGAGCAAGACCACCTGGGCGGTATCTTTTCTAGATCCTAGCTTGGACTGTGGGGACATGGCGGCGTCTGGCTTCGCAACTCGTACAATTTGCCAATGGGTACATTCCTATTACTGAGGCTATGAGCAGTAGGCAGCTAGCAGATGGATACTACTGCTTGAATCCGGAACATTATGGCCTTTGCCTGTTGATCCAGGAAGTAATCCGGTGCCGTATTGGCAGCCAGCCAATGCGGCGCTCTAGATCTCGAAAGAATCGGAGCGGAGGGGGCGACGAAGGGACGGCATAATGCACAGCCATGTGACGGGAGTGGCAGCCTGCAGAAGTTATGGAGAGCTGTCATTCAAGAAGCGTCGCACAACAGGGGCCTCGGTCGATTGGGTGCCAGGATGTGAACGAACGAGCTGACTACTACTACTCCGTTTTGTAAGAGTTAATGCAGGAGGCACTCGTACCCCGTTCCTGTACAATTACTAGCTGACCCTCCTAGTGAAAGCAGTTGTACTCCTGCAGGTATCCGGCGTTTGTCATACAGAGCACGCTTTGCCGCCGTTCAGCTCAGCCTACTCCGTCTTCTTATGACCTGAAGAAGACAAGGTGTGGCTTCTTGTGATTAGTATCAACCTGGGGATTTTCAAAGCTGCTAGAAACTCAAAGAGCATATCTAGCAGGTGAAATTGGGTTTGGGGGATGTTTTTGACTTTCCAGCACTTGACCAAGTACTCTATACATGGTCAAAGGCACTCTTCTTCGAGCGGGCAAGCAGGACTGGACCTAGCCTCTGACCAATAAAGTGCGATGACTCTGTACTCAGCATGCAATATGTACAATCTCAGCAGCAGGCCACTAGCGCCAGACTGACATTTTGGTGAGTTGCTATGCCTGGCCCTCAGATGCCATCATTGCGATGCATCCACAGTGCTCTCATACGCTACTTACGATGGGTTTATAATACGGAGTGCGATGAGTAAGGTACGAGCACCGCAAGTTTTATGTTGCCATGTTGGCATTCGTACATTTCTCAAGTTTCAATTGTGGGCTCCCAAGTTCTAGGCCTCTTACTAATGGTGTTTAGAGTTCTCCAGACCGTCATCGGTTGGACACTGTCTGCTTCGATCGAGCAAGTCATGACACTCGGTCCCATCAGCAGCAGTGACAAAGCAAAAAGGAAGAAGAAGAAAAAGAAAAGAAAAAGATATGAGCGTGTATCGAATGTGTATGGGCAAAGGTCACCCGTCTCTGACACATGATACAAAACGCAATGTAACTTTGTAACGCGGCATGCAGTTGCATGTGGCAGTACCTAACGAATGGTGGAAGACAATGCTACGGGAGCAAATGCCAAGTTAATTGTCTTGGGCGAAAGGCCAGGATCAGGGGACCCTGTTCTCCGTGCTCCGAACCGGGGGAGACGAAAGCGCAGATGCTCTATTACTAGTACCTACTCAGTACCTAATCGGAGTGGCCTCGAGTAAGGTACCAGCACTAGGCCGCTCAGGGTGCCTATTGAGCAGGTACTATGAACAGGTACTAATACTACCTCTATATGGTACGTACCGCAGAGACTAACCTGCAAAGACTCGAATTTGCGTGCCTCAATGACCAAGGTAAGAAAATATTGTATCTTCTGCTACCGAGCCAGAGGCCCGCCTTTGCCTTTTTGGCCAGATCAAAGAGGTGCTAGCCGAAGCAAATTTCATGGAATCGTCCTTGTCTGGCACCTACGTGTATCTCCCGTGTACTGGAGATTCCAGAGCAGCCATGTCGGCTCTTGCAATAAACCACGATCGACTAGGTAAGCATCAAGGGGGCGTCGGGACGGCTGCTCTGGATGCATGCTCACCAGGCTTGCCGGCACGGAGGCGCATCATGCATACTGGGTAGCATGTATGCAGGCTGGAGAAACTTCCCCTTGGCGCTGGGGGAGAATGAAAGATGAAAGGGGTGGAGGGGGGATGGCAGAGTGAGCTACTTGGTCCTAGTGGGAGATGGCTGTGATGGTGGTGGTGGTAGTGGTGGTGGAAAAGAGGAGGAGTGCTGTACAGTACCTGCGGTGCTGGAGGCAGAGGCGTGTGGATATACCGGCCAAGTACCGCGCATGTAAGTGCTGGGTTCTGCGTTGCGGTGCGGTGCGGTGCGGTGCACGGAGTCGAGTCGACGTGCATGCCTGGTTGCGTGAGGGATTCCCAGATTGGATTGCTGGGGTTGCTGGGATTGCGTTCTTGGGCCGCGGCCGCTGGAGACATGTCTTCTGTTTCAAGGGCATCTCTGGGCGTATCCGACGAGAGAAGACGCTCGCGGCATGTCTAAGATTTGATTAGCACGGCCGGAGGACATGGCCATGACCCTGGGGTGCATTTCTCGGAAGGCTCGCAATGCGAACCGACTAAAGTATGTATGCGTGTCAGAGTGGGAATTTCCCAGCGAGGGCTCCACCGGCGGGTTTTGGAGATGCAAAGGATGCAAAGGTCTAATCGACGGCAAGTACAGCCTACAAGCTGCAACCGCTGGCCGGATGCTGAGTCGCGCCGCCTGGGCAAAGTATGGAATACGGGATGACAGCGAGCACTAAGGCACTGACTAAGGCAGAAGGCGAGCGCTTGCGGCTGAGAAGACGACGGTAGCGCAGAGCACGAAGGCGAGGACGAAGCAGCATCCGGATGGGCAGGACGCAGCGTGTTGATATCGCAGCAATTGGCACGGAGTACTCGGGCGTCTCGACTGGCGGCGCGCAAACGCGGCGCTGCGGCCTCGGCGGGCAAGGTCACGGCGCCGTGCGAAGAGGCAGCGCCCGCCCGAAACATTCCAAGCACCCCCATCACGCTCCAGGGATCCGAGCTCGACGCCGTTTTTGTCTCTCCCACCCCCCGCGGGCAGCACGTTCGTTGTGCCAAGTATCTGGCGAGTACCTGCCCGCAGCTGGCCGCGCATATGCTGGCATCGTCAAGGAGCGCTCCAAGCATGCATTTACGAGCAGCGGGTGGCTTTGCAGGGACGGTAACGGGACAAGCTGCGTGCCAGCCCTGCGGTCAAGCCAAGCTGCGGCCCTGTGCCGACTGCAACGACGGAGCAGGCCGGGAAGGGCTTCTCGCTCAGTCCATGATCTGACCCTCTGGCCATGGCACGCCCCTGCATCCCTCTGGCGCTGGCGGCACTCCCCCGACGGCAGCTGTGCCAGCCAGCATCTGGAAGGGCCAGGACAGCACGAGCGCTGAAGATCAGAGCAGACAAGAGATGATCCAGCTAGCTGCTAGACGGGATGGCTATCGGCTCAGCGCTGGGCTTCCGGATCCCTGGCCTGTTGCGTGCTCCACCACCTCTCCTCTTTTCTCCTGCTCTGGGTCTTGCTTCTGGGTCCTGCTCTGGGTCTCCTAGGCTTCTGGGTCTCCTAGGCTTCTGGGTCTGGGGCAGCCGGCCAGGCTATTGGCGAGAGCGTCCAAGGCTCCGCTTCAGCCCTCCAATCTAGCAGCGACTCGCGTTGCGTCCTGAAAGCGCTAGCCATACAGCTCTCGAACCCGAGTGACGGTAGTGCTACCTCGCACTCCCACATGCCCCGGCGGGCCCACGACCAGGATCGGGACATGACTGGGGGGTCTGTCTTTTCAGGTCCCGTCCAGCACAAGGCCAAGGAGAAACAGCGCGTGGCTCAGCGAGAGAGAGAGATCCAGTCTTGGGACCCAACAGCCAGCTGGGGGTGGCCATCTAAAAATCCAGCCTTGGGACGCTAAAAAAGAGGCAGATGGAAAAAACTGCTAAGCTTCTCAGCCGTCGTCTCTGTAGCGCGTATACTGTCTGGTCTGGCTGCTTCGATCCCATATACTTGTGGGCAACCTGCGCCATACATATTCGCCCCAGAAGAACGCCAAAAACGACGCCGTCCGGAGCCACAGGCAAACCTTATTGACTCTGCTGTATTGTTAACCGCTCTTATCCAACTGCGCTATCTGCTCAACCTTCCGTTCGCAGCTGTATCGCTGAGAGGCCAAGGGAAACTTTGCAAAGACAAGTGAATAAAGTCCGGCCGGCACCCCCATCCCTTTGCGCCTTCCGCATATCCCAGAGATACGCCGTCGTTCTTGTTGCGTCGTTGCCAGGACGTCGAGTGCGAAAACATCAAGGAATCGTGTAAATCTGGGCAAAATCGAGCAAAATCGAGCAAAATCGAACTTGACAAAGCTAAGTTCGGATAGGCCGCCGCCATGGACGATACGTCTCATGACAATAACCCGCCACCAAGCTTTTCCTCACGACGACCTGCAGCTGGCGCTCTGCCTACCTTCTCTCTCCCTCCACCGCAGCCCGAAGTCTCCAGCATTGACGACCCGTCCTCTCGGCCTCGCACCTTTTACAACCTTGGCAAGAGTCTCGATCTGAACCCTCCTGCGTCTGGAACAAGTGATGGGCTGAGCCCCAGCCTGTCGAGTGTGCACACGAGCAGTTCGCAAAGTTCACAGGCCCCCGCCAGCATGCAGCAGTATACATACAGCGGCCACGTCCACGGAAGCTGGCCAACCCCAAGCAACTCTGCGTATAGCGTCAGTTCAGGCTCGGCACAGCAACCTGCTCCTATGCAGAATCCCGGTGGATCGTCCTATCCCGTCAATCCCGCCAACGGCACTCAGCCGCCTCTGGGAACAGCTCCCTATGGCGGGCGGTCATCATCGATGTATAGCCAGCCCGGCTTGCCATACGGGAACCAGCGTAGTTCGCAGTCTCCGGCCACTGGGGGAGATGGACTATCAGCTCAACCATACGACCACCACTCGTTCCAGTCCTCTGCAGGCCAGGACGGCCACTCTGGGAACTTGATGGCTGCTCCCCACGTCACACAAGCGCCGGGGACCTCCAACTCTTCCGCCCATGTTGACTCTTATACGCACAGCAGACCTTCCATTAGCGGGCCGAGCTACTCCTCCTCATCGGCCCCTCAGCATCAGTCGAGCTTCCCCTACGCGACCCAACCCGCGCACCCGAGCCATTCGCCCACCGGGGCAGCGTCACTTCCTAGAGGCTTGGGATCTCTCTCCGGCCAGCAGCCTCTCCCGTCCATGGCACATCCCGGCTCCTACAGGTCCTATCAAACGTATCCACCGCTGTCAACCATGGGTGGGCCTGTCATGTCCAACATCCACCAGCCTGGCAGCCAGCTCTCGATGATTCCTGGCAGTATGGTTCCCGCTGGATACGGTGCTTCTGCTATGATGTATTCGCATCCGCCGCCGCAGCCACAGTCAGAGCGCCCGTTCAAGTGCGATCAGTGTGTCCAATCTTTTAGTCGTAATCACGATCTGAAGCGTCACAAGAGGATCCATCTTGCCGTCAAGCCATTTCCATGCACGTTCTGCAGTAAGAGCTTTTCACGGAAGGATGCTCTCAAGGTATGCACATGTGTCTACCATGTTCACTTGGCTATTGACAAGTTACTAACATGCACGATAGCGTCACCGATTAGTCAAAGGCTGCGAGAACAAGAGCCACGAGAATCAGGTAGCGGCTGAGAACGGAGGTAGCCGTGGTGGGGAGATTGATGACGATGCCAGGAGAAACTAGGTAGTCGCGCATACAGGATTGGAATTGGTATTGGTGTTAAGATAAGGACCGGAATTGGAATTTGGGACTGGGATTGGACTGGGACTGGGACTGGTTTCTACTACTTCTTGTCATACTGGAAATTACGGTTTTATGGGACATAGGATACGGGTTATATGGTTTACGGGACTTTTTTTTTTGGTGTTTTTTGGTTTTTTTTTCTTTTTGTTTTCTGCCGTTAGAAGGCAGGACGGTATGGAATGGGAGGGAATGGGATCACAGCCTACGGGCAAAAAGGAGGCTACTCTGACAAGAGCCACTGATACGGAACTGTTTATTGGCTTTGATTCTGTTATGCATATTTATGTAATAGGGGGTTGCGTTGCGGAGATGCTGCAGTGTGTAGTAGTACATAGTAGCAGCAGGAAATCTTTTTTCTTCAACCAATAAAGCACACGACTACAAGGATCTCGGCACTTGAGCTCCGTAAAGCAGAGACGATTGTAGTTCCCAGGCAAAGAGCAGGGAAGGGCACAGTAGAGCGGCAGAGCAGAGCTGAGAGCGAAGACTGGGGCTTCGGAAGCGAAATGAATCAATAATATCACGAGAGAAAGTTTCCTAGTGATTTGTCTGATGGTGATTTTCTGGTGTCATCTTTGGATTTTGGGTTTCTGACCAATGTGAAGCTATTCTCGGGATCAATGCAACATTTCCTTTCTTTTCATACGCAGGTAAGAAACCATATGCTTGGGATTAAGATCAATTAACTCGCTTTTTTACTCTGACCGGGCGCCAGACTAACGCAAGCCCACGGCAGAGGCGGTAACGCGGCTGAAGGACGAGAGACGGGGGCTGAAAAAAAAAAACCGAAAGGGAGGGAGGCGCAAGCAGGGGGGGGAGTGAGTGGCGCCCCCAAAACCTTTTTGCCTCTCTTCTTTTTGTTTGTTCTGTTTTGGGGGTTGTTGGTGAGCTGGTATAGTGGGATTGAGGGTTTTTGGAAAGAAAAGGGGGTAGGAAGTGTTTTTTCTTTTCGCTTTTTTTTTTTGGGGGGGGGGGGAGTGTGTGTGTGGCACGAGACAAGCAGGGATGAGGATGGGCTGTTCTTTGTGTGTTTTTGGGATGTGTATCTTGGAGGATGTGAGGAGTGGGTGGCTTTTGTGCGGGTTTCCCGGTTGAAATATGGGAGTTTGGGAGTTTGAGGATTGTTAAGTGGTGTTTTGTACTGGATACTCGGCACAGTGGATTGTCTACCGGGAGAAGGGGAGATATTGACGAGACTACACGCAAAGAGAAATAGCTGGTAAGAAGATGAGGGGCCAGGATCTGTTGCATTTCTGGTAAGTATTCTTGCACAATGAGAAAGTACACGTTACGACATTCCTTTGCAAGCAAGACGAAGAGGAGACTTGAGACATGCATTGCATTGTACAGGCAAGGGAGGTAAGCGGTAGGTGGTGCTACCCACGAAAGCACTCTATAGATTAAAAGGAAAACAGAAAAAGCGTGCTCTACGCTCGTGCTACTTGTACGTATATAGGAGCGATATGGAGTAGGATCTAATATACTGGTCTGTTTGGTTTCAAGCCCGTGAGAGAGACAGAAGACCAGGATGTATTTACTGGTTTTGATTTCGACTTGGTTGTATGAGAGACAAAGAGAGAGAGAGAGTAAGCTCAGGTTTGATTGCATTGGATGTGTCATGAGTGCATACGTTGCTTGCTCCTTGCGATATAGTCTGCTGCGGCTGAGAGCGGGATATACAGGTACCCTTGAAATGGATCCTAGTTGAAGATGTCAACGATTACGGGGGGGGGGGGGGGGGGGGGGGCTGCATGGACTACCTGGTGCTAGTTTTGGGCGATCCCGTGTGTGCTGATGATGCGGAATACGTACAAGTATCCAGTCATGCACCCAATCACCATTTATCGAATATTGTCCTTTGGGTTAGTAGTAGCAGATGTAGTGTACGGTGGCTGGGATCCAAACAAGGGCAAGGCACATGGCAAGGTCACTAGCGAGTCTCAATCAGCCTCACGATTGTGCCTATTTCCATGTAGCTACATGTTAGTTTCGTTCCCTCCGTTACTTTACCTGGTTCTTGACTCAGTTCAGGCCTACAACTTAGCAGAAGTAAAATAGAAAGGACCACTTGCAAGGTTACGCCTCAGCTCATGACCTTGAGTCTCAAACAGGGTATAGGATTGAAGAAGAGAGAAAAGCTGAGTTTTTTTACATTTGCATACATGGCTCTGAGCTGTGCTGCCACACACCGGACGTTGTGAGAGGCCAGATTAGTCGAGGAGTGCGTCTTGTGGTGGTGTGCCAGCTGGGACATTGGCTTACTGTGCTTCCTGGATTCACGGAAAAAGAGAAAATACGAAGAATGTACGTAGATTTATATACATATATATTATTTATATATGTATGTTTGACATGTGCCGTTCATGATTCTGCTTCTATAGAAGCGGCGCAGAAACGGACTCTGCTCAAGACACATCCATCACTTATACCGCAACAAAGCCACGCGCCATTCAAATCAAGCCGTTTACCGGGATTTTCTTTCTCTTACAAGGATCAAAAGACGCCTCATCAATGACATGCTTGTTTTTCCGACTCGCCTACTCCTCGCATATGCTCCAGCCCAGCCTCTCATATTACATTGTCCCAGCCGCACGCACGACAGACACTTTTTGTGCAAATCCGTAACACCACATGAGATGGAGATGCACACGCCCCCCCATTGCCAGCTTCTACAAAGGCACGAGTACTGCTACTGGATGCTACTACTATCATCTACAAGTACACTAGTAGACAGTAAAATGAGCACAGCCGCTTCGCTAAAATCGCCTTCTTGTCTCCCCTCCCCCTTTTTTTTTTCTTCGTGTTGCCTTGACGCCGCCACCTCCTTTGCGGCTGGGATCTTATCAGCCCCTCTCTACAAGGTTAAAGAGTCATACGGTAAACCATATTTAAAAATAGAAGTAACAAGCATTTTTCTAAAAACTTAGACAAATGTCAACTAATGTATTTCATATATCTAGGGGGGGTTAATGTGGTAGAAGAGAAGGCATCCCGCAGATCGGTAAACGGCGACGGGATACAACGTACAACAAAAATCAAAAGCGGGAAAGGTACAAGGTTCGGGTCGATACGCGCGCCGCGGATGGCTGCATAAATGGCTGCATATTTTTTTGTGGCGACTGTGCGCTACAAGACGTGTGTGACCTACTGACTTGAGGCTTTTTTTTTGTCAAAGCGTAGGTACTGAGGTTGTGCGGCTTTGCCTTATTCAGACGGGAAGAGAAGGCCATGCCTCGTTCAAAGATACATGTATTAGGACTGACAATGGTGGCCTTTGTTTTGTTTCTTCGATGGGTGTTTGTGTAGAGATGGTAAAGCCATATTATAAGCCGTGACACAGATATTGGCCCGTTTGGGATGCTTACATGTAGCGGTTTACTGATTATGGGATGAAGTTGCTATTTTCAAGCATTTACTATGCACTAGGTATTTTTGAGCAGGGGTCTTTGGACAACATGGGATTCATCACATCTGCCAGTGTAGCAGCGAGTGTGGATTTGCGTTTTGCGTTTACCGAAACGATACCGACGATTATCAAGTACTCAGGTCCGGACCAGTTCCGGATTTTCAAACCTTTATTGGGTGTTCATAAAAGTAAAAGGGTGGTTGTGATTCGCCTGGGTGTATCCTTATTAGAGATTAAGAATTTGCTCGAGGCCAGGGGCGTGGACGTCGAACATTGGATAGCCAACTCTATTGCATTTGTTAGGCGAGAAGTTCAAAAAAGACAAGGATACCGGAAGTAGCTGCAAATTTCCAAAGAGCGATACTACGTCAGACCTTTCCCTTCTCCGTCGTATTGCTCAGGACTTTCATGGGTTTTGTACTTCAGTATAAATTTAAATCTTTCAGCAAAAACTATTTATACGAATAGGATACAGGCATCAATTACAATCAACAGACCATGGATATTACTTGCTGATGGTTTATACGAGATGTGGGATATTTCGTGGAGGGAAAGTTTCTGCAGAGCATACTCTGAGCTACTGCTAGGTATCACCAAAGTTCATAACAAGTAGATGGACGAAAACGTCAGAGTGAGCTATTACTCTCCACTACAAAGGATTCTTCTATAAACGGCGCTCATCAATCGCCCAAAAATAACATGCATTTCGTCATTATACAAAAATTTAATTCGTCACGCTTCTCTACGCTTAAATGTCATATTCACCTCGCCAAAAGTCATGATAAATGCGTCGACCCCCTTCTCAAAGGTGGCGCCATCCTCCCCAGGAGCAAAGTCAAAGTCAAACGTCCAAACGAGCCTCGCAATCACCTGACGAATGTCCATCAAGGCCATGCGCTTTGCTATGCAGCCATAAGGGCCTAGTAAATGGGACAGATTAGCGATGAAACGGGCCATTTTTGATCGTAAGTGCGGTACGTACCAGTTGAAAATGGAGCAAACGCATCCTTGTTCTTAATCATGTCTGGGAATTGATACCAGCGCTCGGGAATGAATGAATTGGCATCTGTGTATACATCTTCATCTGTGCAGATGAACATTCGTCATTAGCAGACTGCTATAAGACACAGACTGGGTCAAAGCTTGCTCTCCTTCCAAAAGACTTACTTCTGCCGATTGCATACTGCGGGGATATAACAGACATGCTCCCCGGGATGTAAACGTCATCAATCATGATGCCCTCACTGGGTGTTTGGCGATATACCGTTGTTGGCACAGGGGGGTAGAGCCGAAGCGACTCATTAATCACTGCGTTTAGATGCTCGAGACGCGTCATCTCATCTTGAGTCGCTATAATTTGTGAGTTGCGGACAAATGGCGCCAGCTCCTGTCGTAGCTTTGTAATATGCTGCGGATGCTTTGCAAGCAGGCGTGTGATGGAGGTCAAGCTCGCAGCCGTTGTGTGACTAGCATTCTGTCAATAAAATTCTTGCATTATCACCATTCCAAATCCATGTCATCTCACCTCCCTGCAGTGATTACAAGCTGAGAGTCTCCAGTCAATAAATCTGCCTCTTCAGCGGTAGGCTCCCTTCCTTCCAGCGGCTTCAGGAGTGCGGTCATGATGTCGGGAACATCCGGTTCGTGCTTCATCCGAGCTTGGTATCTCTCTCTGCAAAAGTCGACAAACTCGAACCAAGCCTTTGACAAGGCGGGGATGCTCATTCCAAGCACCAGGAGCCACACTGGGAGATGGAGCCCAAGAGGCACAAATCCAGCTTCCAGCATGGCGATGGCTCGGTGGTTTTGAGAAGTCTCGAGCATATCAAACGGCTTGCCAAAAGCGAGATCGCCCATGACATCGAAGCTATAAAAGTGAAACCACCTGGCCATGTTCATCGGCTGGCCATTAGAAGCAGCAATCTTGTCAAACAGCATATCACGATATTTTTGCATCCGTTGCTCATACCCCTTCAATGCCTGATCGCCAAACGCCTGGCTCCACACACGGCGGCGGCGGTCATGCTGAGCCTTGTCACGAAAGATGTGAACCGATGTCATGGGCAGCGTCATGTCGTAGTGAGGATCTTTCCTGCATTTCGAGTTGAGCCCGTGAAAGGCATTGACGGCTTTTGGATCGCGCACCGACAGCTCGGATGGGCCAATCCGTACATATGGGCCGTATTTGTCATGGAGCGCAGCAACTTGTTGCCATCCATTGAGACGTCGGAAGTGGCATATCAGCCAACCAGTTGAAATGCGAGCGCCGATGGGGCCTGGGAACTTGTTGAGTGGGTGGAAGAAGAGCCTGTATGTGACGAGACTGGAGTAGAGGCCGAGAAAGAAGCATCCGTGGGCTTTTGCTGATGAAATGATGGCTGATAGCCAGTCTGTACTGGGCGTTTTGACAAATATAGGCGACCAGTTGAAGATGGACACTGCTAGAAAAGATGCTGTCGCGGCCAGAATGTAGCGGAGGGCGTGACGATGATGTTCTCCTCGATTCAAGTACAACAAGTGAGTCGCAACGCCACCCAGGGCCGCCACAACGTCCATGTAAGGCGCCGGCATCGCGCAGTCCCTCATACAGTCCAACAATGAATGAAGAGAAGAGCCAAAGTCTTTGGCGTCGTCAAGGTTTTAAGTCTGGCTAGTAGTCAATGGTGTTTTATTGGTTGCACGTGCCTCAGCCTCGCCCTGCAGAAGGGTTGAACACACGTCACGCCGCCATTCGCTTCACACCAGAGGCCGGATCCAGCATCGAGAAAGCAACTGCCGTGCCACTTGGCATTGTTTGTTTATACGTTGTATCCAATGGGATATCAAGCAGACTATCGCAAGAGGCTTTTGAGCCCTATGCGAGTGGGTGACAGAGCAGACTTCCCGGCGGGGTGGCACCGTATTACACTCATTCGCCGATCGGAGATACCAGAGGGTCGGTCCTACAAGCATGTAAGAACTATCGTTTCGAAAGCCAATGCTAGACAGGTAGCAATTCTCGACGGCGTAATGCTCTTCTCTAGTTCAAGTGTAGCACACTTACAATTGGTATATCACGGACGCTAAATCGGGAGCTACATGAATACGCCCTGAACCGATGCACACATCCACATTCGGCAACTGCATGCCGATAACCGCATCCTCCAAGAATAGAAGAATCAGGACGAATCGCGGCCGTCAACATGCGGCTCTGCGGCACAGCTTGCAGGTGTAACAGCAGCGGCCATGGATATTGCTTCAATGCAATCACCCAGTTGACCTGCTCACGTGATTCGTCAGGCTGCGAACAAGAGTTGCATTCATGGGGCATTCATGGGGCTTGCATGCTGGGCTGGATTAGGCAGCAATTTTCATTGTTTCTCGGATTGAATGAGTTAGATCAACCCTACGTGCACATGGATTCTAATCAATTAAATTCTCCGAGTCTATTTGTCTACTTTCCAAATGTGGCTCTCGGAAAGGATCCTCCCATATTCGGCCACGATGCTAGAGTCGCTCGTCTTTTACCCAGCAGCGAGAGCTTTGGAGCACTTCAGCTGTGGAGAATAGCCGAGTTACAAGATGAACTGCTTCGGATCTCTGCAGTGATGGGAGACAAAAAGGATACAACTGAAGAAGATGGAAGAGCCATCGATGAGGCTTCATCAGCCTGTGGTAATTGAAATGTTCTGTTTTCCTCACCTGCAGCGGCTTACTCATCTACATTGCTATCCAGCCGAAGCCATTCGGAACTATGAGACTCTGTCCGATAATGCAGCCCCTACCGTTCCACACAGCGCTATTTTTATTCCTCGCTGCAGGCATTGAACATGACGTCCCCTTCCAATAGCTACTTTGCATCAATACTGCCTCCCTCGTTTGAATGCAAGAGAGAGTACCATCACAGCATGACGGTATGAATGTGAGAAACGGCGTCATAGACGAGGCAATAGGGCCCGTTGGCTTCCGTGAAATCGACCAAGCAGGGCGCATCCACCGAGCAAAGAGGAAGGCCTTTACGACACGCGGAATCTTTGCTCTGCTTGGGGAAATCTCGCTGATTGGCCCCATCCTCATCATGACGCTTCATGCGTCGACCAGCACAAACCTCATCACCGTATCGGTGGCGACCTTAATCTTTGCTCTAGTCATGAGAGTGCAGATTGAGGCTGCGATGGCCTATGCTTTGCTCCTGGACAAATCCCGATACAGCCTCTTGGCACCACAGCCCGAGCTCATAACATCGGCCCATGTAAAGTATAGATATAAAAAAAAACAAGTCCAAGGAGCTGAGGATAAATCGGCCAGCCTCATCGTCAAGGCTCTCAAACAAGCGCACATCTGCAGCGCAACACGCGTATTCCGAAAACAGAAAACAGCCCCAGCGCAAGTACTGCAGGTACCTCCCCCTCAGCTGCAAGTACCGCTACCTCAACAGCGACCTCGAGCTAGAGCTTTGGGTCCCACCCAGCCAAAACATTGGTAGCTCTATACTAATTGTTTGATTTGCGTCCATTTGCGCACGATAAACCAAAGGGAGAGAGCGGCGAGAAATGGGCCTGGAAAACTGTGAGTTGCGCAGGGTCAAGAACCGCTACCGGTCGATCGGGTCGGTTGAGCGAGTTTTTAGTCATGAAACAGACCATTGAGAATGCTCGTTTCCACGAGAGCGAATACTGGGTAATGTGGAAATACTGGGGTCATTATCAAACATGCTCGATAGGGCAGTTCATGAATAAATACTTGAATAGAGCTCATTCATTTTACATCAGTTTCATTCATCTACAAATACCCAAGACGAAAATTATACAAACAATCTCGAGCTGCTGCTTAGAAGAATTCACACACCTATATATTCTCCGCTGTCCTGGCTGTCCTGGCCTCGGCCTTTTCCCCATCTCCACCGGTTTTCTCAAAAAATCGTGCTTTAAATAGCCATTAGCACGAGCACCAACAAGCGGGTCGTTTGTCCACTGCAGCTAGCGGGCGTTTACTCGTTCTTCGATACATAAAGGCGGAGTGGCAGCTGTTGCTTTTCGTTGATATCCCAAAGTTTCCGTCACACTCTCTTCGAGCTCAAGGTCTCACAAGATCAAGCATTGGGCAAACCCGTTTGTTTATACAACACGTGTACAGAGTACACAAATAGAACGGGCGTTTCCGTTTTCTAGACGTTTCTCTTTCCTTTCGCTTTCTCCTCCTTCTAGAAGGTCGCAATCCCACTAAAAAGAGCAACACTTGTTCTCCAGCAAGAAAAACAAGACACCATGAACGACATGAGCGGCATGGACGACTCATCGAGCAGCTCCAACTCGAGCAGCTCCTCCATGAGCACGGGCATGGCAATGACGTTTCAAACCGATATTCGAACCGCCCTCTTCTCCACCGCCTGGACGCCCCAGAACGCGGGCACCTACGCGGGAACCTGCATCTTCCTCATCGCCCTCACAGTCATTCTCCGCCTGATCGTGGCCTACAAGACCTACCAGGAGCGCGTCTGGGCTGACCGAAACGCCCAGCGACGCTTCATCGTCGTCAACGGCAAGGAGCCCATGTCGGAGCGCCTGTCAAGAGATCCGGACGCGAAGCAGATGACCATGATGCTCTCGGAAAACGGCGTCGAGGAAAAGGTCCTGGTGGTGGAAAAGAAGCACCACGCGGTTTCTCCTTGGCGATTCAGCGTGGATCCTCCCAGAGCGGCTTTGGATACAGTCATTGTCGGCATTGGATATCTGCTGTGAGTTTTTTTTTTCCTCTCTTTTCTACATACATGACACATGACACTCAAAACTGACTTTTTGTTTTTAGCATGTTGGCTGTCATGACTTTCAATGTCGGCTACTTCATGTCCGTCCTGGGCGGCACATTCCTGGGGAGTCTCCTTCTCGGCCGTTACGGCGGCATCCCTGGCCATTAAGAGTCGCAATTTACGACGACTTTGTACAAACGGCTTTTGCTCTTAATTTCTGTACGACGATCACGACATCAGCATTGCAATGGGCGGTTATGGCTTCTTTTTTTTTATTTTCCCCCAAATCATCTGTGGATTTTACGGATGGGGCGTTACGGTGTTTTCTGGCCATTTGGGCCAAGGGGGACCTACATTCAGGAGACGGGGAGAACAGGATGAACGGGATACCAAAAAAAATATCGAGCCGCAAGGGAAGGGCAGTGGTATGGATTAATTATCAATAAGGCACAAAAACACAGAAAATATTGAAATATTCCTCAATGGCTTGGAAATCACAAACATCTAATCTTCAGCACATTCCAACTGCGGTCGTTGTATCCAAAACGCTGCATGTCACTCAAAAGTACCCCGAGTATCCGGTACTTCCGCCCCGTACCTCGCGCGCAAGCTGATTAAAAACCTTCTCAAACTTGCTCAACAGTGGTTCGTTGCCGAAAGCGGTAAAGCTTTTCTTTTTCTTCGTTCGAACTGAGAAAAGTCACGTGATGGTTCACCGGAATGCTGGGTCTCAGTTGCTTACGTCAGACCAGTAGAACGATTTGGAGCTTCGAATTTGGGTTATCGTCATGTTCAAATCATTTAAAGTCGAGCTGAGTACCTGTATACAAAAATGGGTGCTATTATTAAAGACGAGTGCAGTATGTCCCCAAAAAATCATGTTATTAGAGAGATTTTTCGTCTGAAGATATGCCAGTACTGCTACAGTTCAAAACCTACATCTTCGTAACAACGTACAGTATCCTCAACACAAGTCACCAATGAGAGCATCTCCAAAACCAGCAACCAGATTTCTAAAAACCGCTGAATTAACGTTTTGTACGAGTTACCATCATGCAAGACAGGCATCGAAAAAACTCGCTACACTGACCATCCACGCCTCAGTTCTCCCTCTTACGGTCTTGTCGAACGTGTGTACTCCGTATGAAAATGAACAAAGCACCAAATCTCATAACCAACACAACACACCTCCAAAACTTCAAACCCCCCACTCACCCTCACTTACAACCAACACCAAGATCTAACCAACGACACAGCCCTTTCCTCTTTTAAAAAGAAGAAGAAGCAAGACGTTCCGAGAATCGTAGCCTCCCGCCCAAGTTCCCGGAATCGCCCTATCAACCAAAAACCGTCCAAACGTAAAGGAAAAAGATATTCTCAATATAACCAGAAGATTAAAAAAAAAAAAAAAAGGTAAATAAATATCACAACACTCATTTCTTCCAAAAGCAGCAAAGAAGAAAAAGAAAAAATTCCCTATTCCCTATTCTGTCTCTCTCCCAAAATCTCCCAATCACATCCTCCCCCTCAACCAAAAAAGGCAACCCATCTTCCCCAATCCAGGATAGATACACCAAGTATGGCAAAGGACGGACCAGAAAAAAAAAATCTAATCACCCGAAAAAAAAAAGAGGGAGCATGAATAATGGCACGCGCCCGGCTGGGCCCGCCTCTCCGCTTCAGCTAAGGGGGTCAGAAAATTGCCTATTCAAGCAGTCTCGCAGGGCTGATCTATGCCAAAACGTGTGTAGTAGGTAAGGGAGACGGTTTTTTTTTTTTTGTCTTTTCTTCTAACCTCAAAGAGGCCATTTGGGAGATCGCGAATCTTGCTTCTCCGTGCCGCGCGCACTGACTCGATCTAGTGGGTTGGAATCTGGGGATGGGAAAAAGAGACAATTCACAGTTACATTGAAACATACTTCATTAGCATCGCAGGAAATAGAAAGGAGAAAAACCTCTGTTGTTCGGCAAGCTAGATTCATCAAATTCGTCTGATGTCCTTATCGTTTTTTCCTGCCATCAACAAATCATGCCCTCGTGTGTCCATTATCATCCGCCCAGCATCATTCTGCCCTCCCTCCCATATCCGCTTCCAACCTCCCAAAGTCCAAACCTGCCCAGACCTGCCACCTAAAAGTACCAACCTAATTCCTGAGATCGCTGTGCCTCAGCCTGAGGGATGCCGCATCTCGCTCAAACCATGCCCTAAAGCTGGAACCCTCCACGTCAGTAGCGAGATCTGAGAGAACTCTCTTTCGCATACAAGACTTCAAAATTCTTGCACAAAAGGCCGCCGCCAACGTCCATTCTTGTCGTAATCGATACAGTGCTCAGCCCTCCTTTAACACACGCCGTAGACGCTTCAAAACGAGAGGTGCCACAGATACAAAAACGCCTCTAAACCTTTCCGGGACTGAGAATATAAAAGGGTAGATCTTGGCAGAGTCAGCGCAGCAAAAAGGCTGCACATCTTCTTGGTGTCCTGAGTTGGATCCTCTTTCCCGGTGGAAATAAAAAGGCATCAACGTCCGCGTAGCTCCAAAATTTGAAACATCGAAAAGAAGTCGAAGTGAGAAAAAAAAACTTGGTAATGTGGGAAAGCGCAACATTGAGTGTAAAATAAAATAAAAAGAACAGATATGGAAAGCATATCAACACGTCATCAACGCCGAACTAGAACATTTGCATAATGTTGTAGCAACATCCTGGAGACGACTCAAGGCCCGAGAAGATCTCCAAGGGTTGTTCAAGGCTGGGCATAAGCGATTGCAAGCTTTAGCTTACAGTATGTCCCCATAGTCATGATCCTACTATGACTGATGATGAGAGCTGGGAGGCATTCCTGGCTGCGGAGGCATGCCAGAGCCATAAGCCTGGTTACGCTGCACATAGCTCTGATATGCCAGAGCTTGCTGAGGATCCATGGGCATACTAGGCGGCATGTAGCCTCCAGGGCCCATATGAGGATTCTGGGGCATGCCAGGGCGGCTCTGCGGTGGCAAATGGCTGGGAGGCTCTTCAGGAGAGTCGACTTGGTCACCACCGTCCACTCCATTTTCACTGCCCGTCGCGGGCTCAGGTGCGTTGAGGCATGCCTATTGAACAAACCGATCAGTAACAAGGTCTCGAAAAGAAGGTGGGTGAATGCGTGAAGAGGGTCGTTTGGCAGCTGATTTGTCGCACAATATCCAGCTTCCCTGGTAGAGGAAGGATGGGGGCAAAGGGAAAGACATTTCGGCATGGCTCGCAGCAACAGCCTTTTGACTAGAATTGCATACCTGGATCAAATTCTTGCCCTCGGCCTTGGTAACAAGCGGCTGGAGCTTGGGGGTCGTAAAGGTATAAACCAGGCCCGTCTCGGAGACGACCAGCAGGAGAACTTGAGTGCCTGTCAGGACAGATAACTCATATGCCTAGAGTAGAGAGAAGATTCATCGTTAGCTGTGGAGCTCTGGTGCGAGTAAAGTTCGGATCCAGCGGAAGGCCAGAATTGACAGCAAGTTCTTGATCTGGTCGGTGGCGCGCGCGCGTTGACCAAAACAAGACAGCTTGGAGAGAGAAGGTATTTTTTTTTTTTTTTGGTGGTTGAAGAGGGGAGCAAGCTTCGACTCGTGTCCAAAGTGATTGCATCAGCACATACCTTCTTCATGATGCCCGCCTTGCGCTTGGAAAAGGTGATGTGACGCCTCGACTTATCGCTGATGAATTTGATCTCTATCTTGCGGCGCTCACGACCGCCCTTATCGTCGTCGTCGTCGTCGTCGTCGGCGGCCGGGCGCTGTCGCTTGACGCCGCGGTTCTCGTTGTTCGCGTTGTTGCCATTGCCCACCGAGTGCGCGTCGTCCAGGTCCGCGGGCGACGTCTGGTCGTGCTGGTCGGTGATGTCGGCCATTGTCGAGAAGGGAATCGCGGTTGCAACTGCGACGGCGACTATAAACTGCCAATGCCAATCCTAATCCGAATCCAATCGTCGTCGACTTGTATCACACGGCGCTGGAAAAGGCAACGAGTGGTGGAGATACTGCTTTGAGCGTGGTGCCGATGGATCTATACTGGATCTGGCGGGTTTTTTCTGCTTGGGCGGAGAGGGACAGGCGGTAGAAAAAGGGAACTTGGCCTTGGGTGGCAGAGGGGCCCTAATGCCGTTTAGAGGTGCTGGAGAGAGCTGCGAGCACGGCAGGAGGCCAGTGGGAGGCGGCGGGTGCGCACGGTGGCGGTGCGAAACAGGTGGGCAAGCGGGCAAGAGGCGCGGAGAGCGAGAGGAATCTAGCGGGTGCTACTGGTGCCATCGCTGCTTTAGTACGCCCAGCCTGCGCCTGCCCCGAGGACCCCTATGCCGAGCGCTAGTGCTCTGTCGGGGCGCTTGCAGGCCGGAGGGGTTTTAGCTGGCGTGGAGCGGGTGTTTTTGTGAGCGCGGCTGCGTGAGGATTTGGCGATGCGACATGGCCTGGGCTATCATTGTCAACGCTAGCCTGCTGCCGGTGCCAGCCTGCCAGACGCCTTTGGCTGCGCAGAAAACAGGACGCGGGCGGCATAACGCGGCGTGGCTCCTGATAGCACGGCCTAGCTTGGCTGCAACGCCCAGCGCAGCGCCAGCTTCGGCGCTCCAAAGTTGGCACCCGGCACCGAAGAAAAGAGCGGGGCTGCGAAATAAAGTCAGCATCCGGGCGGGGCCCTACCGTGCAGACAGGCGCGCGTCTCGGCACTGTATTAGCCCGGCTCTCCCAGCCTTCATGTTCTGTTCTTGCACTTGCAGAGCCTCGACACCAAGCGGTGGATCAGCAAAGCTTCCATCCCATATGGGCCGATTAAGGACATGTATGCACTCCGTACTCCGTGCAGCAGTCTCTTAAAAATCACGCGTTACTAATGCGTAGAAGCAGATGGATGCCGGTACAATGTGCAGCGCTTGTACCAGATACAGTGTAATGCACAGTGTAATGCATCTATCTCTTTGTTTGCATGCGGATGACAGCGTACAGTACAGGCAAAAACAAGCACAGGTGGCCCGCTCGGTACAGTACTATCTTGGCCCCCTCTCTCGCACTCGCCTGTCGTGCTGGTTCGATCTTCACTTTGCCGTGTCTGGACGCGCGAGCTAATAATACGAAGCATCTAGACAGAAACAAGAAAAGATGATGCGCTCAACTAAGGTTAGAGGACAAGGTAAAAGGATAAGGCAGGCCAGGTAAAGTGATGATGAGATCTACGGGACGCTCGCGCCGCCTCTCCATAACGACTAGCCTCCCACCCACTGATCAGACGCAGGGAAATTGACTTTGCCCTTTGTTCTCGTATTACGGCACGCCAGGAGCCACTCTGGATGGCTTCCGGGTTCTGGGTGCTCCGTATCCCACACCGAAAGCGAAAGCGGTCGAATCTTGATTCGCCCAATCAAGCCTCTGTCTCTGCGTCTCTTCTTGTCTGCTCTCTCAACGCTCTGCTTTCGTCACTTGACCCAGACTGTGACTGTGGATGGCTGCATCAGGATGGGATGTCGTTGGCTCGCTTGCTTGCACTTCCACTTCAGCCCTCAGGGGTCAGAGGCTGGACTCGCTTCTCGACCGTCATCCTCCATTCTTTAGCCATGTGCAAACCTGGCACGCACATTGTGACCGTCAGCAGCGAACAGGGCCTCCACTCCGATGGTGTCTTGCTGCAGACTGGTGGTCGGCAGATGCAGCAGGGGAATCCGGCATCCTATTGATCAGAACAACGGCTGAGCATTAGCACCCGTAAGCACGCGGTGGAGTTTGTCCCAGGACGCTTTCAACAGAGGCGTCGAGATCAGGGCGTCACGCAAGTACCGACACGCGGCAGCTCTATCAGAATTGCGTGCGAGCTTTGCCCAGGGCGTGTTGCATATGCAACAACAAGATACCTGGGAGCCTTATCACGGAATTGTAAGAAGGTGAGACCTGCCTTTGACGGCTCGCCGCTTATTCTCAATTACCCCCTGCCAGGCTTCGATTTTCGGAATTGCTAGCACGGCGCCGAAGAAGAAAAAAACACTGCAGAAAAACGCTGCAGAACCGCGCCGCAGGAAGCCCCTGCGTACTGCATGAATGACATGATAGCTTTCAGGTGCAGCCGCGGCACCGCTGCTATTTTGGCGAACTTTTGTCTAGCCCTTGGTCCTATCACACTACGGAATTGCTCCGTAAGTGCCATTCTTCCACTTTTCTTCGTTGAAATTAGGAGGAGAGACGCGGGCGAGAAGGAAATACAATGGAGCAGCTGAATGGTTGCGAAGTGCCGTTGCTGCTCCATTCCAGATGCCCAGAAATGCTATTCTTATTTTGATGGCTACCAGCAATCTGATGAGTGCCAGTCATGGGGCTGGAAGGGTTTCACCTTTTTACGGGGAAGCGACGCGTGAGGGCTGACGCGAGGCCCTGGACCTTGTTTGTGCTGCTCTGCCGTTCTCTTGGTTCCATCTCTCGTATGCGTACCTATGGGATGGGATGCTGCAGACAGGTACCTCGAGTACTTTAAAGCGCGTGCCACCAATATTGCAGACTGCGAGCATGTCCACATCGAGCTGACAAACACGGGCCATGCCAATCTACCACTACGGCCCACAGACAAACAGAGACACTGCCGACTTACTGATACTGTAGTACTCCGTACATGCCAGCTCGATGCAATCATTGATGCAATCAATGATGCAGATAATCGTCCCCCCGAATCCGTCCTAGCGAGAACCGTGCTCTCGATTCACGCGGATACAGTGGCAGCACCGCAGGGCAAGGCAGCGCCCGCCCAGGCCTGCACTGTCTGTATATCGAGCTGGGGGCCGCACAGCAGCCAGGACACCTTCATTTTGCGTCGCCTGCTCCAAGGCGCGCCAAGTTCGCAGCGGCTGTCAGAAAAGCTTGGGGCAGCAGCAGAAATGGGGGCCATTGCCACTTTAGGCAGCTAACGCAGCAGGGCTGGCCACAGTGCGCGAAGGATTCTCCAGCCACCACGGCCTACCGAATTGGGGTTCCACCAGGCTATATGGCCGCGGCGAATTGCAAACTGCCTGAACAGCATGGGCATGTGCTACGCGCTTGTCCCCGGAGCGCTGATGTGATGGACTACAGCATATACAAGTACTTACTGTACGCTGCAGCTGCTGTTATGCGGAAAGGAGCCGTGCTCTGCTGGTAAGCTGCCATGACACGGCATTTACACCACCAGGTTCTTCATAGCAAGGGGAATCAGCAGCTTGTCTACAGGACTGCATGTACGTCAAAGCCGTGCGTCCACTCGGCCTACTCCACCTGATTGCCAATTGACGGCTGAGCGCGGTGCCATGGCTGGCTGAGCAAAGCTGGAGCTGCTGCCGTGCTGTGCCACCCCAGTCGCGATCCCGTACAGTGCAGGCTTACCGTGTCGCGCCCACGGGTAGCGAGCAGGTTACGGGGCCTGTATCCCCCTTATAAGCATAGGCCGTGGCGGAGAGTTTTGCTAAAGCGAAGAGCTGGGCTGAAGATTGCCAAATTCTCACCGGCCTGATGTGGTTTTCTTGTTGCCTAAGAAAAGAGGCGGCAAGAAATCAGGCGACAGCCGAGGTGCTGCCTGAGATGTGAGGCCGCATTCCGTTTGCCTCTCTTTCTCTCTCTTCTTCATCCTCTGAGAAGCGAGATGGAGTCGTTCGTATCGAGGGCGGCGGGCGAGCAAAGGCCGAAAACGGGCATCTTGTCCAGTGGAAGGGGGCTTAGAGCACCTTGATTCGTTTTGCTGTTCACTCGGGCGAGCAACAAGCGATAGGATTCAATTGCTAGTAAAAAAGAAAATGAAGCAATGAAGAAATAAAAGTGAAATGATGCTTCATCTCATGCGGCCTTGCAAAAATATGCTGCGGCGATGTCTAAATACTATCAACCTACTGGGTGCCTGTCAAAATGACAAGAGACGCATTGAACAACACCACGGCAGCGAAATTGCCAACGAAATGATCAGCCCATATTGGAACTGCGCCCAAAAAAACATCCATACCCCCAAAACCGCTTCCAAAACGCCAAGCAAGCCGCCGCCTCTTGTTCGTTTCCAGGTCCCCCCTCGACGACTCCCCAATCAGGCGACTCGGGGTCCCAATCCGGGCCGCTGATTGGCCACTCGCCCCTGTCGCGCGGCGCTTCTGCTTCACCTTTCATTCCTGAAACACCGCCTGTTCGAAGGACCTCGACCAGAAACCTGCCCGTCTGAAGAGCCAAGCGCCTGGCGAGGGGGGCAAGAGTTTCGTATAGTCTCTTTTTTTCTAGTTTCAATTTTTCTTCTTGTTTCCTCTCTCTTTCTCTTTTTTTCCCTTTCTTTCTCTTCATGCCTGGTGCGTGACTCTAATCCCATTTTTTCCTTCTTAGTTTCCTTTTTTTTTTCACTTCTCTTCTTGTAAGGCTACTAGCGACCTCTTGTGTCTGCTTCTCTTTGTAAAAACTGCCGGGCAGTTGAGGTTTCTGATAGCCAATGCATTCGTTCTACTAGTCCATTTTTTTTTTCTTTCATTTTTTTCGTTTACGATTCTTGTATACCGAGCTTAGGTCTTGGTTACTATATTTTTTCAAACTTCAGCTTTTTGAGATTTCAAGGAAGAGGTTTTAGACGCCGGTCGTCAAATTCAAGTGACAAATAAAGAAAGAAAATCGAGAGGGAAACGAAAAAGAACCGAAAACTGCAAATTCTTTTTTTTTATACGACATATAACTACACCAAAAAAAAAAAAGAGCCTTCAAAATGCCTGACAAAGTCTTCGTCGCCACGGTCATCGCCGACCTCCTCTTCCTCGCCTCCGGCGCCATGGAGCTCGGCTTCTCCATCGCCGCCATGAACCTCAAGGACAAGACGCCCACCGACGGCCAGGACGCCACGCGCCACCTGCTCTACCAGCGCTTCCCCCTCGTCGTGGGCATCGTCAACGCAATCTTCATCCTCGTCACGTTCCTCTTCACCGTGCCGGCCATGGCGCTGGTCAAGCGCAACCTGCTCAAGATCAGCGGCTACATGATTACCGTGTGCGCCGTCTTCACGCTGGCGGTGGGCTTGTACCTCTGGATCATGACGTTGACGTTGAAGGAGACATTTCTGCCGGTTTATGAGGATCAGGATTCGTCGATTCAGTCGTTGGTGCAGGTTTCGGTATGCGAACCCCCCTATTTCTCCCCCTTTTCCCGTATGCATATGGGGGGAAACAAAAACAGCATTAAATGTACAAAATAACACCGTATACTGACCACAAAAACACAGTTCCAATGCTGCGGCTACCTCAACGCCACAACTCCCGCCTTTGTCACAGACTCTGCCTGTCCCAGCCCTGCCGCGGCCGCTCTGCTGCGCGGATGCTCCACAAACATGGCCAGTTTCGCAAACGCCTTTGTCACTGACCTTTTCACAGCCATCTTTGGCATGGTCGGTACGTATATATATCATTTTCTAGAAAAGAAAAAAAAAAAAGAATTGAGAAAAATCGACTAACAGTATCCAAAAAAAGGTATCGATGCTCTCCTGATCCTTGCCATTGCCTGTCTCCTCAAAGAGCGCAAGGAAATCGAGCGCTACTACATCATTGATCAAAAGAGAAACTATGGCGGTTTGTAAGAAGCCAAAAGGGGAGCGTGAAATGAAGAAAAAATGTTAAATTAATGATTTCATCTACATAAAAAAAAAACCACCAAAAGTCACGGTTATTACTACACACATCTCTCAAAAACTCTTTTTTTTTTCAAGGCTCAAACATCACATCATGTATGAACAGCTTCTTTCTTGTCAAGTTTTATATCCCATAGCGTTTGCACACAAAGTTTGTTATATAAGTCTTGCTCTACCTAATTCCCAAAAGTAATGTTTTTAATATGAACCTTTCTTTCTCTTTTCATCCCTGCTTCTAAGCTCTTTCTTACCCTTAGCATGATAAAATAGAAAATCAGCCACTCCCATGCCAGAATAAAAAATGTTTTGATGCCTAAAAAAGAACTAGTAAAAATACATATCGTGAGTAATTTAAAACTCGCTAGAACAAAAAAAAAGATTCGGGGTAAGGGGAAAAAAAAAAGTATGGATATGAAAAGTGCCTCCTGAATATTCTCCTGCAAATTTGCTTCCCAGCATCTATCGCAATGCAAACCCGCCATGAACAAACTAGATTCCCATCGTGGTATAATATGAAATAAAATGAAATCGAGGACTAAAACAAAGTAGCCGTCTTTAGACTCTCTCAATCTCCAAGAAAAATTCAAGCTGGAGATCAGAATGCCCAAAACACGCCTCCTTTCACGTCAGCTCTCAGTCAATGATTAATAGTCTAAAAGATGTCCCTCTCAAATCGACATCAAATTTATTGTATCCCCTCATTTTCTTCCTCTTCCTCTTCTTCTTTTTGTAGACTCATACATTTGAGTCGTTGGCCCTGCCATCCGAACCTCTTTCCTCTTCCGGGTCATCTCTATAACGTTGACGCGACGGGCTGCTTTCGTTTACTATGCTGGTATCGCCCATAGAAGTACTTCTGTTGTGGCGCCTCAGCCAGTTCAACGAGAGTAAGCCACCAAGGGTATCTGAAAAGGCCGAGTCCCTTCGAAGATTTCGGCGCGCAACCAAACCTGGGAACCCAGTGCTCTTCCTCCGTCGGCGGGCAAACTTTCGAGGAGAGGGATCTGCGCTAGAACTCGGCTGGCCCGTCAAGCTCACGCCACTCATCACCCTCTTTACAGGCGGCAGTAACGGCGTTGATTCGGTTCTCATCGGAAGCGTCATCGAGCGGCGCCGCCCAGCAGGCGTGGTAGGTTCATCTTGGTCTTGTAACTCTCCCCAGATTTCATCCCGCTCCACCCAACCCAAACTCTTCTTGCGCGTCGGTGTCAGAGGAGCGGTATCGCCATGTATGACGGGGAATGTTTGGTATGCCGTAGAAGGCAGCTCGTCTTCAATCTCAGCGGCGGCTTCTGGGCCCATTAGTGATTCTTCCTCACCCTCCGTATCGTCAACGAGCCCAAGACCAGGAGCCAACGAAGACTGACCAACTGCCGGAGCATGCTGCTCGTCACTTAACCGCCAGGATAGGGCCAAGACTCCTGATAGAAGAATGATGGTGCCTACGGTGATGAGGCAGGCGCGAAGTGTTGAGATGAGGCTCGTCTGGTTGAAGTAAATTAAGCCATCCAGGATGGCGATGATGTTGTATACGCAAAAAACAAGAGGATATAAGACGGAAGTGGAAACTAGTTTCAGGCCGCGATGCAAATAGTAAAGCTGGCAGAGAGCTAAAGAAACAAGGCCAAGGACGATTGCCCAAGATTGCCAGCGAAGAAATTGGTTCTTGCCGCCTATTGTCTTGATGAGGAGCTCGACGGCGGATTTCGCAAATAATAAAGAGTGTGCTGAGAGGTCTCCACTGATGACACCGTAGCTTATGCCACGTATTAGGCGGAATTTGGCGTTGTGCGACAAGTTGGAGAGATGAGTGGTCACGTCTGTAACGACAGCCAGCGACACGACAAATAATGCCTGGAGTATCATCCAAACAATAAACGGCTTCCGGGCCAACAACTCCAAAAGCTCATCCAGCTCGTGGGCCGGTGATGGAATGGCTCCAAAGATGGCGATCAAGACTGCTCCAGCGCTGACCAGCAGGGTGCCGCATAGGGACCACCGAGTAAACGGCTCGCTGAGAATGAGCGTCGCGCATATTGAATTGAACACCAGCCCCGCGGCCTGGAGCGTCGAGAGGACGGGCAGCGGCAGCGTCGATATCTGGACGGTGCTCCCTAGGATATTCGCAATGACAAACATGCCCATGCCCACCTGCCACCTCCTTCTCCGATATGGCGGCCGGCGAACATCGTGCGGCCCCTTTTCGTCTTCGAGGATATGTGATTTTCGCTGCAAAGTGAGGCCTATACTTTGAACACTAGTCGAGATCAGGCCAACGAGGATTCCTAGCTGCGTGGCGTTAGCAAGATGCAAGAGCTCGAAGTGTTCCATCGCCCTGACTCAGGGACTGGTTGCGCGTGCATACAGCGATGCTCCCTCCGGGGGAGATGTTCCCAATAGGCCCCATTACGCCGTCTCCGGACCTGAGGTCATCCACCGGTAGATATGCTCAATAAGACGCCCGGTCGTCGCATAGGTATAGGTGCTATGTGCTGGGCAGGTTGGATATCGAATATCGAAACAAGGCTGTAAAAGGAAGCTGCAGAGTGTTTCACCCTGATTTCCCTCCCTATTTCTCGTCGTCGATGGGGGGAGAAAAGAAATGTTGATATAGCTTTCGGCCTGCCCGTCGCTTCCGTCGACAGGATGTCACCGAGCGTATACTGGCAGCTGGACCCCTGGTTCGAGTCGAGCGCACTCTGCGGTATCGTTACAATGTGGTGTACACTCGTGATGGACCGTCGTAGCGGTTGAAGGAGCCAGCCCCCCAAAAACGCGGCAGTGGTCGCAAGTAATTCGTCCGGATAGCGAGACTAAATCAGCTGGGGCCCAACGGGTGAGGCAGCGTGCAGAGAGTTGCGTTGGCGCTCGATAAATCATGCAGAGCCACCTGACGACGTCAAGCGGTATGCGAATGGAGCACCGCGTGCTGAGCTGCAGCAAGAGGTGCATAATACGCTGGGGGGAGAGCTCTGGGCCAGGATGTGGCTGGTGAGGTCATGTGACACTCGTCATCAAACCGAGCTGCTGGGATATTGCTCCTTGTGCTTTTGTCCTAGGTATGCTACAAAAGGGGAAGTTTCATGAAAACCTTTGCCATGCACATACTTCATAGAGGGATAATGAAGAGGAGCCAGACAGAAGTACAAAGCCAAGCAATCATGCGATTTCATGTAGGTACTCCGTGATTACAAGTAAATGCAGCCTCCAAAAAGGCTGCCGTTGACAAGGCTGTGGCGGTGCGCCAGTCGCGGCTCCAGAAGTAGGTGCGACGCCGTCCAACGTGCCAATAGCGCTACAGCGCTCTCTTAACCCGCTGTAGCGCTGCTCCACACTTGCATCCAAGCAGCAACATCACAGCTCCGAGATATTACGCTTCATCCCTCACGCATCCAGAGCTTCCACCAGCAAGACTCTCAACCACCCTCCCGCCACATCTTTTCACATCGTTGGGAAGAAGAGGACATAGGCCTGTTCGATTCCCTTCCCAGGCCTTGCCATACCGAGTCCCTTTCGCAATTGCTTCAACGTCATCATCATCTCCCCGCTTAGCCAAGATGTCGCAACACGCCTTATCCGACCAGCAGGCAGGTTCATCCCAAACCGCTACAGGGCCCCGGATTCGAATACGTAAATGCTAATCAAAGATATCTTTCGGCTATATAGGTCGACAATGAGCTCCGCAAGATGACCGCCTTCATCAAGCAGGAAGCCATGGAAAAGGCCCGCGAGATCGAGATCAAGGCCAACGAGGAGTTCGAGATCGAAAAGTCAAAGCTCGTCCGCCAGGAGACCGACGCCATCGACACCCAGTACGAGAAAAAGTTCAAGCAGGCCACCATGTCCCAGCAAATCACCCGGTCGACCGTCGCCAACAAGACACGGCTCAAGGTGCTCGGCGCCCGGCAGGAGCTGCTCGACAGCATCTTCGACGAGGCCCGGAAGCAGCTCGCCTCGGGGGTTAGCGACAAGGATAAGTACCAGAAGACGCTGACCGGGCTCGTGCTGGAGGGCTTCTACGCCATGAACGAGTCGGAGGTGCAGCTTCAGGCCAAGAAGGCGGACTACGATGCTGTCAAGAAGGCCGTTGAGGAGGCGGCCAAGGAGTACAAGAAGGAGGTTGGCAAGGACGTTTCCGCCACAATTGACGAGTCCAATCCCCTAGATGATTCAACGTACGTTACAGCACCGGTTCACGGATGTTCGCGGGGCATGTTCAAATTACTGACTTGGGTGTTCACTGTAGTGCCGGCGGCATCATCATCCTCGGCGGAAAGGGAAAGATTGACATTGACAACACCCTAGAGGCCCGATTGCAGCTGCTAGAACACGCTGCGGCACCGGCCGTACGAGAGAACCTATTTGGAAAGAACCCCAACCGCAAATATTACGATTAGATTCATTCCAGAAATCACTTGGCAACATATATCTTATTACCTTGATTCGAGAAAGGGGGGGAAGATGAGAGAGTAGAGGGGCCAGCATGTTGAAAGCTCCGAGGCATGCATTTTGTCGACTTAGTCTGTGCTTTTTTTTCTAGCTTAGATGTTGTATCATATGTCATTACAAAGCTAAGTTTCGTTCTTCTAATCAAATACTCAATGAAACAAATCCTCAGGCCCGCGGGCTACCCGATATATGCTCTCCAAACGCCATTGTTTCTCAAATCCATCAATGCAATACCAAATAACATCAATTACAAGAAATGCTCCTGATTTCTTCTTTCTTCAATCGCTCTCTGCTTGCGGCTTGGGTATCTTTTTGAAAAACTTGGCCATGTACTCCTGCTGCTTGGGCAGAGACGCGAGGTCCTCCTGGCCCGGAATATCAAAAATGCTCTGCTTTGCCTTTTTACGTGTCCGAACGGTATTGGAGAGGCGTTGCTGGACCCATTCGACAACGCTTTTCGCTTCGGTGCGCGTAATCTTCATGCCCGAATCGTTAATCTTGCGCCAAATCTCTCTGAGCTTTGTGGCGAGCTCGTCGACATCTTGATTAAACTTCTGATTATCTTCTGGGTTGTTTGACTCTGGCGGCGATCCATCATCAACCGCGATATCTAGAATGATAATCATGGCTTTGAGTTCCGCAAAGTCGGTTTGCGAGGTAATATTGAAATCATCCTCGCCAAGACGATCAATGATGCTTCTAACTGTAAATACCGTTTCAGGAGGCTGACGACCTAGGCTGGGGTCGTTGAACAAGAATGAAATTGCAAGTCTTCTCCGGACTTCATGTGTCCTGATGTTGCGAATAGATAGGCATTGCAGAGCATTCGCCCTAATATGCTGAATCTTGACTGTGGCGTGCAAAATTGAGCATGCGTCAACACACTGGGCAGATTAGCACTTGTGAAGCAAACTTAAAGATACTAGAAAAAGGGCTACTTACAAATGAATCCCATAATGAGCGGGGGATTGCATTAGTTAGCTTTTCAATTGCCTCTTCGTATGCCGCCAATAAGTCGATGTTGTAGATCAAAAGCTTATCCATAGACATTCGGAGCAGAATCTGGGATGCATAGATGGCAGATTCTGTTGACAAGTGGTCGGAGACCTCGGATAAAAGAACCAAGAATGACTCCAGACATGACCAGTCACGATCCTGATATGGCTCCTGGTTCAATTTTGAGACGGCAATCTCAGAATCCCGAGTTTTGATCTCGTCGGTAGCTCCAAGTCGAAGAAAAAGGTCCTCCAATCGACCAGGGGTCAGCATCCTATCCACTTGATCGTGACAACTGCTGATGATGATGCAGTATTCACGTCTGATAAGGGAAGACCTCTGGATGCATAGCTCATCCAAGATCCACTCAAATAGAGAATCCGGCAAGCCACCTTTCTTCGCCAAGATGTTTTGCGGAATGCCAGAGGTGAGGTTTCGTTCTCTAGCCGCTTGATTGCCCTGGGTTAACAAGCTCCAAGGCGAGCCTCGAGGGAGTTTTGGGACAGGCGAGCTCGGGAGGACTCTGTAGTCTTTCTTGAAGAAGCAGTATTGAGGCTGGGACTGTATCGGCTCCGCTCTTTGCACAGCCCTGAGCACTTTGTGTGCATCTTGCCCGCTCTTTTCTTTGACGATATCAGTAAAAGCAAGGTCAAAGGCCTCTCCTCGTGGTGGTGACGAAGGCTCATCCGCAGATGCTTTTGCTCTCACGGAGCTTGCATTGATGGCATTATCCCGGCGTGCATCCTTGGCTAGGGCTTTGAGATCAAACTTGTGTTTGGGCTTATACGGGGACAAATAAGGCCCTGTTGCCGTCCTCTTGGCCTTTGGAGTAGAAAACAAAGTATGGTTTGCTGGGGGCGTGTGGCCGGGCCGTTCTCGCCCTAGAAGAGCTGATAGATCTTCCAGAGAGTCATCCGAGAATTCTTCATCGCCAGCTTCCTCATCAGAGGCACCGATTTCCAGGGGAGCGGTCTTCTTCGCAACGGGCGTAGCCTTGTAGCTGAGCGGCGATGACGGCGCCGGTGGAGACGTATCTCTGAACGATAGCGTTGAGGTCTGGGACGATGGCCTATGCGGAGAGGATGGCTGGAAATACGACAGGATGCTCTTATTCCCCTTTGGTTTTCCAGGCATGGCTGTCCTGTTGCCGCACCTTGTCGGCGATGCCTATCCCCTGATGCTGTTCTTATTGTTGTGGCGCCTGATAGCTGGCAATCCTTTGGGCGCTGCGCTGGGTGAGATGCCCTAGAGTGAGGTTTGTCGTGAAAGAGCAGGTCCCCACCAGCCAATTAGCGCCCAGCTGTTGGTGTTTCATGGCGCAGCATCCTGGCTTACCTGATCGCCGGGTGTGGCGCAGGCGACGGCCGATCTGGACAGGGTACTTGTGTACTTGTGTTCTTCCCTTTGAGCTCAGCATTCGTTCGCCCAAAAGGACCCGAGCCATTGACGATCGCCATGTGACTGATCCTTGGGAGATCTACAAGATCTGCACCGTATTCTTCTCTTATCCTGCTGGGTGCGAGACAAATTCAATTGACAGCATCCTCTGCCAAGAGCTTTGCTGACATGGCGGACGGTGGCATTAGGCTTTGCAGCCGAGCCTGGTAAAATGCACAATCAGACGGGCAGCGGACGAATTCAAGAAACCCATATTACGACCACACTACTCCCAGGCAATGTTCCACGCCTCAAGCTCGAACCTTGTTGGAACGCCAGTCATCACCCGCAAAGTTCTTTTCTAAGCCTCCAAAGAGTACGTACATCTTTATATTTTAATTTGTCTTTCGAGTGGCAAAAAATAGCAGATACAGGGTAACAGGCGAGCGGCTACACGGCCGTGTTTCAGCTCAACTCGGAGCATGGCAATCCGTTGGTTGACTCTGGAGGATCGGTATGCCTTGTCCGTTAATCTCCTTTCGGGCTCCGTAATGCGACGCCGTGCCTGGAGGATCTCTGGCCATGCCGCAACGTGAGACGCCGCTTGTAGGGCTATGCCCCCCTAACACAAACCTTGGACGGGGAATGAAGTGTGTGTTAGCAACGACGCGCGATTGCTGACGCCCGAACCCGAAATGCTAATATAGCACCGAGTATATACCACTAGCTGCCGAGTCTTGAGCCATGGCACAAAGGATTGGAGGAGGCGGCCAGTGCCACGCGCCAAACAAGACAAACGTGTCTCGTTCTTAGACAAGCACGCAAGTGAAAGAGGCTGGATGTGCATGAGGAACATCCCGCAGCCCCAGCCTCAGTTAGGCTTTGAGCAGTGGGGAGAGGTAATGGTACAAGCACCGTCAAAAGTTATGTCTCACATATTTCCTACCACGCAAAAACATGCCCTGCGGAGTACACCAGCTCCGGAGTCCACCATTTGCGAGATCTGATATCCCGGCGAAAGGGGTGGAGGCTCATTTCGAAACACCTCTCTGCGCCCCTATGCCAAGTAATTGCCAACTATGGAGTGTACACGTACAGTATACGGGCCAAGCTTCGACAAGCTTTCTCTCGTCTGGGCTTGGCAGGGAGTATACGATGGGTAGAGATTCAATAAAGCAAGCAAGCAGGAGAGAAAGTCACAAACCCGGCTCGTCTCCCCTTTCGTAGCCAAGGCAGTGGTAGGCAGCGGCCAGATCTGCGCCTAGGCAGCTCATGCTATCCCTGAATTCTTGGGCTGGGCCTTATTTCGGCTACGTACTCTGGCGGAGAAGACCTCTGCGCCGGTAGGACGAGATGTGATAGGATAGCTCAGGACAGTTTCCGGTAACCGGCCACTTGGAAGAACGCGAGTACCGACCAGGAACAGAAAGCAACGACGACGACGGGACTGGGAAGATGACTTAAGTCCGCAGCATATTAATTGCGATGCATCGGGAATATAGTTGTGCTGGCAGCAGTCCTGCAGGCCAGGATCATGAGCAATATATTTCCAGACTCCGAAATTGACACCAGCAGTTTGTTAGCACGAGCAGGCTTGGCTCAAGGCCAAGCATTGATGCTAAAAGTCGTAGTACGGAGTACTGGCACCACTGCAAGTTCAACTGCTGGGTCAGTCGCAGAGGAGTGACTTGCATTGCTCAAACCCCTGGCTAAAGCAATGGCTCGCCGTGGAACCCACCCCTGAAAGGACCCTCTTGGCGCCATCGCCAAATTTCCCTTCCGTACGAATCAGGTCGGCACGAAGCGGACGAGCCAGGTTCAGCTTGGCGGGCGAAGAGGGCTCTCGAAGGAGCGGAGCGCAAATGCTTGGCTCTGGCTGCTGGAGGGGTTCGTCCCTGAGGAGGCTGATGCTATACACGATGCATGTGAGTCGAGCCATTGAGGAGCTTTGGATGCAGAGCGGCCGCGGCTTTTTAGAAAGGGGGTTCTCGGCGCATGGCTACCAATAGCTTTTGAGGCCTTGTTCAGGCGAGATCCCGTGTTGCGACTTTTATGTGCTAATGTAGAACACTTGCTGCCAACCTGCGTTCGCGTGAGCGCTTTCCTGAGAGCTGTAGATTGATGGTGTTGCCGAAGGTAGGCACATGTAGATAATTTCCCAACCTGGCAGTGGCCGATGGAGAATGCGGCGCTTGGCATGGTCGAAACAAGCATTCCATGGATTCCATGGGACGCAAGATGCGTGGCCTTGGCTTGGTGAGAATGTTTGGAATCGGCATCAATTACAGATGCCCACGTGCAAGCAGCATTGTTCAACTGCATCTATTTGTGGTATTGATATCAAAGCCGACTAAAAAGCATGCCGTGCACGCGACGAATACAGCTCCAGTAGATACGAGTACCTTATTTACAAAGTGCTAGTGAGAGTGTTCGCGGCCCCTCCAAAACTAAACCAGGGTCCTCTATTACGCGCGGACTATTGCGAGGCCCATCTCCAGCGGCACTCGTTCGTATCGTATCGTGATAGACCAGGGCCACGACAGGCAATTTGCTGGCGCAGGTGAAGACTCGCCCTGAGCCAGTCGCAGCACCGCATGGAAAGGTACATGTACTTCAAGTTGATACTGGACGAGCACCGCAGAGCACGTACCCACTCGCAATCCCCTGGCAGGAATCCGCTGTCTCAGCAGTGGACGAGCCCCCTATTCCAGACGAATTGTTCTAGTACATGCATGCGCCTGAAGCTTGCTCGCAGTGGCCTGTGAGGCAAGACAAGACACGTACCTGCGCGGGTTCTCGTGCATGCATCTGCGTGGCGATGGCCTCAGCGCGTAGCGCCAGCCTCTGCCGAAGATTCTGACAGGCGCCCTTCCGGCAGCGACTCAGTGACAGCGAGCCGGAAAACCTTGGAATCAACCTAGCGCCGCTTATTTGGCGATAACTAATTGCGCCCGTCAGGCAAATGGCTGCCACAAGGAGCTGACACATCCACGTTGAGGCGGCTTGTGTAAGCAAAGCCACAAACAGCAAACCTCGATGACGGACCCCTCGTATTTACGGCGTTTTCTTGTCCCTCCTAGCTCGAGCCTTGGCTTTATCCGCTGGCTGCGCTGCTTCGCTGCTTCAGAGGGCCCCGGTGGTGGTGCAGACCGCAGACACTGCCTCCTCCGCCGGGCTCTTAATTAGGCTGTGCGGAGCGCCTCATGACAATCGGGGCTGTCGTGCACGCCGTAGTCGATCAGAAGGCGTGGACGCCACAGTTTAAAAAAGATGGAGGAAGCGGCCAGAGACAAAAAAACCATGAGGCTAAAGAGAAAAAAGGAAAATTTTAAAAATTTCTTATATGTCTAGACTTGCTAGCGCGGGTTCTGTCATCTACTCCGCGGACAGGCTTACCAAACAGAGCAGCCCGGCTTTTGGGCGTTGCAGATGGGATGGATGCATCTCGTGTTGCGTGCATGTACATGTAGCGATGCTCGACGCAGCTCCTGCTTGTAATAGGAACGTGGTAGTACCTGTAGCGCAGGCTGAGGACATCCCTGCCAGTGGCTGGTTCGGTACCTCGAGCCCGCTGGCCGCCCGGTGCTTCAGGCAAGTCAAGAGCCAGAAACCAGGGGCTCAAGTCCGTATTCCGAGCAGCCTGTCCATACGGCCCTGAAGGTACCTCGCTGGGCGCGATACTTCAAGTTGTTGCCGGACATAGAGCGCTGCAGTTCTCCGTGCACAGTGGGCACCGCCTTATTCCGGGGAGGGGCCCGCACTCCACCGGCCTACAATAGAAGCAATTGATTGATGCTGCTACTGTACAAGTACTGTTCAAGAACAAGCACCGGCTAGGTGCAGTGCACGCAGCGATTGGCGAAGGCATGGAGGCATTGCATGCGTTACTCGTGGGACATGGGCCAGGACCTGCGGTTATTAGGTGGTACAAATATAGGCACGCTTCAAGGGGTCGGGGCGATCTAGCCTCTGGATCGCTGTCTTAGCAATCACCCGTGCTCCGTGCCGTTGACGTCGAGTCGCGATGCCCGCGGATGGACAAGGCCGTGGCCGAGGATAAGGAACTGAAGAGAAAAATAAAAGAGGCCACGGGGCCAGATCTGCTGCTACTGCACCCTGACGTACGGCGGTTTGTATGTAGACAGCGAGATATTGCCCGCAGTAGAGTAGTGTGAGCGAGCAGAGGCTGCTGCTACAACCAGGGCACGGCATTAGGCGCGATGACGACGTTGCGCTGATGCACCGATTTAGAAGGCCCAGCGGCATGGATTACACACAGCCGGTCCGTCACTTGTGCAAGTACTGGCCACTAGGAAATACCTGGGGGAACGGTGCGGACTCATCGGCGAGCAAGTGCCCATGCTGACCAATTTCGTGTCCATGCACTTCTCGCGGCTCCTCAGGTCGGTATCGGTATGGACTGCAGAGACAGCGACACGGCCAGAGACAGAAGAAGCGCCAACCCCCCCAGCATGCGCTAAACCCGCTGCACCCTTCTTCTCCTTCGCATTCCCCTTCTGATACTCTCCTTCTCTTTTTTTTTTTTACGACATCCTCGTGTGGGGTTGGAAATATCGTCGAGTTTGCGCCATCGGATTCGGTCGGTCGGATGGTCCGGGAACTAAGTCCACAGCGCGCCGTAACCTCCGCTAAAGGCTACATGTACTTTTTTTCCCCGTCACCCAGCCCACGTTACAGGCGACAGTAGATCCATCTGCTATACCCGTGCTTTCATTCTTCTTTCCTGCTCCTGCACTGTTTCTCCGCCTCCCTCAACCTCCAGCTTCATTGTCGCCCGCGACGACACGTGCATCATCGACGTTCTTTGTCGAGCCCTCGGTGCGCTTCAGCCTCTGCACCCCAAAGGGTCCCTTCCTCCCGTCTCGCGCCTCTTCCTCTCCAGCAACCACTCGCTCGCTGTTCGCCACGAACCGTGCCCTCGACCCTGGGCCGTGCCTGTTCCCCCCCGAATCGTGTCCGTCGAATCCCCCTAGTATCGATTACCTCGAAGCGATTATCCCATCGTTGGCTCCGTCACTCGTTTTGACGCCGACTCTTCCAATCCCCGACCTGGCTGGCCATTAACGGCTGAACGGGCAATTGCCCGCGACATCGCAGCCACAATGAGCGACTCCGTACCGCCGCCGCCGCCGCCGCCAGCTGAAGGCAGCGGCAGCCCCAAATCGAAGCTGGCCAAGACGCAGAGGGCGAGATGGGCTACCCGCAGGATGACGGTCAAGAGCAGCGCGACAAAACGCAAGTCGCTGCTCGATCGCATGCAGCACAACAGGACGACGTCCAGCGCCAGCGAGAAGCGCCGCAGCGGACGAGGTGGTGCCGGTGCTCCAGAGCAGAACCCTGACGGCGATGATGGTCAAGACGACCAGGACATCAAGCCTACTGGAGATGCCACCGCCCAGTCCGATGACGGCTCCGAGGACGACAAGGAGAACCGCCAGCTCTACTTCAACTTGCCGCTCCCCGATGACATGCTGGAAGAGGGCCACCCCATTGCCGAGTACCCTCGAAACAAGATCCGGACTGCAAAGTACACTCCTCTCTCGTTCATTCCAAAGAACTTGTGGTTTCAATTCCACAACATTGCCAACATTTTCTTCTTGTTCTTGATTATCTTGGGTGTAAGTACATCTGTCGAAACCTTTAATCCACCCTAGTTTCGTCCAATCTCCCCGTATCTAACTTTAATCTTTCAACTCTTATATGTAGGCCTTTTCCATCTTCGGCACTGTCAATCCAGGATTGAACGCTGTCCCACTTATTGTCATTGTTGCCCTTACCGCCGTCAAGGATGCCATTGAGGATTACCGAAGAACTATTCTTGATAACGAACTGAACAATGCCCCTGTCCATAGACTTCACAACTGGAATAACGTTAATGTCGAAGAGGACAATGTTTCCACCTGGAGAAGATTTAAGAAAGCTAATTCGAGATTTTTTGGGCGCATGTGGCGTGCTATTCAGAGCACATGGTCCAAGAAGGCTCGCGCTGAGCGCCAGAAACGCAAAATGCCTGTCATCGAAGACGAACCCCGAGCCTCGATTGACTCCGTCCGCACCAGAAGACATCGCGAATCCATGGCATCGCCGCATGAACGCCGCGAGTCCTACGTCTCTAACCCGGATGATATTCTGATGACGCCTGTTTCTTCGCCTACTCCCAACGCCCTCCGGTTTGAACCCGATGAGGAGGACGTGAAGCGAGCATCGGCCGCCGCCGTCATGAAGTCGGATCTGATCAACTATGATATCGAACCCAAGGGTGCCCGCTTTGGAAAGGACACCTGGAAAACCCTGACAGTCGGCGATTTCGTGCGTATTTACAAGGACGATGAACTCCCTGCTGATGTCATCATCCTGTCCACCTCCGATCCCGACGGCGCTTGCTATGTTGAAACGAAAAACCTCGACGGCGAAACCAACCTCAAGGTTCGACAGGCTCTCCGCTGCGGTCGTGGCATTAAACATGCTCGTGACTGCGAGCGTGCCCAGTTCCGCATCGAGAGCGAGGCTCCCCAACCCAATTTGTACAAGTACAACGGTGCTATCAGATGGCAGCAAAAGATTCCTGGGTATATGGAAGAAGAACCCGAGGAGATGACCGAGGCCATCACCATTGACAACCTGATGCTGCGTGGCTGCAACCTGCGAAACACCGAATGGATCTTGGGCGTTGTCGTCTTTACCGGACATGACACCAAAATCATGATGAACGCTGGTATCACGCCTAGCAAGCGAGCGCGCATTGCCCGTGAAATGAACTGGAACGTCATTGCCAACTTCATCATCCTCTCCATCATGTGTTTGCTCGCTGCCATCATCAACGGTGTCGCCTGGTCTCGAACGGATGCTTCTCTGCATTTCTTTGATTTCGGCTCCATTGGCGGCAGTTCTAGCGTCACTGGTTTCGTCACCTTTTGGGCAGCCATCATCGTCTTCCAGAACTTGGTCCCCATTTCCTTGTATATCACGCTGGAAATTGTTCGAACCTTGCAGGCAGTCTTCATCTACAGCGACGTGCAAATGTACTACGAGCCAATCGACCAACCCTGTGTCCCCAAAACTTGGAACATCTCCGATGATGTTGGTCAGATTGAGTACATCTTCTCCGACAAGACGGGAACTCTTACCCAAAACGTCATGGAGTTCAAGAAGGCTACAATCAACGGACAGCCATACGGAGAAGCCTGGACTGAAGCCCAAGCTGGTATGCAAAAGCGCCTCGGCGTCGATGTCGAAAAGGAATCTGAGAGAATTCTTGGCGAAATCGCAGAGGCCAAGGTGCAAGCGCTCATTGGCCTCCGTAAAATCCATGACAATCCCTATCTCCACGACGAAGCTGTTACCTTTATTGCCCCGGACTTTGTTGCCGATTTGGCTGGTCATCACGGAACCGAGCAGCAGCAGGCCAACGAAAGCTTCATGCTTGCTTTGGCTCTTTGCCACACTGTCATGGCTGAACGCACTCCTGGTGATCCACCAACCATGATCTTCAAGGCACAATCTCCCGATGAAGAAGCTTTGGTTGCTACCGCCCGCGACATGGGTTTCACTGTGCTGGGTAACAATTCGGATGGCATCAATGTCAACGTCATGGGCGAGGATCGTCACTACCCGCTTCTCAACACCATCGAGTTCAACTCCACTAGAAAGCGAATGAGTACCATTATCCGTATGCCCGACGGTCGAATTGTTCTGTTCTGCAAGGGTGCCGACTCCGTCATCTACGCTCGGCTCAGGAGGGGCGAGCAAAAGGAGCTGCGACAAGTCACTGCCGAACACTTGGAAATGTTTGCCCGCGAGGGTCTGCGTACCTTGTGTATCGCTTCAAAGGAGCTCACTGAATCGGAGTACCGCACATGGAAAAAGGAACACGATATCGCCGCTGCCGCTCTTGAAGACCGCGAGGAGAAGCTTGAGGCCGTTGCCGAGCTCATTGAGCAGGATCTTATGCTTCTTGGCGGTACCGCTATTGAAGATCGTCTCCAGGATGGCGTTCCCGACACTATCCAGCTGCTGGGTGAGGCCGGTATCAAGCTCTGGGTTTTGACTGGCGACAAGGTGGAGACTGCTATCAACATTGGTTTCTCCTGCAACTTGCTCAACAACGACATGGAACTGATTAACATCAAGGTCGATGAGGACGCTGCTGAAGGCGAAGGCGCCGAAGACGTCTTTATTGGTCTCATTGAAAAGAGTCTGGATGAGAATTTGCGATCATTTGGCTTGACTGGTAGCGATGAAGATCTTGCTGCTGCCATGAAGAATCACGAGCCCCCGGCTCCCACGCATGGATTGGTCATTGATGGCTTCACCCTTCGATGGGCCTTGAATGAGCGCCTGATGCAAAAATTCCTCCTTCTCTGCAAGCAGTGCCGCTCTGTTCTGTGCTGCCGTGTCAGCCCTGCGCAAAAAGCCGCTGTCGTTTCCATGGTCAAGAACGGACTGGACGTCATGACTCTGTCTATTGGTGACGGCGCCAACGATGTTGCCATGATTCAAGAGGCTGATGTCGGTGTCGGTATTGCTGGTGTCGAAGGTCGACAGGCTGCCATGTCTTCTGACTATGCTATAGCGCAGTTCCGGTTCTTGCAGCGCTTGGTGCTTGTTCATGGACGTTGGTCGTACCGTCGCCTGGGAGAGTCTATTCCCAACTTCTTCTACAAGAACATGGTCTGGACTTTCAGCATCTTCTGGTATTCCATCTACACCAACTTTGATATGACCTATCTCTTTGATTACACCTACATTCTGATGTTTAATCTGTTCTTCACTTCGGTGCCTGTTGCCATCATGGGTGTTCTCGACCAGGACGTTTCAGACTCCGTCTCCTTGGCCGTACCGCAATTGTATCGCCGTGGTATTGAACGCTTGGAATGGACGCAGAAGAAGTTTTGGTTAGTCCCCCCCCCCCCTCTCTCTTTAACATTTTCAATGCGCATTTTTACTAACAACCTAATAGGCTGTACATGCTTGACGGTATTTACCAGTCCATCATGGTTTTCTACATCCCGTACTTGCTATTCATGCCTGCACGACCTGTGACCGAAAACGGCTTGGTTATTGATGACAGATTCCGCCTCGGAGTGTACATTGCGCACCCCGCTGTTCTGACGATCAACGCTTACATTTTGATGAACACCTACCGATGGGACTGGCTTATGCTACTCATCGTTTTCCTCAGTGACATCTTCATCTTCTTCTGGACAGGCATTTACACCTCTTTTACTTCATCTGACCAGTTTTATGGAGCGGCCAAGGAGATATACGGAGAGGCCACGTTCTGGGCCGTATTTGTGCTTGTTCCTGTCATCTGCCTCTTCCCACGATTTGCCATCAAGGCTCTTCAGAAAGTCTTTTTCCCTTATGATGTCGACATTGTTCGTGAGCAAGAGAGGCTGGGCGCCTTTGCTCACCTGAGCCAAGAGAGCAAATCGATTGAAGCAATCAGCGACGAGAAGAGCCAGAAGAGCAAGTCATCTGGCAGCTCGCGAGGAAATCACAATCAGTATGCAAGTGTTGACGAGGATCTCCGCCCAATATACCCCCCATCAACAGTGACGCGAACGACCACGCAGATCGGCCACAGTCAGACTGGCAGTGACAGCACAAATTACACGGGCAACCGCTACTCAACGGAAGTGCCAGCGACTAACCGCTACTCTCTTGAAGTGCCGACCACGCGACCAAGCATGGATCGGGCAAGACCATCATATGATCGTATGCGACAATCCATGGACCGCATACGGTATAGCTACGAGGCCAGTAACGAGTTTACCTCTGCTGCAAGGCTGTCTCGTATCGAATCAAGCCATTCACATGCAGCCGCAGGTCTGGGTGCAAGATTGCGTGGGCTGTCATTAACAAAGAGCGCCAATGTATAGACACGGAACTGGAGTGCTTCAGGAAATTCATCCCTTTCGTTGTATATTTGCATTACGACCAGTCTCCTTTATCCCCTACTTCTCCGTTTGTTCTATATTGTTTTTGAAGATGTTCTTGACGCATGATGCTTGATATCCAAGCATCATGCTTTGAGACATTCATGCTTTTGATGATTTGCATGAGCGATCTATGAATTGCTACCCCTCCAACCACCTCTGTTAATGACACACCTGCGTTCAGGCGCGCGTTGAGACGCCCAGTTGCTTTTCTATCGTGATGCATATCAATGCTGCAACGCCTGCAAGCAATTATGAAGCCCGCCCACCCGTGGAGAAAAAAAAACAAACGAAAAGATAAAAAGAAGGAGTAAGGGGAAGCTGACAGACATGTGGTTGTCTGGACCTTCTTTATAAAGAGAGGAGGCTTGATATTTGCATGGCGTTTGAAAAGGAAACGGGAGATTATGGGACTGCTTTACCTTTTTGCTTTTTACACTTTCATTTTTTTTCTTTTTTTCATTTTGGCTGAAAGATGCATTATATCTCTTCTTCATTCTGCTTACACTGCTTTTTTATTCGTTTCGTTTTTCTTCAATCCTGTTTATTCCTCTTTTCGCTGCCTTCATTTTCTGGTTTTTTCCTGCATTCTAGAGATGAGTAGCGACGCAAATCCTCCCATTCCCTCAAAGAGTATATTTCCGCCCCCTTTTCATCATTATCATTATAACAACATATTGCGTTTTTTATTGCTCAGATGGAGTAAGAGTCGGGAAAGAGTGGGGGGGTTGAAGAAAGAGAGACAGTTGTTCTATTTATTCTTTTTTTTTTTTTGGTTGCTTTTTCTTCTCTTTTTCTTGAATGTTTGAAAGTGTGTAAAGAAAGAGCAAAATGTGCGCGAAGCTGCTTTTGCTCTGGAAAGGGGGGCTTTGGCGTTGAAGGGGACAGGTGGCTCGAGAGGAAAGAGAGAGATTGGCCGCGAAATAAAGAAAGCCTGGATATGATGCTGTTGTTGTGCGTGAATGGTTGTGAGAGTGGTTGTGGCATGGATTTTTAGTTATTAGTAACAAGTAGTAACAGCTTTTGTTTCCTTTGCGAGGTGGAAATTGAAGAAGGCTTTTTTATATATACACACATATATGCATTTCATGATGGCTTTGCATTTATAATCTTTTCTCACTTTTGAAGTTTGTGTTCTGTGGATGTATTTGAGACTGGTCTTTGGATCTTGAACGTGCATTTTATTGAGATTTGGGTATCAAGTAGCAGAAAATAGGTAAGGTGTACAAGTCGAAGCACTGCAGTCTTATTGGACAATGCCTCTTTGACAAGGTGCCTGACTAAACCAACCAGACCCCACCTTTTAACAGCTCAATTCAGACGACGTTCCAGCATAGCAGCAAAATCATCCGATTCTCTCCTTTAGACACACCTCATCTTTCATCCTCTCTCCTTTCTCCTCTCCTCCCCGTCCGTATCTTCCCTTTCTCCATCTTGCAGGTGGCGGCTTAGACGGATGCGAGACAATGGAGCGTCTCGTGGAGCGGCTGGCTTCGTCTGTAGGCGGCGCAAGTAGCCGCCTGGGCTCTCGGCTTGATATATCGTGCGTTCTTATCTCTCTGCATCTATTCATTGAGAAAACAAACATAAACTAAATTTTTCCCAGACCTGCTTTACTCCAAGCCTCCTTCGTCCTCCTCGCCACCTTCATCTGCGGCCTCATCGTCCGAGCTGGCGCCGCCTTTGCTCAAGCGTCCTGGGCGTCCGATCCTCGCTGGTACCTCGTATATCCGCCACAGCTGCCCGAGAAAGAAACGACAGTCAAACAGACCAGTATAAGAATCCCCGGAAGCTCGGCCATCCAATGCTACGCGCCCGCGACGGGACAATTCCTCGGCACCGTCGAAGCCACCACCGAAGCCGGCATCGATCGAGCCATTGCCGCCGCGGCAGAAGTGCAGAGGAAATGGGCCAGCACGACGACCTTAACGCAGCGTAAAGCGGTCCTGCGCTCGCTCATGAAGTACATCATGGACAACGCCGAGCAGATTTGCAAGATTGCCGGCGTGGACAGCGGCAAGACCATGGTGGACGCCCAGCTGGGCGAGATCCTCGTCACCGTCGAGAAGATCCAGTGGACGCTCGCGCACGGCGAAAAGGCCCTGCGGCCGTCGCGCAGACCGACCAACCTGCTCATGGCGTACAAGCGCAACACGGTGCACTACGAGCCGCTGGGCGTGGTGGCCGCGCTGGTCAGCTGGAACTACCCCTTCCACAACCTGATGGGCCCCATCATCAGCGCGCTCTTCAGCGGCAACGGCATCGTGGTCAAGGTGTCCGAGCAGACTGCCTGGTCGAGCAGGTACTTCCTCGACATTGCGCGCGGCGCCCTTGCTGCCCACGGCCACGACCCGGAGCTTGTCCAGATGGTGGCATGCTGGCCGGAGACTGCAGGCCACCTGACGTCTCACCCGGGCATCAGCCACATCACCTTCATCGGCTCCCAGACCGTCGCCCACCACGTCGCCGCCAGCGCCGCCAAGAGCCTCACGCCCGTCGTCGCCGAGCTCGGCGGCAAAGACCCCTTCATCGTGCTCGAGTCCGCCGGCGGCAGGAAAGACGGCGACCTCCCCCGCATCCGCGACATCATCCTCAGGGGCACCTTTCAAGCCGCCGGCCAGAACTGCATCGGCATCGAGCGCGTCATCTCCTCCGGCGCCGCCTACGACCGCCTCATCGAAATGCTCGAGCCCCGCGTCAAGGCCATCCGCCTCGGCCCCGACGCAGACATGGGCGCCATGATCTCCGACGCCTCCTTCTCTCGCCTCGAAGAGCTCATCGCCGAAGCCGTCTCCCAAGGCGCGCGTCTCCTCGCCGGCGGCAAACGCTACGCCCACCCAGACCACCCAAGAGGCCACTACTTCCAGCCCACGCTCCTCGTCGACGTCACGCCCTCCATGCGCATCGCCCAAACCGAATGCTTCGCCCCCGTCCTCACCATGCTGCGCGCAAAGTCCTCCTCCGCAGAGGACATCCTCGCCATCGCAAACGCACCCAACTTTGGCCTCGGCGCCTCCGTCCACGGCTCTGAGCGCGACCCGGCCCTGCAGCCCATCGTCCGCGGCCTCAAGGCCGGCATGGTCGCCGTCAACGACTTCGCCGCCTACTATGCCGTCCAGCTCCCCTTCGGCGGCGTCGCCGGCTCTGGCTACGGCCGCTTCGCAGGCGAGGAAGGTCTGCGCGGCCTGTGCAACATCAAGGCCGTCTGCGAGGACCGCTTCGGCTGGCTGGGCGTCAAAACGGCCATCCCTCCCCCCGTACAGTACCCTATCGCGAGCCAGGATCGGTCCTGGCGATTTACTCAGGGCGTGGTGGAGGTGGGATACGGTGCGTCGGCGAGAAAAATTGCTGGTGTGACCAAGATCTTGAAGAATATGTAAACGTGCCGTATAATAATAACAGGATACATGTCTGACTTGCCTGGCGTTATTGAAAGAAGAGATAATTCCATTTCCGCGAGAAAAGTGAATGGCAGCTAGGTATATATACATATATTATCAACCAATATTAATTGTAATAATAATAGACAAAATTCATCACAAAAGAGGCACGTACTCACATCAGGGCGAATGCCAGTTGCTATCAGTCCTCCGCTATTAGGTAGGTAGCTACTGGCTTTAGTGTTCAAAGTCACATTATTGATGGCTCGGAAAGTCAATAGTAGCAATCTCAGGTTGATTGATCATAGCTATTCTACCCATTCTTGATATAGTTTCAAGATACCCTAATGATTCAGCTATGATTCTCTGTTAACCTTGTTAAAAATCCTTATCCCTAGTATTGTCCGTTTGCCCTAGTTATAACCATTGAATTGTTCAGAAATAAAAGACCGCGCCATAGTAGACTGGTGATGAACGCGCAAGGTAAGCGTTTACCAGCCAGCTCCAGCAGCTGGTTGAGCGGCGTCGGCTCCCCAGCCGCCTCCAGAAGCATTGGCAGCTTCGTTAGCATCGTTTCCTCCGGAGTTGCCCCAGCCCCCGCCAGAATCGCCTTGGACGTTATCAGCTGTGTTCCATCCTCCACCCTCATCGCCACATCCCTCACCGGCACCTGCAACATCATTTGGGTCGAAGTCAGATTCGGTTTCAAACTTGACCTTGGTTCCACTGGACCAATTCTCCGGGATATAGGCTTGAAGGAAATCAGGAATATCCTGATTAGTCTCCAACAGAGTCCTCGTGAGTACACTCGCTAGGGGCTCATCACGCTCCGTGAAGAATGAGGTCGCGACACCTCGGTGACCAATACGACCGGTGCGACCTAGCCAGAGAGTTAGCCACTGTCATATAAATATTTGACTGGGGACTGGGGACTGGAAGCTAATATCAGAAAAAGTGAAATCATACCAATTCGATGCGTGTACTCCTCAATACCACCATATTCAATCGATGGTAAGTCATAGTTTATGACGTGCATGACGTTGCGGACATCGATGCCGCGGGCCGTCACGCCAGTCGCGACGAGAATGGGAGCCTGGCCAGATCTGAAGGCTCGCATAGCAGCTTCTCGCTCAACCTGTGTGCGGTCACTATGGATGGAAGTGACCGGCAATTTCATATTGAACAAAAAGTCATCAAGCGTGTCGGCAGCTTGACGACTGTTGACAAAGATGATGGTACGAACACCATTCATCTCTTCGAGCAGAGTCAGAAGAGTTTCATTCTTGCCTTCTCGGCTGACTTCGACAATCATCTGCTTGATATTCTCTGTGGTGCTGCCGGCACGACCAACTCGGAAGCGCACATGTGAATCACACAAGTACTTCTTCGCAAGGTCTCGCGCAGCCTTGGGAAAGGTGGCAGAGAAGAGGCCATAGTAGACATTTCCCACGTCTTGCTCTGTATGATGAGTCATTTGTTAGTGATCAGTGGCCCATGGAGACTAACATCTTCAGAAGAGAATACTTGCCTGCACCAGAGAGAATAGCCTGAAGTTCAGACTCCCAGTCATCGTTGAGCATCTCGTCAGCCTCGTCAATGATCATGTACTTCAAGCGGCGGAGAGACAAGACTTCGGGACGTCCGATGAAATCTTTGAGACGACCAGGAGTTCCAATCAAGATGTCGCAGCCTCGAGAAAGAAGGCCGCCCTGTTCGCGGACAGGAACTCCTCCGTAGACAACGCAAGGTCGGAGCATGGAGCGGTAGCAGAGCTTGCGGGCTTCATTGAAGATCTGCACCGCCAATTCACGGGTAGGGACAACGACAACGACAAGTGGCTCCGCGATCACGTTGTCGACTCCCTCTTGGAATCTGGCGGGGTTTGGCCGGGGAGCACCCAACTTCTTCGCTTTTCCCATGAGCTTGCTTAGGATAGGGATAAGATACGCGGCAGTCTTTCCAGAACCTTGAGGCGCGTTAGATGTTGAAGTTGAACAGAGAGAAATAATGCCGGGGTACTTACCAGTCTGAGCTACACCAATCACATCGTATCCCTGAAGGATAGCTGGGATTGTGAACTTCTGGATCGGAGTTGGCACCTCATACCCACAGAGCTCAATGTTTCTCAACATTACTGGATGAATGCCTGCATCCGCAAACGTTTTGATGTACTCGATACGTTGAGGCCCTTCTTGGATGACCTCGATTTGCTCGATCCTTGTATAGTTAGCATGATGACTGTGAACAAGGGATGGGAGACAAACTTTGAAAAATCGAGGCCAGTCTGGCGATCCCGACGGGACTCGGGATCTCCAAACAGTTCTACCTCCAGTTCTTCAAAAGCTGGACCGACATCTCCATACTCATCCTTCCACTGGTAAACTCTGGCGTTTCCATCCCAGGTGGCAGCTGTTTCGGCCTCAGCCATTGCAGTGTAGTCGAATGCCGTGCGCTCGACCCAGCCAACGGGAGCAGCCTGATCTCCAGTCTCCACGACCGATCCTTCTTCTGGAACTGCCATGTTGAATTGGGGATGATGCAGAGTTGATCAAGGAGCTAGAAATAATAGTGTACTGTCAGAATGTTGATTCAATCTAGAGATGAAGCTCTGCGAAGAGAAGGGATAAAGGACGTGAGTTTTGTGTGAGGAAGGCTGTGGGAGGAGCCTGACTGCCAAGTCAGAGAAAACTGAGAGTCACTTGACAAGGAAATCCTAGGCGACGACATGCCTTGATGACGACTGCCGATGACTTGAGGAATCTCAAAGGGTTTGAGTAGAAGAGCTGCACAGAGAATTGAGGAATGCAGGAGAAACCTGAGGGAGAGAGATGAAGAGATGATGCTGCAAAATGATGCCAAGAGAGAAGAAAAGAAATTTCAACTCTGAAGACGCGTGGAAGGGATGGGAGAGAAGATCATGGAATGAAAATACCTGCCTTGGCGAGAAGATATCCCAAAAGTCAAAGCACCGATGCAGCAGTGCCTGGCAACTTCAAGGACAAAGAGTGTTGGCAAAAGGGCGAACCTGTTTGACAACTTGTGGCGTTGAAGAAGAAGAGAGAAGAGGGAAGAAGAGGAGGAAGAGGGAGGTGGGAGGCCTTCAAATAGTTGAGAGGCAGCTGCACGTGCGCCGGGTGCTTCCTCAGGAATCAAAACAAACCTCTGGAGGTTCAGGAGCCTTTAGTGAACGATGTGCACCCAGAGGTGTGCTTTGGGGCGAGGAAAAGGCCTATAGATGAAAAGAAGGGGAAAGAATAGGGGAGAAGGGTGCCTAAATGACCGCTATAGTCTCGATAAGGGATTGCACTTGACACCCAGCTGCATAGCTGCACAGCTGCACATATTGAAATCGAGTTGCCATAGTGATATCACTTCTTTGATATTCTGATGAGTAGGAATATGCATAGTCCAAGCCTCAAAAAAGCATTTTCGAGCTCCATGCCGCATCCTTGCATAAGGAGGTTGTTTTGGCGGGAAGCTGCACAATCTCTATGGCTGCAAATAACCGCATAGGATACGATAAAGTAATACGCTGCCTGAGTACCGTATTCTATCTCTCTTTTTATTGGAGTAACTTGTGCTGTCCTATAGCAGTAGCTGCGGTGAAAGGAGAGGTAGCTGAGCTTTTCTATCATGGAGAAGGAGACGCCAAAACTACATTTGCTTCTAGAATTTCTCACAATGGTAAAACGAGATAAAAACGGTGATCGAATCACAGAGCTAGGGATAATTTATTTTCGTAACTCTATAGTTGGATTGCCGGATACTAATTTCCCATAATACGCCGTCTGCCCATACGCGAGCGCCCAATATCAAGAAGAAGAGAAAGGAAGAAACATTACTTTGTGATCTTTGCTTTCAAAAGAAATCATTATAAAGGGTATCAGGCAACATTCTATTTACCACAGATCCAATAACCATTGGTCAGTCATCAGTTGTGAGTCGGAGCCATTGTAGTCTCGCATCCCATCTGTCAATACCTGATCGAGTCCAGCAACTGCCCTGCCCACCGCGCCGCCCTCTTTCTTCGCCTTCTCGATCCCCTTTGTAATGGGATCCATAAATTTGCGAGACAAAACTCCCTGTCTTGATTCTGGACTTGCGTACATCTCGCTCTCTTCGTCGCGCCTTTCTCCATAGAGGTTCAGGTATTCAAAGGCGTGTGGATCACGGGGTATCCTGTACAGGTTATCCCAATAGTCTTGAGGACTCCAAGGAACGGGAGTTGGCGGCTTGAGTCCAACCCGAATGAATCTGGTCAAAATCGATATCTGGCGGGCGAGGATCTGGGCGTCCTTTGCTCGAAGTCCGGACCCTGGAGCCGATGTCCATCCGGCCGCTGATGACGACAGGGACCAGCCCATGATGATGCAAAACGTCTTCAAAGTTTTGAACCATCCACCAGGGACGGCGACAAGCTCATCCTCAGCCACGTCGAGAAGCCATTCCATAACTCCTAGTGAATCGCTGCTGATATCAGCCGAGAGATGGGTCATGCCAGCGCGAATGAACGTGATGGCTTCTCTAACGCTGTGTTTTGCTTGGTCTTTTGGAAGTGCGCGAAGGAGCTTTAGCAGCTGGCTTCGCACTGGTGTCGAGCTATCTGAGATGAGAGGAAGAACTTTCAAGAGGATGTTGTTTGTCCCAACGGGGTTGACTGGAGGTTGTGAGGAGAGTTGGCTGGTGAGGTAGGCCAAGGCATCGCGGCGTTGTTTGTCATTCCTTGAAGATGAAGCTAGAGAAAGATTGTGTTTGAATTGGTGAACAGCGTCTGGGGCAGCAGTTGATAATGACTGCTGGTTCATAACAATTGCTGGAAGATGTCGGCATTAGCCTTTTGCATTGTGAAAGGATGTGGGCAGGCTGTCGTACCTCTGGATTTAAAGCTGGTGTCTGTGAAATTTGAAGCCTTTGGAGCAGTTTTGCCTACTTTATACTTGGGTTTCTGCTCATATGTGAGTAAAAATGGCATTTGATCGGATAGAGCATATGAGAGATGATACCTGAAAATCCTTCTTCTTCTCCTTCTTCTTTTTGGCGCTGGAACCCATCTTGACGGCGATTTATTGGGAGCAGTTAAATGATGCTATAGATGAAAAAGGACAAAAAAAGTTGTAAATTGTACTTGAGTTTGAGTTGTCTTTGGTATTATCCAATGAGATCCCATGCACTTTATCAATGATTTGATATTTTCGATGCGCCGCAGATTCCAGATGCCGCTGGTGGGTCGACAAATTTTGGCGGTGGCGCAGGGCAGAATTGCAATGTGCCGCGCGACCAGAGCTACGTCAATGGAGCCGCTCGCATAGTGGCACCCTGAGGAGAGCTACTGGATATGAACGTCTTGGTCGCATCTATCGACATCTAGAATTCTTAAGAGATTTACTTTTTTTTCTTCTTACCTTCAAAGGAAAGCGCACGCGCAGCTATCCACAAAATGTCAGAGAACCCTACGGTACGAGAAGCTCCAAACTACGCTACATATTCCCTCGATTTGCGCCTTTAGCTAATGGCTTTGTCTCTAGACAAACGGGCACGACGCCCTCGAGGAGAAGCTTGGTCGCCTCGTTAGGAAACCCGGCGTCAAGGCAAGCATGGTCCTAGACAGAGCAAGCGGCGCAATCCTCAAGACGAGCGGCCAGGTCGACGCGCTCCAGACAGCAAAGGCGCGAAACGCGTCGACGGCCGCCTCCTTTTCCAACGATGCGCCCGCAGCGGAGGAGGGCGAGTCGCAAGGCATCGAGGAGTTTGCGGAGATGATCTGGAATTTCGTCAACAGCTCCGGACAGCTGGTACAAGACGTGGACGAAGAGGTACGCACGTACGACCCTTGCTGCGACGCTTCCCCCTCTCAGCCCCCCCTTTTTTTTTGATCATCTACGTTGGCACGATGATGGGGAGACTAACTTGGGTTGCAGGACGAATTGAAGCTGCTCCGATTGCGAACGAAACGACAGGAGATTGTCATAGTGCCCGACCAAAAGTACCTGCTCATAGTTATCCACGATACTCAACCGGCTTGAAGCACCCCTTCTTCTTTCTTCTTGATATAGGTACGGCAGGATACAAAAGGGGCTACATTATAATATATAATACAGAGGCGAAACAAACGATATAGACGGCAACGGAAGAGCGCTTGCGCCAAAGAGGGCACAGGGGCACTCACCATATGCGGAGTTGGGAATTACGAAAGAAACGCAGAGACGGCCGCTTAACTCCGCATTGTATACGAGTAAACCACCAGGGGAGCAGGGAGCTTTGGTATTGGTCCTTATTATTACTGTTTTAATGAAGCATAGCTATACGGCGCACAGGATGGCGAAATGATACCCCCAGGAAAACGTTCATGCCTATCGAAACACGTGCGTAAATGATATTACAACAGGCACGGAGCTGCTGCCTGGCGTGACAAGATATTCCTGCGGAACAGCCGCTTTTCTCACCATCGTACGGCGTCCTTTTTTTTTATTTTCATGGCGTCCCTCCTACGAATGTGTGTCTGTGGTGTTGGTGGACTGAATCAAAAATATGCAAGCGCCGTCTGCTCTACTTTGTGTGATCTGCTGCTATGAGTACTAGTACAACCACTATTTGTGCAGATAGAAATGCTGCTCAGGCTACATATCAGAGAGTGAGAAACACGCAGGGCTTGGCGCTCGGCTGCGACTCAGAGTAATTTCAATCTCGTTGGCCGCGCGGCCCCAGCGAGTGGCCAGGAACCAGAGAATAGGATAGAGTTATCAATCTCAGCAACTTTGATAACCCTTTTTCTCGGCTCCCTTGAATTCTTGGCTTCTGTGATCTTCGGGGGGTTAAGGTTGGCGCCAAGAGTTTTTTTGGTGTCGTTCATGTGAGGGACCTCCTTCTGCAGCACAATGCCAAGAACCAGAATCCGCCAATCCTCTGGTATTGACTCTGAGCAGATCAATTGATGCACAAAAAAAGGTTCTGTCATACTGTACATGTACATTGAAGATACATGCAACCACTCTCATTTCAACGTAAGCCTTGCATCCAATGCTGCCGCTTTGCTGCAGTACGACCATGGTCACGCTACGGGGACAGCAGAATGCGCCCATTTTCGGCGCCATCCATCCCCTAAAGTCTTTCTATTGTCGCCTCTGGTACCACCGCAACGGGCGGGTGACTGGTGATCCATCATACGAGAGAGAGGGAAAAGAGCGACTCCCGCCTAGGGGGCCTTTGCGACAGGACCCAGCGCGGCCAATCAGCTGCAGGCTGCTGCAGGGCTTGGGAGGTGAACAAACAGCCAGTTCCAGCCAGTTCCAGCGCAGATCTGGACGAGGCGAGCAAAGGAGCGCTGATTGCCGTCCCCAGCACGCCAGATGGGCTCAGATGGACCAGGAGCGAAGAGGCCCCATTAATTACGGCGTTAGGGAGCTCGAGAATGCCATGCCGCATTGCGTGCCGCTGGAATTGCTTGCTGAGGCGCTCTGATGGCGCAGCGCAGCTCAGGGGGGAAATGGACCCTTGCGCGCCGAGAAGGCCGCTGGACGGCCCCATTCCACGGGTGCCGTAACGCGAGCACATCAATGCCTGTACGGCACCGGCTAGTGCAGCTGCTAGGCGTTTTGGGGGTCCATGTCCAGGTTTCTACTCCAGTAGCTCTACAGGCAGCTGGCAGAGAGGCATTGAGCGCAACGGGTGTGGGTGGCATTCGCTTGGAGACTCGAATATTCAGGCAGCAGATGACTCTCTGCAGTTGTACCTGATTTACGTGTACGTACAAGTACCGGGTACGAAGAGGACTTGTTGCGCCGGCTGTGATTTACAGTTACGCCTGCCTATTTGTAAAATGCGGGGGAATCTAGGGACCTGCCGATAGACCGGTGACTTCAAGATGACAGCGACAGTGACAATAACAGGCGGGTGGCGAGCAATGCCACGGCACGCGACCCTGTTTTGCTCTCGCCGTGCAGAAGCCGTCTTGCCAGAAGCCAGGCGGCGAATTGCAAACAGCTGCATGCACGCCGTACGAACTGCTCTTCTGCTTCAACGGACACCGCGGCGAGCCATTCAGCATCCTGGTAGCGGCCCCCCACGCCCCCATCCTCGGCTGCTTGACAAGCAAATCAAAACAAAACAGAGCAAAACAGCGGGAGGGAGAGGGAGAGGGAGAGGCAAAGCAGCGCAGAGCAGAGGCAGCAATTGTCGGCTGCTGGGTGGTTGTCTGTAGAAGCAGCAGTGCAATCACAAACAGCTAATTCTGCCTACTGGCCCCCTGAACGCCGGGACGCTGCAGTGCAAGTAAGCTTCAAATGTCTCATTACAGTGCCCTTGCTTTGCTGCCAACTAGCCACCTGACCACCGCTTCCGAGAATAGCGCTGTCTCTCCTTGCTGGAGCAGTCCCTTTGGCTGGTCCCTTGTCTCTGTTTGAAGCTGTGGTTGGTGGCGCCCCGCTGCTGATGGCCAACTCTCCGCAGCTAAATTGGGCCTGCTAACTGAACCCGGAGATCCGGCGAGATCGAACCATCTTCAGTGCCATTTTTGCTCTGCTGTCGACTTGTCTCTTTTTTCTATTTATTTTTTTTTCTCTGTCAAAATTCCTTTCGCCGAGGGTCCAGCGAGCTTTCACCGAACAATCAAATACACATCTCACAAGTGCTTGTTGCTACCGGCTAATGCATCCTCCATCGAACCCAACTAGGTAACGCCCACCAGTCCATAGAAGAGATGCAAGCAGCGGTTCCGACCCAATTCCTCAGTGACGATGACGTTGAGAAACTCTTTTCTGGAGCTCCCCAGTACTTCGCCCGCAGCGAGAGTCACTTCCCCGGCGCGCCTCATCCCAGCGTAGCCTTTCCCTTTGACGAGGAACTGGAGATCCGCGACTTGACCGACCATGTCCAGATCGAAGCCAAGGCCTGGCGGGGCGTCACTGTGTGGCCTCACCTGACGAGGGACGTCAACCACGACCCCGAGGCCAAGCAGGAGGTCGAAGACACGCGCAAGGCCCATTTCCATGTGCGGTGCTGTGAGCGACCCAACATGCTGAGCATGCAGGGGCTGGAGAAGGGCACCATGGGCTACCAGGCTGCTCTGGAACTGGCCGTCAGCGACTCGCTCGAAGAGGAGCAGTTTGGCTTCGAGAGCCTCGGCACAAAGGCCCGCGCCGTCGTCGAGGCTCGTGAGCGCATGCTGTCCCGCGACGGCTGGCTACATCGTCTTCCCCAAGGAGAGCTGCTGGATCGGCTCAGGCGCAATGGCGAGATCTACCGCAACAACGATTTTGGCAAGAAGCCGTCGACGGAGACTTACAATGACCTGTTCCACGTCTTGATGAGGCCAAACAAAATCCCCCCCGTCGATAAAAAGGACTCCCACAGCCTTCCCAACCAGATCAGTGCCATTCTCAAGTGCATGGGAGCCCCCAACGTCTGGATTGACTTGTCGCATGTCGAATGGCGTGTTCGGCTAGGCCAGATCCTTTGGGGCAAGCCGCACGGTGACGAGTTGGACGACAGCACCGCCATCGTCGATGCAGAGAGTTCGGCCGAGCGGGCAGAAGAAAAGTATTGGCTACTAATGCAGATTTTGGTGTCGTCCGAGTTGCTCATCCGCCTGGACGCAATTACTGACGGCGAGGAGTATGGGGCGGCCCATTTCAGAGCCATTGACGTTGTTCAGTTTGAGAGGGCCGCCAATGCTTCTGTCAAGTGGTCTCTGCTTTTAGCTCGAAGCTGGCTGAACAACATTGAAATCCTGCGAGAGGACTACGGGTCTTTGGCAACACGGCCTGAACCTCGTCGTGGAAGCAGCGGCGTTGCGCCCGGCTGGCTGGCGTCCCTGGCCAGTAAGATTTCTCTCCACGACCAACACAAGCACGGAAACCGACCCCCGTCGCCGCCTCATTTCTATACCATCCGAGGAAGATACGGCCAACGCCAGGTCGAGGGCCTAACCCACTTTGCGCGAAAACTCATGTGGCCAGGTATCGACGGCTACGAGAGACGCATTTCGGAAAAGGTCCAGAAGTTGGCTGCGCCGTCGTCATTGCTGCAGCCCCCGACGCCGACGCCCTACAAGAAAGAGCCCGAGCAGGATTCGTACTTTGGTGCCTGGGATGTGACATGTCAGCGCGGACATCACAAGGAGCGAGCCCGGGCTAGGCGGCGTCGAATGGCGGCAGCGCTGCACGAGTCTGGCTGGCTTTCCAAGTCCTATGTGTTTGGGCTCATGATGCCTGGAGATGCCGTGAGCCATTTCCTGATGGCGACGTTGCTCGAGAATGATAGCGAGGCCTTGTCCAGAATAGGTTCGTTTGCCAATTTGAGCAGCGGCTTCGTTTACCACGACAAGAGTTTCTGGAGCACATCTTGCATTGTCGGTCGAGTTTTGGCGGCCGGCAAAGGATCTGCTGAATGCATGGGATGGATTTCGACAGATATCATTCCCGAGGGAGTGACCGAGGGGTGGATTAGCATTGATGTCCACGATGTTGCCTGTGAGTTGATATTTCCCATGTCCACGTTTGCGCCTACCCTTTTACTGACCATTAGCCAGCCGACCTTTCGCAGCTTGGGAAGAAGGGGAGAATTTGGGGCAAGAAACGAGTCGAGCGCGAGTCTTATATCCTCGGTAACGGCGATGAAGAGTCGATTTCTCCCGCAGATTTTATAATCCCTCACGAGAACAATTACGCACCCTCTCCGCCGGGTGTGTTTGTCGAGCTGCAGTCGCTGGAGCTCGATACGCCAGTGGCAGAATGTGTCCATCCGACACCTCTCGCGGAGATTATAGCGACTCCCATCCACGAGAACCACAGAGCCCCGGATCTATTGTCGTACCCTGCCAAGATCAACTTCTTTGTGTCGATTGATGGAGAGAAGACCGAAACGATTACTCTTTCGCTGCTGTACGACATCAACTTTGTCACCGCACACCCGTGTTCCCCGTCTTCGCGGGTCAGGGTCCTCAAGTCTCCTTCCAGCCCGACGCTGCAGCAGATTGACTTTACCGGCACCAATGCGTTGGGCGCCGGGTCTCGGTCGATGTATCGAGCAGGTAAGCATCTTGTTACACTGGATAGATCTGATGTCTTTCGGTATGCTAACGAAAATGGTAGGCCACCCACTGCACAAGTATTATAATTACACAGTTATCCACATCTCCGAGCTTTTGAAAAGACGAGATGCCGAGCTCTCGGACCTCCTTACGCCCCCTGGCGGGCAAGCCGCTCAGAATCAAGTGCTGGTAGTCGATTGCATTACCAACTTCTCTTCGGTGCCAACGTCACCGGTTGCCGACCGCTCGGACTCGCCTGGCTCTTCGCCTATTGAGCGCAAGGGAAGCTTCTCGGCAGCGGCCAAGATGCACTTTGAGTCTCGGAAGCGGCAATTCGGCTCCGACATGGAGATTCTCATCCGAGCTCTATGCTCTCAGAGAGGATGGAATGCCATCATTAGCAGGAGGAAGCGAGGGTGCCTGGCCTGCGCAATCCGCGAGGCCGGAGCTCTGGGTTGGAAACTCATAATCAGAGTGCCATGAGATGAAAATATGGCGTTTTAAATTGAAAAAGGCATCAGGAAAAGCCTCTGGGAGAACAAAAAAAGGAGATCCCAACTCATAATGGAACAAAAGAAAAAAATACCCCTATTTCACGGAGTTGAACTTGGCGATGGCGGGAGTTTTTGAGATTCGGAATATTTTTTGGAAGAATTTTTTTTTTAAAATGTTGAGCGAGCGAGCGGAATTTTGCTGTATGATAGTCAGGGTTATTAACTGCGAGTCGCAGGTGTGATTCTTGCAAAGATGAGACGAGAGCGCCTCGAGACCGATTGGGAGAGTCTTTTCTTGCAGCTCGACTCGGCCATAAGAAATATGAATGGAACCGATATAATAGTGTCTTGACGATTCTTCCTTTGCTCCTCGTGAAATCCCGGAACAGAAAGCGCTGATAAAGCTGGACCCAGCCTGATGTCGAAAAAGCAGCGGAGCGGCTTCACCCACAATACGCTAAGCCTAGCTGGGGTCGCCAATTGGAGCTACCTAAGCTGCTCTGAATTCCTCCGCATTGCCTCGTGGCCACACATTGGCGCAATCATCACCAGCCTCGCAGTCGCCAGCAGATCCCATCAAGTCACTATAAATCATGGCGCCCAACACCAAGGACATGCGACGGCCCGACCTGAGTAAGTTGCTGTTCCGCAATGCCTTTTTTGTCTCTCTTCTCTGGTCTCTTCCCCCCGCGCATCCCGCAGCGTGGCGATCGATTTCGCTTCATTCGAGCTGGTGCTTGCGCCGTCTACATGCCATTGTGTTCAAGACTGTTTGAAAGGTTGTAGCTGACTTGTTTTTGATGATACTTTTAGTCGTTCCGTATCAGGAGCCCAGCGTCAAGGGCGAGGTGACCGATTTCTCGTCTACGCTTTCGTCGACGCTGCCTATGGCGGCCATGTTTATGCGAAATAAGTTTGTTGGATGGTACGATACACTTGACGATACCTACACATTTACTCGAGACGAAATATAGATGCGGAGGGAAAATTGTGTGCTGATGTATCAATGTGTGTGTAATTTTAGGATTGCCGTTGTGTTTTCCATCCAGACTTGGCTGGGAGAGAGCGAGGATAGCCAGAAGAGCGGTGGCACGCCGGGTTACTTTTCCGTTGGCATGTCAGGTATGTTTCTTCCTTTCCCTTCCACCTATTATCCCAAGGGAGGTCCCATTGGAGGATGAGAGAAAAGAGCATTTTGCTAACGAAGATTTGGGGGGAACTTGTTATAGCCTTGGCTTTGGCGGTGACATATCTGCCTTTGTTCATTCCTCCTCCTGGTGCGAAGACGACTCCCCCGCCTCCGGCACCGTTGCAATAAGGGATATTTTGGACCATGGGAATTATGAGGCTGGTAATGGGAGAATGAATGATATTGGGGATACTGGAAGAGACTGATGAAAATATCTTGGGTTTGGCCAATTTGAAGGTGATTATTTGCGAGGGCTTGTTTAATAATGTGGCAATCTACGTTGAAGTATATATACAAAAGAATCTGGACAATAATGAGGCGACTCATATCTTATGGTGTTGACGGCTACGGGCGAGGTATAGTCGGTGTGAGGCAGCAAATGCATTGACTCTTTTCAATATAATACACTACACTTGACAAGTTTACATATGCACCAGCCTTAAAAGATTGTTTCAATCCTGCACAATTGGCATGCATCTCAGCCTCGCAAAAACTAGACGTAAAGACTGTTTTTCCCCCCAGCCTTGCAGACATCCCAATACTAGCTGCTAAGCCATGTAATAATCTGCAGCGCTTACCGGGTTGAGGTCGGCACCTCCTGCACGCGATTGGCCCCAAACGCCACGGGGGCAGCGGACCAGGTCCCTGAAACTGAACTTGACACGAGAAGCGTCTGGGCATCAACTCCTATAACCGCCTTTTTCTCTCTTGTCGCTTCATTCTTTCTTCTTTATTTTTCATTCTCTTTTTTTGTCTTTGGTCAAATTATATTACAAACTTAACTTTTGGGCTTCTTCTGCTTTTGCTTCAAGGGTCTACTATATCTTTCATTTACTACACAAACTACAAGCCTTCATTTCCGCATCTCGCACTAATACGACCGGTTTTAACCAACTCTTCACCTCAACAAGAAAAATGAAGACGACTTTCTTGCTCGCCCTGCTCTCAACGGCAGTCTCTTTTGCCGCCGCCGACATCGTCATCACGCCGGTATTCGCGGACCAGGTTGTGCAGAAGCAGGCTGGAGATTGCTTCTTTGGCGTTGTAACGCCTCAGGGATGCGCGTATGTCTTTGTTCCTCTCATTTCTCCTTTTTAACTCAAACGCCTATGTTTTTCCTATATGAAAATTTCGAAAGGCTAACTTAAACTTTGTAGACCTCAACGAGGATGAGAGAAATGATGTGCACGCTCTGCAAAAAAATGTACACGCACACACAAAGATTGCACACAAATCATGAGGCAGTCTCACCCACGCGTCGATATACGACGCAATGAAATGGGGCACGAATTTAATCCAAACGTCAAATCATTCATAAAATCTTTTTTTGCCTCGCTGCGCGAAGCTAAGAGTTCAACAGTGTGAGAGGCGGATAATTACTACCAAGGCGTTTTATTGAGCGGAAAAGAAAAGGCATTGCGACGACGAGTTGTGTTAATTGCCTACTATGGAGTTTTTTTTTTTTTTTTCTTCTCGCATTTCTTATTATACCGTTACATGCCGTATACACAGAATCAGTTATACTTGAGAAGGATCTTGTTGGAAGCAGATCTAGATACCCAATTACATACGTTGATTTCTCACTCATCTCCATCGAAGTTGTAATTCATAGTGACGTGCTGCTACTGGGACAGGCGTGCCCAATGTGTCTTTTCTTTGCTTCAACGATCTAGACGTAACAAGCCAACTATACGAAAGTAGCCAAGTCAAACAAGAATGTCTAAAGCTTTCCAATCCTATAACCTCGTAAAGATAGCGGAGATCCATCTCCATTATAGACCAACGCATTACCCAAAAACGCCACCGTCTCCAATCACAACACACTCCATTCTCGACATATACAAATTCATTCCTCAAAAACGTGACACCAAAATAACCGACAGACAAAAATAAACATGAGAGGCAAATCTCACCAGAACCTCTCATTTCGTATCCCTGCCCCTGCTCAGCGCCAGCAGTAACAAAAAAAAAAAAAGAGCCCCTTGCCCACAGTTCCCACCTCGTAGCGTCAGGTCCGACACTGGTGCAGCCCCTTGGGTGCTGGGCTCTGAAACCGCTTTGTTCGAGACGAGTTTCGCGGTAAATTGGCCCTTGGCCGCAAAGTCTTTCCTCCATGTCTTCGAATTGCCAGTTGCATCGTTTGCAGGCAGCAGTATAGCATAATCTTTGGGTCTGTTGTATTGTCAATGTCAGGCTGGGTTGGCGATGCTTGAGACTCTCTTGGATTTCAAAGTAAATCACTCTCACGATGCAAAGTAAACAAAAATGATTTTAAATGGTATAAATTCGATCCACTGTATACAAGTATACTCACTATTCCTAACAATCCAATAAGCTACATATCATGTCGCAGACAAATAAAATAAAAAAGAAGAAATCTCCTTCCTCCCTGATCTCCCCGCGATTGGGGCTGTAGATAGGCTTAGTCGAACACCGACTTACAGCCCAATAATTTTCCATCTCCGTACATATCTCATAACATCTCATGATGATGCCGAAAGGGCAGCAACACAAGCAGTGATCTGGTTGTTGCAGTCACCGACTGAAACACCACTGACTGACTTGCTGTTCACAGCATCAGCGCACTGGTTGTTCTGAATGTCACAGGCTCTCTGGGCAGCAGCAGCCTTGGTCGTGAATGTGTTGCCCTGGACTTCAAAGGGTCTATCGGCGTTGCCAGACTGGGTGACCGGGGGAGCAGCAATGCCTCCCAGAGCGTTTGCAGTAGTGGCACCACCGGCTCCAGAGGCGGCGTTGGAAACAGCAGCAGCAGAGGTAGCGGCAGGAGCACCAGTGGCAGCAGCAGCATTTCCAGCAGCGACGCTGGTAGCAGCCTGGGCGTTAGCTCCCTTGCCACCCTTGCGTCCACCACGTCCACCTCGACGGCCACCCTGACCAGCTTGACCGGTTTGACCAGCTTGACCAGCTTGACCAGCCTGGCCGGTTTGACCGTTCTGACCAGTTTGACCGTTCTGACCAGTTTGACCGTTCTGACCAGTTTGACCGTTGTTCTGACCCTGACCGTTCTGTCCAGTAGCAGCGGCGGTACCGTTGTTGTTGTTATCTCCAGTCTGAACGCTGCCAGTGCCGGCATTGTTTGTGGAACCAGCACCGTTCTGGCCCTGTCCGTTCTGTCCGTTCTGACCAGCCTGTCCGTTGTTCTGGCCCTGACCAGCCTGTCCGGTCTGTCCGGCCTGTCCGTTGTTGTTTCCAGCGCCAGCGTTGTTGGTGCCAGTGCCAGCATTGTTGGTGCCAGCATTTCCGTTGCCGTTGTTGGCGTTGCCGTTGTTGGCGTTGTTACCGTTGTCGCTAATGGAGAAGCGGACACAGTCATCCTGAGCACCACGCTGAGCCACGGGCATCAGCACAGGCTGGTGGTTGGCAGCAGCAGACATGGAGCAGAGACGGTAGTTGCCGGCGGGCAGACCACCGTCAACCGTGGCAGAAAGCAGGCCGTTGCCGTTGCCAGCGTCGTTGATACCCTTGAAGAAGACAAAGCTCTGAGGGTCAAGGGGCTGGGAAGGGGTCTGGCTGTCGCCCATGCTCTGGACGGTAACGTGAGTGTGGCCGATAATGTTACCGTTTCCATCAACGTCCTGGGGAGCTGAGTAGTATGTGGTGGTGGCGTTGGTGAAACTACCAGGGGCAAAGTTGATCATTTGCACCTGGATGTCGAAAGTCTGGTTGGAGGCAAGGTTGTCGCCGTTTTGGGGGTTTACGAAAAGAGACGAAACCATGTTGTTGACGCCAGGAATGTTACCCATGGGGATACCATTGCAAGAGCCCGTCTTGACTTGCAAACCGTTGGTGAGAGTCTTGCCCTGACAGAAGTTGATGAAGTTTTCATTGTCACTATACATTGATTAGCCATTATCTGATGTAAGACTGGATCCAGAGATACTCACGTAGCCGAAGCGACCTGGCCCTCGCCACCAGGGTTGTTACCATCTTGCTGGGAACCAGTCTGAACAAGGTTGGAGTTCAGCGTCAAGCTGGCGCCACCGTTGTTTGCGTTGCCGCCCTGGTTGTTTCCCTGGTTGGCCTGGTTGTTTCCCTGGTTGTTGCCCTGGTTGGCCTGATTACCACCGTTGTTACCACCGTTGCGTTGGCGTCGTTCTAAAGCGCGGCCGAATGGAGATCGTCGCTCGATGGAAGCAGCGTCAGCCAGAACAGCCAGGCCGACAAGGCCAGTAAGAACATTCTTGATTTGCATATTGAAAGATGTAAAGAGAAATGTTTTAAAAAAGAAGAAGAGGAGAATAAAAAAAGCTTGGGGTTTGAAATTGAGAGAATGGTACCAGACCAGAGTCGAAAAGAGAGAAAATGAAGTGTCACAGACACAAAGAAAGAAGAGAATGAACGAAAGAGAAGGCGAACGACCAGGTCGCTTAAAGGATTAAGGAAAAGGAATGGTTGGAGGATGAGGAGAAGAGAAAGAGAAACAACAGAGGGGGGGAGCGAGGCCATTATAGCTTCGAGACGCCAAGGCCTTTGGCGTCAATGCAAACCGCAGATACGGAGTCGAAACAAGACATCGGGAAGCCGGCACGACTAGGGATTGGGAACAGCGGCGCTTCAGTTCCAGAAACAGAACGGGGAAGCCATCCACTTTCATGAACGGATGCGGTTCCATGAGCCTCAGACGGTTCACGACAGATCCGAGGGACACGACCAGGGCCAGAGACCGGGGGTCGCTTTTGGCTTACAGGCCGCCCTGGCTGGACTTTTGGAGCGAATAGGACGGCGGCCTAAAATGGCAATTCAAGGATCCAATGCCCATAATGACGGCGCGGTGCAACCAGGTGCGACGGCATTAGCGCTGTCTGAAGAGTCTGGGCTTCGAAACAGCCTCCGAGAAGGTCTAACCGCCTCTCCACGCAGGTACAAGAGATCTGCTGGGGCTCGAAAAGCCAGGGTTTCTTTGGCTGATGGAGCTCGCCCAACCTATTGTTTCTGCTTGTACTTTGGCCTCCGTACTAGATTCTAGGTCTTGTGCCAGGGCAGTACGGGGTACCTAGTCGATTTTAGCTATGAGCAAAGTTGGTGGAAAGAGTAGGAATAGAGGTGTAAGTCAAAACAAACCATTCACCTTGTACTTTGTCCTACAGGCAAAAGGCACAGCAGCGCCTTTGTACAGTGGACAGCCATCCAATGCCACAGTGCCTACCGCAGTGCTCGTGTGAGCCCGGAATTAGAGTTATTTCTCCAGGGTCTTCAGGCGCCGTGGCAGCTCGGCAGGCGGAGTGTCAAGGCCGTAGCTGAGGTGAACAGACCCCGGCGCTGTCGCAGATTAAAGTACGGATGCCACTGATGCGGCTTCAGGCGTCTCGGGGGCGGCTGTGGCCAATCAGGAGGCCAGATCGACAGCCTCCATGTGGCGCTTCGCGTTTCGGTTGTAGGCGACACGGAGAGCGCCCGAGCACTGGCTGTTTGAGGGGCTCTGCTCTGCTCTGCTGAATTCGAGGGTAATGCAGAAGCAGCAAGAGTCGCGATGTTGGAGAATTACTGGAATCAATATGTTGGTTAGGGAATGGGCGAACAGTTGATCCGAGGCAGCAGCACGTGGCTATTGTGACCGCAGGGCTACGCGAGGAGGTGCTACAGCACGTTTACAGCGGGCATGCGCTACAGCAGCAGCTTACAATTTACAGAACACCAGACATCAACACCTGAGGATATGGGCAATGAATCTCTTGTATGATATCGACACTCATCAATAAACAACAATGTTCGCTCTCTTCTGTATACACATGATAGGTGGAAATCAATAAAAGAGCAAGGCATTTGATTACCAGCCAAGACCCTAGAGCAGCAAGATCGATATTTACATCCACCCCTGCAGCTCCCGATTGTCATCACTTACCTAAGGGAGTTATAAGGAGAGACAAGCATGTTGATACAGCTACTACCGCCTTCAAGCGGCATCCTCCATGCGGTAACCCATAAACGTGCGCAAATGCACACCTTCGAAACATCCAGAAGTGGAACTTTGACGATTGGTTTATGTCTTTCCTCGCAAGAACAATGTCAGCCAAGCATTGCTGGCTTGGCATTTCCGCAGCTCTATTGCCTGTGAAATGCTTAAACCCACATGATGTAACCCTCTCCCGTCTTTCTGTTTGGCGCCCTGTATTGTAAGAAATGGGTGGTCTCGCAGCCAGTAAATTGCAGACGGGCACCGCAATGCATCGGCACAGGGTGGCCCAGATCCAGGGCCGCATTGATGTGGAGGTCGGTTGTGATTAGCAGTCATTTCAAAGCGATGCGCTTGGCTTTGATAATCAAACTCCTGTACGACAAGATTAACAGCGGCGGCCGAGAAGCCAAGCTATTGTCCTACGCGAGGGCACATGTCAGGGGCCGTCGCGAAGAAGATTAGTCTCGAAATCCGTCCATCTCAAGTTGATGAATCCCGAGCCTCAGCTGAAGGCCGTATATTGGCTGGGCTGGTTGCTCCGTATGACAGATACTATTGTAATGATGGGGTAGGAAGCTTGTTTCATTCCTAGAATCTGCCAGAATCGCAGAAAGTGGCCGCAGACAAAGGACCTCCAACTCGGTAAATCGGAACAATCACCCCAGCTCTGTCAAACTCCTTTTCAAGGTTGTTAATCTCCTCTGCACGGTCATTTTTGGCGTTGCTTATATCCGGGCAAAATGCCCAGGCACAGCTCCGCTCGACACGTTTGTGACAAGTCCCTTTTGTTTCTTCGTATCGAAGAAGGAGAGGAAAAGTCCTTGAAACTTCAGGGGGGCCTGCGCATAGGCGCAAAAAAGGACAGAGGAGGGATAGGTGAAGAGAGAATATGAAGATGCCATATTGAAGAGATCCACAGTGCCGTTTGCCGGACGTGAAACACCTCCTTGGCGCTCGCTAAACGCCATCTGAAACAGCGCTCTGCGGCCCAAAACAGCGCGCCGTGCTGTGGCTGACAGCTTCTCGAGGAACGTCTATTCCCGGTCTCAGCTTCTTGGCAAAGGACGTCATCGGACACACAGAAAGCGTGGTGGAATGAGGAATCTTTGAGCCTAAAGGTTGCCGTTTTCCGTAGTACGGGGGGTCAAGGCTTCTGTGGTGGCCGCCTCGCGTACCCTGGAACGAAACAGGAGGTGGAAAAAAGGAAAAGACACAAAGGAGATGCGATTAGTTTGAGAAACATTTTGTCTTGGCAATTCCAAATCTAGGCACTAGATTGGATCGAGTTTCTCTTTTGGGCTTTTGAATGTTGCATAGTAGTTACGTTGAGGCGCAAGTCTAGAGTGTATATTCTTCGTATAAACGAGGCCATTCAGAATCTATAGAATCCTCAACGCCCACGGGTTAAGAACTGATTTCAGAAGCTTCGAAAGGCATAAAACCTAAAAGGCGGTTAAGAATAGGCATGATTTAGTTGCTTTCTTCTGGCGGCCATTGCATCAAAGACTTGTAAAGTCCCTAATGTCACCCTCAGCTGTATCCACGACTCAACTTGGCATATATAGGCATACCGAATTCTGCTCATCAAGCTAACAATGTCTTTAGGATCGATCAGTGTGACAGAGTACGGCCATCGTATAATGTATGTCAAAAATCCTGCAGCTGATTGAAGATGTACAACAACAGGTATTGAGAAAGGTTGAAGACTACGAATACGCCAATCTATTGTAGACAGAGGATATTGATTGATACATGTCTGCCTATCCGTGAAATAGTATTATCTAATTTATTAACATATACAACCCTTGAGAGACTTAAGAATGCTGTGAAGGAAAGTGGCGCGACATGATACCTGTATGCACAGTTAAAGGGGGACTTCAATGGCGAAAGCGGTGCATGTGAGATTGTTAGCAACGAATCAGCGATCTTATCTGTTAGTATAAATGAAGGCCTGGGGGAGGAGTAAAAATGCTGTGAAATTGAAACGTGATACCCATAGAATGGAGATGCGTCAATGTGGTATACCATGCTCCAATGATCAGACGCGAGCAAGCACACGCACATTTTAGCTCAGCTACTGCATGAACTGTGCCAAGACGAATATTCAGTAATTGTTCATTTACCAAGAATTGCTAACCAAAATGATGACTGTGTATCCAAAGGCACTATACTCGCCTGCTACCCTTTATGAAATTAATGGCAAATTAAAAAAGCCAAGATCCCCCCTTCTATGCATACTCTATTACAGCTCGCCAATCGGCTCCTCCATAAATTCATCCAAAGGCTCTTCCATGTAGTCTTCTGTAGGCAGCTCTCCAGTGTAGCTCGCCTCTAGCTTCAGGTATTGGTCGACAATCTTGTCCAACCAGGCTGCCATACGGTAACCGGCTCGGGCGACTTGCTTTTCGAGCATAGGGGCTGCTTTTTCGTAGTACTCGCCGCTCAGCTCCTGGCCAGCAATAGCCTTGGGACCTTCAGGGAAGACTTCAAGTCGACAAGGTTAGTAAAAGAGCTATAGTCTTGCGCAGAAGTTGGGCTTGACCTACCATACTGGCACACGAGCTTGTTACATTCGCGTGACCAAGCCAATGCCGTCTCTTCCGGGTTGCTAAAGTCCAAGTCCGCCAGCCAATCGTCCTTTTCATCTGCGTAGATTCCGCTGTTGATCTTCTTTGTAAGATCTGCAGACCACTTCTCCGCCCAGGGATATGGTTTTCTACCACGCATGCCGAGCCATTTCTCCGTGATGGAGCTGTCCCAAACGTGATGCAGGTTGAAATCGCGCCCATTCCACAAGACATGGATACCGTTTCCACCTCTTGCGACATCCTCGTTATGCAGCGGCTGGTGCAGGTCGCCGACGAAGTGAATGACGAACTTGGCTGCCTGCGCTCGTCGCCATGCCGGCAGGGACGGGTCGACGGATTGCTGGGTGTAGTTGGCCAGAGCGGTGATGACGCAGCCGCCTTCTTTGCAGTCGCGCTCAAAGTCGATGTTGCAGTCCTCGGGAGGGCTGTCGTGCGCATCGATGAAATGGAAGTTTTTGGTGAATCTACCCCATTGTGTGTATCTGATCGAGTCGGCCCAGGAGGCTACCTTGGCCATGTAATCGGCATCTTGGCTACCGAGGAGCTGCTTCAAGTAGGCTTCTGTCGTATTGGCGACGAAGTTGCTTGCAACAAAGGCTGTCGTTATGTGTCCCAGACCTAAGTTTGAAGAGCGTCGATGTTAGAAAGCTAGTGAAGATGATGGATGGTGCATCACGAGGGGTCAAATACACACCTCCCCAAGCCATAGCCCCTGGCAGGGAGACGAGGCTGTAGGCCACAGCATTTGAGAGCTTCATGGTGCGGCAAAAGCAAAGTAGACGCTAACGAGAAGGCGATGCTAGTGATGGAAGCAGGTTCTATTCAATTCTTCTAGATGGAGCTGAATGATGAACAAACAAAGAATGAAAGACAAAAGGATGACTGTTGTAGGACAAAGGTTGGTATGAGGGAGAGTTTGGACGGGAGGGACCAAGGGAGTGACGCCTGAAGCTACCCCGGAAGATTGACGCTCTAGCGCTCCGCAGTTGCGCACGGCACTTCCAGGAGACGCCCGAGCCGGTCGGCCGCCAATGAGAGGCACCTCAGCCACTGCGTGCGGGAGATGCTGCCTACCCGCGTGCACAGTAGGTATTTGACCTCAGCTGCTTAGCACGTACACAGGCCGTCTAGAAGGATCACACGCGCTTTGGCGGCGCATCAGGTGCGCGGGCTCAGCACATGTGCCGGCCCAAACGGGAAGTGGGAGCTGCTGCAAAGGCTGGGGCTGGGGCGAATCGTAGCGGGCCAGTGTTGTCACTGCAACTCCGGCCTCGGCAGCGGTGACAAAATAGGCGGGACTGCAGAAAAAGATGGATACCATCTCGCTGGTATAAGTCTTCCAGATGATGGCACGAATACCTAGGTTTAGAGGAGAGAACAATAATAGGAGAGATAGTGATGTATGGATATCAAGGAGATGCATAAATCGCTGCATTCACCTGCCGTGTTCTGGGATCTTGTCTTGGATATTTACTGCAAAGGCCTGCCGTCTTACCGTTCCGCTTATTGGGTCTACCGCTTGCTCGGCACCGCCGCAATTGAGTTTAGAATTGTATGCAGCTGGAGCCGTACAGCTTCTCGCCAGAAGACGTATTGTGCGCTCTCCAGATAGAACATTGTTGTCCTCTGCCATGCAGTGAAACAGTGACACGAGGCTCTTGAAGGCGCACATCTATCAATATCAAATCAATGCATACCGCCTCTCTATCTCGTACCACCTGCCCACAACACTGCGAATCGCTTCACCCAGCAAAAGTGTTTGCAGAATGACGCACCCAGAGATAGCGCGCGCACGCTCCCCGCCGCTAACGCCTGCAAATGGAGCCCATCCGACCCTGATCTCTGCAATATGCGTGTCTTGTGCAAGATTTGCTTTCTCCTAGTCCCGGCCGCAGCCAGCCAATGGGCGCCCGCGGCTCTATCGCTGACCACTGCGATAAGCAGCCCGCGATAAGGCCCATGGCCGCAACGGATCCCTTCAGCTCCTATGACTAGGACCGATGATCTCGTGAGGCACCCCGACCGGCCGATGCCCTGCAATTCCCACATAATCTCGCCCTCTGCGCCTCCTAGACATTCCTCTTCTTCACTCACCAACCGCTGTATCACTCGATTTTGCGAAGAAAGCGAAAACAAACCGTCCATTCTTTGTCGTTTGTGCCTGCGCGCCGAGGTGCCGAGATAACGTTTCGAGTCAATCTGCTGCCATACCATGGCGTCTCTGGCGATGACCGTGGTGGACGAGGCAGTGAAGAAGCTGCCTCTTCACCAAGCTATATCGGGGATCTTTGGGAGCATCAGCATGGCGGCATGGATATGCGTCATTGTACGTATCGCATTCTACTGATTTTTTTTTCTTATAAAAAATGCTGTGGTAACTAACAGTTGTCTTTGTAGCTGCCTCAGATGATTGTCAACTACCGAGCAAAGAGCGCCGACGGGCTGAGCATAACGTTCCTGGCCGTGTGGATGCTTGGCGATGCTACAAACTTGATAGGTCCGTACGGAATAGTACTTGCGAGCTCCCAATTTCTGCAAAGAGCAAAAGAAAATTCCTTTGCTGCTAGACACCCGCGCGGAGAAGGGCCATATGCGAGGCTAAGCTAACCCGCGAATACTTAGGCGGACTCTTGACAAACCTGGCGCCAACAGCAGTGGCATTGGCCATGTACTTTTGCGTCGCCGACTTCCTCCTCATCTCGCAGTGCTTATACTACAACACGGTCAATGCTCGCCGAGCTGCCCTGGCGGCGGAAGAGAACGAAGAAGCGCCCCTCCTTGGTGAGCGACACGCCGCGGCGCATCGCCACTCGGTATCGAGCGAGGATGGCGGCAAGATTGGGCCTGCCGGTGACGAGCTGCTGGAGCGCTCCTCGTGGATGTCCAACACGGCCAGCCTGATTGGCGTGTACGTTGCTGGCTTCATTGGGTGGTATCTCTCTTACAAGGCCGGCGCATACAAGGAGGCGGATCCGGTTGTTTTCAACGCCGCGATCCAGGCATCGCCGGACCTGCTGGAGAAGATTGGTATTGTTTTGGGATACTTTAGCGCAGTCTGCTACCTCTGGTATGCCTTTACACAGTCTCATACGCAGCTCACAGTACGCACCAGGCTAACTCCCATCTTAGTGCCCGAGTTCCTCAGATTATCAAAAACTACCGAGAAAAGTCATGCGAAGGTAAGAAGACTGATCTTAAGCTGACCCCTATGTTGTTATACTAATTGAGTTTCGTAGGCCTCTCCATCCTATTCTTCATGCTCTCCCTTACTGGAAACCTGACCTACGCAGTCAGCATCGTGGCTTACTCCCAAGAGAGAAAATACATCATCAACACGATTCCCTGGCTCATTGGATCGCTGGGCACCGTGGTCGAAGATGGCACTATTTTCGTGCAGTTTAGGCTATACGCCAACAACAGGCGAAGCACCCAAGCATAGACTCAGAATTCCCGGGTGGCTGGGAGTTGGACTTTGGACTTTGGACTTGAGCGAACATGGAGACGATTCGTTTGCTCGGATTTTTGGCATACTTTGGCATCTGCTTGTTTGGGTTGTACGGGTTGAGGCGTCGCGGTGTATTCACTTGGGCGTTCTGGGACGTTTAAATGGACAGATTCTGCATGAATTGTGTCCACATTTGTTTGGATTTAGGGAGCATTCGCATTTGGTGCGAAGAGAGACTTTCTCACCGCGGGGTAGTCTCTTTTGGATAGATTCTTCTCCAGAGAGCAATCGTATTGGTTTCTTTTACCCTATACCAGCTTGAATACAGTCATTTATATACTACTCTTGAAGTAGGTTAATAGCCACATATGCAGTATCCAGACCTGATTATATTCAGAAGTATCTAGTATATCACAGTGTCAACAGCAAACTATCATCCTCAATCGAGATTAATGCATGATCTTATGAGATATCATGTGCAGAGGCCAACATCTGTTTGCATCGGAATATTCATCTATTCAACCGGATAACTTTTGATATGTATACACATACACAGGTCCAAAAAGGAGAAGGAAGTCTTGAAAAAAGTGTGATTAGATATAGCCCTTGAGAATGGCAGCCTCAGCATTCAGTATAGATGAGCCAGCCGCTCCAATAACCGCTAAGAAATCAAGTCAGTCAAGCTGAAGGATATTGAGAGAAACAAAACTTACTGTTGTGGCTCAACGCAACAAACTTCAAATCAAAGATACCACTCTCGTCAGCACGCACTCTGCCCACGCTAACCGTGTATCCTCTGCCCAAATCACGATCCAGTCTCGGCTGCGGCCGGTCGTCCTCGTCAAAGACCTTGATGGGCGGGTTAGGCGCAGAGGGACATCCCAGCTTCTGAGCCTCGGAAACGTACGCCCGCAGAGCCGCCTTGCACTCCTCCGGCGAAGGAGGCGGCTGGCGCTCAAACTTGAGGCTCACGCAAGCAGTGTGACCGTCCATGACGGCCACGCGGTTGCACGACGCCGAGACGCGCAGGCCGCTCTGCTCGACAAACGCAGTGCGCCCCTCGTCAATGGCGCCGAGGATCTTCCTGGCCTCGGTCTCGAGCTTGTCCTCCTCGCCCTGGATAAAGGGCACGACGTTGTCCATGATGTCCATGCTGGACACGCCCGGGTAGCCCGCGCCCGAGACGGCTTGCATGGTGACGATGCTGACGGTGGCGATAGGGCCAAAGGCGGCCTGCAGGGCGGCGAAGGGGATGACGAGCCCGATGACGGCGCAGTTGGAGTTGCAGACGAGGAAGCCCTTGGACAGCTTGTGGACGGAGCGCTGGTGGGGGATGAGGTCGAGGTGAGGCAGGTTGACGGTGGGCACGACGAGCGGGACGAGGGGGTCGCGGCGGTAGTTTTTGGCGTTTGAGAAGACGGGGATTTCGGCCTTGAGGAAGGCCATTTCTGTTTTTTATTAGTTGACTGTTGGTATTCATAAATAGTCGCTGCGAAGGTTCGGCTTACCAACATCGCCCGCGACATCGGAATCGAGCCCGCTAAACACCACGTCGCAGTCCTTGAACTCGTCCGGGCGGCACTCCCGCACGACCATGTCAGCGACGTCGCCAATGGGCGAGGCCTGCTTCCATCGCACGGCGTCCTTGTACTTCTTGCCGGCGGAGCGCGACGATGCGCCGATGGCGTGCAGCTCGAGCGTCGAGTGGCCCTGGAGCAGGAGGATGAAGCGCTGGCCGACGGAGCCAGTGCAGCCGAGGACGCCTGTGAGGGGGGAAGTGCTTGTTAGTTTCTGATGCTGTGGGAGATGAATTGAACCCGGAGAGACGGTTTGGTCAACGTACCGCACTTCTTGCGAGGGGATTGCGCTGACATGGCGATGCTTGTGCTGGACGGGGCCGGTTCGGAGCGTGATGCGATGATGCGCTACAGCTAAAGCAGGGCTGAAGGAGGCCGTTGGAAGAACTATATTATGGCTGGATATAACTGAATGCTAATCAAAGATTCAGCTTTTAACGGCAAGCAAAATGTCTAAACCAAAATAAAAACAAAAACATTGTAAAGGTAAGAAATTGACTGTTGCAGGTTGTTGGCTTTGACTCGGAAGCTAAAGGCACCCCCACCATGACTTTTTATCAATTGCTTTTCCCCCGCCATCGGAGCGTCGTTGTAAGTCAAGAGTGGACCGGTCTTTTTTTACTACTACTGGAAATTGCATCACTTACTCAAATACTCTTTTTTTCACTCCCTGTTGATTGTATACATATGACTGCCGTATCTATAGTCTCGAAGAATGAGACCGAAACTCTATTGATCTTGGGTGATTTTGCAAGAACTAAAAATAGCTTGAAGCCGTAGGATGAGTGTTGCTTATTCGGGCGGTATATTTTTACTTTTCGGACGGTATATTTTTGCTCTTCGGGTAGCATACATTTGAATGTTCGGCCGGTATATTTTTCAGTTTGCGCAGCATCTAACCCAATTAAGCCCACCTGAGGAAGAACGTTACAAGGTAGCAAGCAAGATTGTAGTCGCAACAACATCATGGCAAAATTGAAAGAAATTTAAAAGAATTTGAACTTTTTTTTTTTTTTTTCCAATTTCTAATTTGGTTATATATATCTATTAAACAAGGCACGTCCCGACCCAAATGCAGATCAAGCATTGGCATACTGCTTGTTAAACGCCCGTCCAATAACCATTCTTCGAATCTCCGAAGTACCAGCTCCAATCTCATACAACTTGGCACTAAAACACACAAAAGTCAGATCAATCCAAACTTCAAAAAAAGATAAAAAGCATACAACTTACTCTCTCATCAATCGAGACGCGGGCATCTCCTCAACGTAGCCCATACCTCCCAGCAGCTGGATAGAGTCGAGCGCAACCTCGGTCGCCCTCTCGGCAGCATACAGAATCGCTCCGGCGCAGTCCTCGGTGCGAATAATGCCCTGCTCGTCAACCTGGCGGGCAGTGTTGTAAGTGTACGCACGCGAAGCCTGCAGCTTGGTGTACATGTCGGCCAGGCGGCCCTGAACCAGCTGGTTGTGAGCAATTGGCTGGCCAAACTGCTTGCGCTGGTGGCTAAAGGGCAGGGCAACGTCCAGAGCAGCCTGCATGAGGCCCAGAGGCCCGGCGCTGAGAACCAGACGCTCCAGATCGAGACCCTCCATCAGCACGCGGACACCGCCGTTGATCTTGCCGAGCATGTTCTCGCTGGGCACAAAGACGTTTTCAAACATGAGCTCGCCGGTGTTGGAGCCGCGCATGCCCATCTTGTCGAGCTTGCGCGCGCAGGAGAAGCCCTCGGCGGCGGTGTCGACCAGGAAGGCGGTGATGCCCTTGGATCCCTTCTCGGGCTCCGTCTTGGCATAGACGACAATGACGTTTGCGTCGGGGCCGTTGGTGATCCACATCTTGGATCCGTTGAGCACGTAGCCGCCGTCGACGGGCTTGGCCGTGGTTCTCATGCTGACCACGTCGGAGCCGGAGCCAGACTCGGACATGGCCAGGGCTCCGACGCTGGTGCCGGCGATGAGGCCCGGCAGATACTTTGCCTTTTGCTCGGCATTGCCGTTGAGCGAGATCTGGTTGACGCACAGCTGCGAGTGCGCGGCGTAGCTCAGGCCGATGGATCCAGAGGCGCGCGAAATCTCCTCCAGCACGATGCAGTGCGCCTGGTAGCCCATCCCAAGGCCGCCGTAGTCCTCGTCGGCCGTGACGCCCAGGAAGCCCGCCTCGCCCAGCTTGGCCCACATCTCGGCGGGGAAGGCATTTGTCTTGTCGGTGCGCGCGGCGAGCTCTTCGGGGATCTCGCGGCGGGTGAAGTCGTGGACGCGTTCGCGCAGCTCGTCGAGCTCTTCGTGGGACGGCGGCTCGAAGCCCTTGGGGTGTTTCTGGGAGTGGAGGCGCTTCTGGCTGGAGATGGAGGACGAGAGCAGTGATGGGCGGAGGAGCGATGATGAGGGTGATGGCCGCGCTGGGCGGGCGAGTCTGGAAAAGGCCCTGAGGCTGGACATTGTGGCGGTGATGGTTGATATGGATAAGAGAATGCCTATATGGTGTTGCGACTTGTGCTATGTAAGGTACGTCACTGTATAGATCGATCGTAGATCTAGATGCTATCTGTATAACAGCGGGGGGGAGAAGCACAATGAGGGGAAGAAGAGATGCAATGGAGAATGAAATAAGAAAAAGACAGAAAGATGCAAAATTGAAATTGGGAAAAGAGGAAAAAAGGAGGAAATAGCGTGACAAGTCAGAAAATGACCAAGAAGAAAAAGAAATCTTCATGGATATGAATTATTAACCCCCAGGCTAGCTGCTTTGTGCCGGTTCCCTCGCAAACAATCGCTCTACGCCTGCACTAAGCCGAGGCGTCTCTGCCCCTGCCCCTGCAAGCTGCAGCTTTTCTCCCCAAAACGGGCACCTCGGCCACTACAGGCTTTACCAGCAAAAAAAGAGCCGCGCCCACCCCCAGCTTTTGGGCTCGGCTCAGCGCGGCTTGTGGCGGCCCGGGCGCTGCAACGCTGCGAACAAGCCGAAAGGGCACAACTGACGTACCTGGAGCTTTGAGGCAGCTCGGCTGAGGGAGAAGCAAAGTTGGGACCAGCATCGCCAATTTTCATCTTTCTTTGTGCGCGGTGTGAATATTATTTTATTTCATTTTCGTCCGTCTTCGAATTCTTTGTGTTGGAGCATCTCACACACCGCCAATTGACTCATCATCGCCATGTCTCTCTCACGGCCCTCTCGCCAGGCACTGCGCCTGTCCCGCCAGCTCCAGAAATCCTCAACACCATCACCACAGGCATCACGACTCCAGCTCTCCCGCCGCTCAGCAGCAACGCTCACGCCTCCGCACCAGGCCGGCGCAATCTCCCGCCTGCCCACAAACATCGACCCGTCGTCGCCCGAGTTCAAGGACAATGAGGCCCAGATGGCCGACATCACCGCCCGCCTGCAGCGCCTCGCCTCCACCATCCAGCAGGGCGGCTCGCAAAAGGCCCGCGACAAGCACCTTGCGCGCAACAAGATGCTGCCGCGCGACCGCGTCGCCGCCCTCATCGACCCGGGCACCACGTTCCTCGAGCTGTCGCCCATGGCCGGCCACGAGCTGTACCCAGAGGCCGAGGTGCCTGCGGGCGGCATCATCACGGGCGTGGGCGTCGTCGAGGGCGTCACCTGCGTGATTGTCGCCAACGACAGCACCGTCAAGGGCGGCACGTACTACCCCATCACCGTCAAGAAGCACCTGCGCGCCCAGGCCGTGGCGCAGGAGAACAAGCTGCCGTAGGTCATCTCATCCCATCTCATAAGCCATGTAAGACTAACATGAGTTTTGCAAATCATCAGCTGCATCTACCTCGTCGACAGCGGCGGCGCCAACCTCCCCCACCAGGCCGACGTCTTCCCCGACCAAAACCACTTTGGCCGCATCTTCTACAACCAGGCCCGCATGTCCTCCCAGGGCATCCCCCAGATCGCCGTCGTCATGGGCCCCTGCACCGCCGGCGGCGCCTACGTGCCCGCCATGAGCGACGAGAGCATCATCGTCCAGGAGCAGGGCCACATCTTCCTGGCGGGACCGCCCCTCGTCAAGGCCGCCACGGGTGAGGTCGTCTCCCACGAGGACCTCGGCGGCGGCAAGATGCACTCGTCCGTCTCGGGCGTCACCGACTACCTCGCCGTCGACGACGCCCACGCAATCACCCTCGCCCGCCGCAGCATCGCCAACCTCAACTGGCCCAAGCAGTCCGCCGCCACGGTGGCCCCCGCAGAGTCCTTTGCCGAGCCGCTCTACGACCCCAACGAGCTCCTCGGCATCGCCACCACCAACCTGCGCAAGCCCATGCCCGTCCGCGAAATCATCGCCCGCATCGTCGACGGCTCCGAATTTGCAGAGTTCAAGCGCGACTTTGGCACCACCCTCGTCACGGGCTTCGCCTCCATCTACGGCCAGAAAGTCGGCATCGTCGCCAACGACGGCATCCTCTTCGCCTCCTCCTCCGTAAAGGGCGCCCACTTCATCGAGCTCTGCGCCCAGCGCGGCATCCCCCTCGTCTTCCTGCAAAACATCTCCGGCTTCATGGTCGGCTCCGCCTCGGAGCGCGACGGCATCGCCAAGCACGGCGCCAAGCTCGTCACCGCCGTCGCTTGCGCTGATGTGCCCAAGTTCACCGTCGTTGTGGGTGGCAGCTACGGCGCTGGCAACTACGGCATGTGCGGCCGTGCCTATTCGCCGCGCTTCTTGTGGATGTGGCCCAATGCCCGCGTGGGCGTCATGGGCAGCGAGCAGTTGGCTGCTGTCATGGAGACGGTTGGCAAGGCAGATCCGGAGCTCAAGGATCGCATTGAGCGCGAGAGTGAGGCTACCTACTCTTCTGCGCGTCTTTGGGTAAGTCATGACACACACACACACACACACACACACACACACACATGCATACACATAAAAAGGTATAAAGACGGAAAAGACCATTAGCTAACCACGAAAACCCTATAGGACGACGGCATCATCCCTCCCCAGCACACTCGCCACTACCTTGGCCTCGGACTGAGAGCCGCCATGGGTGGCCGCAACGAGGTCAAGGCCGGAGATACCAAGTTTGGTGTCTTCAGAATGTAATAAAAGACAAATAAAAGAAGAAACTTATAAAAAGAAAAAAAGAGATATACATCAAAGAGATAATAAAGAGAAGAGAAAAAAAAATGGTTTTAAATAGGTACGCAAACATGCTGCAACGACTTGATGTGTGTCATATGGTATGGTATCCCTTTTTCAGAATTAGACATCTATGTACATTTCACCACTAGTTAAGCACATAATCATTGATTGCTCGCTCGACCGCTTTCCATCCGAGATGCTCGTAACAGCTCAACAATGAACTGCCGTGATATTTGATATCAGTTAATCTACTCCGCCTCTGATGAAAACGCCTGCGCTAATCTCCCCTTCCACCTTTCTCGCATTTGTAAATGCACTTGAGAGAAAATAAAATAAATCGAAAAATGAGAAAGAAGAAGAAAGAAAAAAGAAAAAAGTCTCAAAAAGAAAGAAAGAGAGTCCATGACATGCTTATACAAGATTTCCCAACCGTATCGCCCCTTTTTTTTACCTCTTACGTCTTCGTCTCATTGCCGCAAATAACCTCCCTCCCTCTTCCAGATTATTAAATATGGTATCCCAGGTTTGTACAAAAAGGGGGCGGCATACCACCCCTCATCTGCAGCCGTATAGCCCTCGACGTTATATATGATTCAAAGGCTTGGCTAAACGTGCAGTTATGCCAAGAGCTGTTTGAGCATCATCTCATCAGAAGCCGAAAAGGAGGCTACGTTTTGACGTCTTCTGGCTCCCCACGGGCCCTTGGCCAATATCGACCGTGGCGTCAACCAGGTCAACCGTTCTGTTCCCTCCGATGGAGATGCTAGATGCCTGCTTGACAGTCACTTCGGAGCCGTATTTCGTAATTGCTTGAGAAGCCTGAGTGAAGAACTGTTGGAGCTCAGTCTGCGCCGTATTCGCAGCATCAATACTATCTTCTTGGAGCACATACAGCACGGCTGTGCGAGCAAAGTCGAGGACTTCTTGCGTAACGGTGAACATGGATGTCTGCTTGGGTGAAGAAGAGCTCGTGGACGAGGGGCTGCTCCTTCGAACTCGTGAAGGCACTTTGTCTAGAATAGCCACAAAGTCTCGGGATATAAGGTCAGGGGTTGGTCCAGAGTCTTTGTTGGTTGCTTGTTGAGCATTATCAGAAGTACTCTGAACTTGCGCATTGGCCCCACCAGTTCTCGTGGACTGGCCATCAAACGTAACGAGGGCATTCTGAGCGATGCAAGAAAGGTTGCCCGTGTTAAACCTAGCCAGGATCTCTGTACCCAAGAGGGGGATGGAAAAGTTCTTGTCCGAATCGGCAATGATGCGTGGTATGGCCATACCGAGTGTGACGTTGTTGATGTGGGCAGAGCCGTCCGTTGGAATCAAGTTTGTCGTCGTGCAGCCCGATGAGCCGTTTGTGCCACAGTTGGCTCCCGTAAATCCGTTAGTGCAGATGCACGAGCACGTACCATTAATAACGACACCGCTGCCGCCATTCAAGCACGGCAGAGACTTTGCGCAAGATTGAATGTTGACTGTCGGCGATTTGTTGCTGTTGTTGCCCAGGTTCTTGAATACGAAATACTCCAAGGGTATAACAATAGCGGTCGCAATGATACACAGCATCAGGAAGATGATTAGGATGAAGGCCCATATGGGCAAACCGCAGCACCTGCGAGCTTTTGGCTTGGCATTGGAACCGGCCGGGACCTCCTGGTCATCAGGGGTCACCATGTACTTCTCACGACCGGTGTAGGGCCCTCGGGGCACCGAAGGCCAGGCATCCGTGGGTCGGTGAGTGTGTACAGGTGTTTGCACAGGAGGAGGGAAAGCAGCCAGCATATCCGAAAGGCCTGACTGATAACGATCGTCTAATTACCATTCATCACGATTAGCAGCGAGTCCATCTGAGTTTTTTTTTTACTACCAGGTTTATTAACATACCAAAGGAACGCTTCACTCCATTGCCACTGCTCGCTTTTTCGTTAAAGAAGTCGAGTTCGTCAAGGCGACTTGATGGCCGTTTGCCCTTGTCAATCATCGAAGCGAGACGAGTAGCTCGTCGGATCAGATCTGGTAAGCTGGTAAGACTTCCTCTCGATTCAGCCTCTCGTACGGCGTCGATATCTAGCCTCGGTGGGCGTCGGATGGCAGAAAGGCGGCTAGTCGGCGGGGGAGATCCCGCGGCTCTGCGTAAATCTGCCGGGCTCATCATGCCGGGCTGGCTTATAGGGACCGCTGCGATATGGCTTGCCCTGCGGTCAGTGGCTGCTGGAAGCTGCTTGTTCGGCAAGGTGTTGGAAGAAGAGGCGGTGGATTCGTCGACAAGGCCTGTTCCATCATGAAACGGATTGGCAGAAGCTGGCTTCTTTCCATGAGAGTGCGGGCTAGTGAGTGTCTGGAGCGCATATTCGTCTTGGCCGGATACCAGCCCACTCTCGTCGCTATAATCTTCTGACCCGGCGGAATTTCTGCTTCTCTCTGTCAAGGATTCTTCGTAGAATCCTCCTCCATGGAAGCCCGGGCTAGCACCCACAGATTCAGCTTTCCATGAATCGGGCATAGCAGCGCTCGAAGCGTAAGAGTTGTGAGACGTATAGGCTGAGTGTTCTTCGGGAATCGGAGACACAAAGGATGTGGCAGAGTAAAAGGACGACTGTCCTCTTCTGCTGGAGGGTGGTGGCCCCAGATTTGCGCTTCTCCTCGGGCGATCTGAAGTCTCTGAAGTAGGGCTATCGACTTCTGACGGGCTGGCGGGTTCCGGGACACGAAATACGGGAGTTGGTTGCTGTGGGCGGGACTGGTCTACCATGGACGGGACTTGGCTTGGGCGTGGCGGTCTTTGGGGTGCTACTCGAGGTCGGTCGGGTGGTGGACGGTATGAACCTGCATCTGGGGGGTCCGCTGCATCAGGGCTCTGCAGCGGCCACTGAGGAGCTGGCGCCGGTCGTGAGATTGTTGCTGCTGCCATGTTACCATGCTGGCCGTTGGCTGGTCTTGATCTGGTCGAGTTGGGCGGTGGTACCTCATGCTGAGGTGGTGTATCGTAACTCGGGTTCGGATTGTGTCTCAGCCGCTGCTCACGCCTATTTGACTCGCTGCTGAAGGGGAAGCCAACCTGGGCTCTGTCCCGTGGCCTTTGAGAGGACGGTGGAGATTGTGCCGGCCAATCCCTGCCTCCATCATATGCCTGGCTCATTTGGAATGTCGTCGAGTCTAGCTACAAACCATCCGGGGTAACGGTGCTTGGGTAGCTGTCGACATCCAACGAGAGACAGTCTTGCCTGAGACGTATCAACGATTTCTGCGAGTAGCCGAACTAGCTGAAACAGACTTGGTTGCACTGATCGAAGTGAAACCTGTGGCCAACTGGTCGGATTGAAGTTGAAACCTTTGAAACGAATGAAGAGATGAAAAGCATTGAAAATAAGGCCCAGAAGTCGTGCTATCAGCTCTACAGGCTTTATCAGGTAGATTCGTATTCAGAGAGATTTGTGAATGAGTGAAGTCTATTAACGAGCAAGGTTAGATATGAGCAATTCTATTTACTGATACAAGTCTCAAAAGGCAGGAACGACGAAGCAGGCGTAATCGCGATGAGCCGGTATACTGGGAGCAGTCTGAGCGTCGATAGAAGATGCGAAGAAAAGTGTCGAGCAGTTTCAAAGACTTTGCATGAAACGCATAAATCGAAAGACGGATTCCAAATAGAAAAGATCAGACGATGTGTAGAGCCCTAGAGCAAGGTGGGAGGCAGGCAGAAGGAAGTGAACGATCAGTAAGACCTACCTTTGAGGAACGAAACGGCGTATTCACCTGGAACAGAATCTGGCACAACGGCAAAGAAAGAGAAATAAAGAAATGAGATATGAAAAGAAAAAAAAAATGTTAAAAAAACTGAATTAAGGAAAGCGGGGAAATGAATAGTACAGCAGCAGCAGCGACTAGCAGCTGGTGATGGGGAGGGGGAAAGAAGAGAAAGAAAGAGTGAAGGTTAACGCAAGCGAGGAAAAAAGACAAAAACTGGGGGGTGAGAGATGAGATGATGGAGGAGAGGACGATTTTTGGCGAGCGAGGCGACCGAAGGACGACCAGGATTCGAACGGGATTTGCCTGCTGCGGGCCTTGCCTGTGGCTTGTCGTTTTTGTCGGACGATGCGGCCCAGCCTGGTGGTTCCGGCCAGCGAAGAATCACAATCAACGGAGAGGCAGCGGCAGAGGCAGAAGAGGAGGCGGACGAGAAGAGGAGAAGGACGAGGGCTGCGGTTGAGGAGCCGGGAGCCATGCCGTGCATGTACAGGTACAGGCGCAGGCACAGGGGTTGTTAGTGGGCACCATGCCTGGTTCCAGGTCCTGTTCCTGGCTGTGGGGAGGTCGCTTCGCCGTGCCATGGGCTGCCCTGAGCTGTGGCTGCTGTAACGAGCTACAGTGTCTGGCGCGGGTACCGGTACATGCGAGTGGTATATAACGGCAGCAGGGATATCCAGGAAAAAGGGAAACCACCAGCAGATTGAAGCTTGAACAGGCCATCATGCGCAATCAGGGACATGTCTTGATACACGTGGTTTGAAGTGGGACATTAGTGGTGTCTGGGATGGAAGATTATATCAGATGAGCGAATAGCTATTGTGAATATAGAGAAGCTGTCGCTGTTCATACATGCACACAACAAAATCTTACATGATGAAAGAGATTGAAATTGATGGCATCAATGCTCCAAGCCACAGGTACAGGTACCACCACTAGAAGCGCATCATTTAGCAGTCCCCTGTGCTAGTCTCCGTGTTGGACCCCCCTGGAGCCCACTCTCAAGACAAAACACTAGCGCCAATTTGTTCCTGCAGGTGGCCCGTTCGCAGCAGCGCATTTCGCCCAGCCGCGTTGTGAGGCCTTTTCATTCGCCCGAAAATCGCAGCATGTTGGAAAGCTGCAGCGTATCATGAACCTGCGCCATTCATATTTGAGCGTCGGCCGTCTTTTTTCGTATTTCTGCTTTACAATGTGTTGCCCTCTTTCCTTCTTAAAATGGCTAGACGGCACCAGACACGCATGCAGCCGCCCTCACGTGTATCAGTTCTATTAATTGCTAGTCGCGCATGTAGTGCTACTGTCCGGCTCAGCTGTGCAAGCCACAACTCAAAATATTAAGTGCCCAGCTCCCTATTTTCAAGCTATCCGATGGCGCTATTGGGCCTCTTCCACGATCATTAGCACTTTGAGAGCGCACCCAGCAGCAGCATCGTCGGCCCTTTATCGAGCACGTTCCACCGCTCTATCTTGAATGTCTTGGATTTCAATTCACGGATCTCATTCCGATCCACATGGCTTCCTCTAGCTGGCAAGGCCAGTGCTGCAGCTATTATTAGCACCGATACTACTGTTTTGTTACTCACTCTTCCTTGTTCCTTTTTTGCTTCATTTTTTTTTCTTCTCTTTTTCAGGACAGAGCCCTCCCTATTTGATCTTGGCAGCAGATTCTGTCACAGCCTGATCCTGTTGTCGTATCTTGATACCAGCACTAGTATAAATAGACACTCACCTTCAAGGCTGTCATATAAAATACCCATAAAACACGGGCTGAATATTCGCAAAGAATCCCCAAAAGCCCTCAGCTATTTTCTCTTACACCATGTCCTCACGCCGGGGCCTTCACCAGGCCTCAGCCCAATCTCCAACATGGCCCGTGAGAAGCTGTTGATTCACATACAATGTATGAATGTCTCAGACACGCATCAGTAGTGGGGTTTTGAAGTCCGCAGCCAAGGCAGTGTCCGGTTCACACTACTCAAAACAGGTATTGCTTGCGACCGGAGAAGGATTAAACAGCAACGCGCGCATACAAAAAGTTGGAAACCCTCAAAATCGATTCATTCTTTGCAATTATGGCATGATGCTCACCTACAGTACAACAGCAGCGGCCACATGTCCCAAACAGCATCGACTCTCCGGCAAAAAGAAGAAACAAGCAAACTTGCCCAAACCCCTGCTTCTCATCACACCAGTGTTCGCCGCCAAGAAATATCCACCCGTTTGCTCTCCCTAGAAGGAGAAAAACAAGGACTGCGTCGCTTCACACCCTTGACCCTTGCTCATCTCAGCCAAAGACGGGTAAAAAGACTAGCTAGAAGAAAAAAAAGCTCATCGGGGTTGCGTATGCGTATCCACGCACTCAGAGGCCCCGGTTCGTCGCAGACCTACTATAGCCGCCTCATACGAAACAGTTTTGGTTCTTGTTTGATAGACCCCGTGGTTCGTATATGCTTACTTTTGAAAAGACTCTGTCGTTTGTTCTTTTCGTCTTGGAAACATCGTTCAGTTCCCTTGCATGTCACCGCATCTATTTATATACATGCACCTTGATCGGTACATGTAGCCAGGTTAAAGTTTGGGATGGCGCCGTTACGTTAAACCGAGCACGGCGATTGATCACCATCCAGATCTCCAGTCTCCATGCAAGGAAAATTTCAATTTTTTTTTCTTCGCGTCGTTGGATGGTCGATAGTTGCATATTCGATGCTTGAAAGCTCGGTCCCCTCCGAGCTCATAGCTCTACTGTATTGGCAAACACCAACACCGCCCCGCAGTTAACAAAAGTTCGCATCTATTGCCCAGCTTCTTCCAATCTCCAGCACCCTAACCTGGATACATGCCATTAATTCCTGCGTTGATTCTTGCATTCTTGCCTCCTACAGCCCTCCTTCGTCGCCATTATCGTAATCGTGCATCACGGCTGGAAAAACACCTGCTCCATCGGCCTCCACCAAGACGGCGTCCCGGCCTCGGAGCTCACAGCTCCCTCCACCAAGCTCTCCTGCATGCTGTCTGTCATCTTCCACCACTCGCGCACCTTGGGATTACCCGCCATTTTCTCCATGTCTCCAGCGTAGTCGTAGCCGATATACCTAAACGAGGCAAAAAGCAATCCCAGGTTGTCGTCATAGAAGATGCTGTCTATCACCCCCCCAATTGCATAAGCTTTGCTCAATAAGAGAGTAAGAGGGGACAGGACAGTAAGCTTACAATCTTCTATCCCGCAGTCCTTGATCTGCTTGAGAACCTCGGGCCAAACCTTGGCATGGCAGGCCTTGTACTCGTCCACGCGGTCCTTTTTGAGCTTGACGACCTGGCCAAACCAGCGGCCCGGGTTTTTCTGCTTCATTGACAATGTCCGGACATGGCCGTGAGGGGGAGGTGGCGCGGGCTCTTCGCCTGGTGAAGTTGGCTGCCACATGCTGTCTTACTATTAATTTCAATAGGAGAGAAAAGCCCAGAGAACTGTAAATCAAAGAGAAGAGCGGTCTGATCTGACGAGAAAAAGAGAAAAAGAAATATTACACGATGAAAAGAGAGATGACAGTCAGCAGACCAGCTGATGTCGCCGCGGAACCGGATATGCACAGCTGCGATGAGGGGCAAAAGACAGAAAAAGCTGTGGGGAAGCACAACGTGTCTCGCAACCCCGCAGATTGTAGAAGAGTGTGCTTTCCCAGGAATGAAGATGGTTTTTATGTACATGGGATGTGCAAAGATTGGTAATTGCGCTTACAGAGCATTCATAGGTACCTAGACAGAACAATCTCCGCACGCTATTGGCTCTTCCCCCTTTGCAGATCCGAGGCTCCCCCGCATATCAAGTACCTATGGAACGTTCATATACAAACATGGAGACCACAGACGGAGACACAAGAAAGCGATTGCTCCAATCCAGAAACTCCACGCCATGATTGCCAATTCTTGAAACACGCGTTGCGGTCATATGATTGAATAGATGTACTAGGCATATGGAGTGCCCATCTCATTAGGTCATGAAACTCTCCGGATATTCTAGACATGGTTTGTCCAGCCTTCTTCTAGTTGATTGCAATGGAGAGAAACGAACAACCATACCCCCCATCAGACCCTCTCTCTGAGGCTTGTATTGATTCAATTAGGCGACGGGTGAATTAGACCATTTTAGTCCTGCACATTTCTACAAATGTTTTCCCCAGGCTATGATGGAGTCCAAGTAGCAAAACATGCCAGGCCATCGCATCCACAGCTACCCGGCACAACAATCATCAGCAAAAAGCAATGCATATGAATTTCTATCCAACCCTTTCCTTGCAAGGAACCAAAATTCCTCTGGCTGACAAAACACAAAACTGCACATGACATCGACATCGACAGCTGCAGAATAAAAACGGAGCACAACATCCGCCACAGTGGGCAGAAGTGGACTCGTACTTCAAAGAGCTCCAGTCCGCATCTCCCCACACGGGATCAGCCCCCCCGGATCAGAGCCCCACGCGGCTTGCGGTCCCGGAGGATCAGGTGGATTGAGGATGAATCTGAGGTTGACTTGGAGATGGAATATCTATAGAGATGAGGTAGTCAATCAGACATGTGCACACGGCTCAAGACAAATACTACCTACTACTTGAGTTGGATGACTGCATCTTGAAACATGATACGGATTATCAAGGAAAAAAAATTGTAGCATTCAGCTAACGACAGATAATATGCTAATTGACATGTGCATATCTGATTTCCCATAACGCCCTTCGACTCCCCCCAACTTGTTGAATCAATTTAGTAGTGGTACAGTAAGGCCATTTGTTTTCTCTTATTTGGCCATGGATTCATTCTGCACATCTCTCCTTTAGAAAAAAAAAAAAAAAAAAAAAAAAAAAAAGGAAAAGCTTCCATTTCTTTCAACTTGTCTTCAATGGTAGTGCTGGTGGTTTATTCGTCCACCTACTCGTCGTTTAGCTCCTTCATAGCAGGTATATAGTAACGCAAGGAAAGTGACATAAGAAAAATGAAGTTTGAGCAAAAAATTGCCTATTTATTTGTCGGCGGGTTCCGCCTGGTAGGCCGGAGCCGGGGTAGAGTCCTGAGCTTCCTCATCCTCTAACAAGCCCCTCTTCTCCTCCTCAGCGGAGGGGAACTGGGTAGAGTTGCGTCGGTGGTGAGGGCACCATGAGCGGCGCTGAGCACCACCACGGACGAACATGCTGATACGGTAGACGACGCTGCACAAGAACATGGCAAGGCTATCAAAAAGGTCAGCAAAGAGCAAAGAAACGAATATCATACGATAGAGGGCAACATACAATGCAACACCGACACCAGCAGTGATGCCCATGAGGACGGGCAGCACAATGTGCGAGGCGACGTTCCTGACAAGGCGGCGCCAGTCGCGCTGGGTGTTCCAATCCTCAGGCTCGTGGTGGTGAGGTCGACCGTGATGATGAGGCTTGTGGTGGGGAGGGGGAGGAGGATGGTTGGCCTCCTCGGGGCCGTGAGGGCCCTTTCGGTGGCAGCCACCGAAGCCCTTGACAGCTTGCTTGGCACGGCACCACATGGTGGTGCAGGGCATCTCAGGCGCGGCCATGAGCTGCATATCGGAAATGACAATGTCGCCGGTGACGGCCTTGATCAGGCCAACCTTGACCACGGGAATGTCGTCGACGAATCGGTGGCCGACCTCGATGACCCTCAGCTTGACGTCCACCAGCTCCAGCTGCTGCTCCTCGTCCTTGGCCCTGGGCAGAACCGACAGGCTGTATCCCAGGGTGCGCTCCGTGGCGCTCCCGCTTGCTCGCACGACATCGGCAGTCAGATCACCACGCCACGGGTCGGCATGGGGGTACAGCTCAAAGCCATTGACCATCAATCTTGAGCCATCCTCGACGGCAAAATCCAGCTTCAAGTGGGTGTCCCTGCCACGGCACTGTCTGCAGGGCACGTCGAGGCTCTGTCCGAACGCCTCGGCGGGCAGCTGGAAGGTCTCGGGCTCGACGGGGAGCGCCTTGAAGATGTTCTCGTCTGGTTCGGATATCTCGGGAACGATCGCAAAGGCCGTGGCCGCTGCCGCCAGGGCGAGCTGCTTGAAAAGCATGGTGGTGGAAATCGAGGTTGTCGCGATGCAAAAGAAAATAGCAACGGAACAATCGACAATATGCGACTCTATGGAGGTTGAAGGTTGGGAGAGTCGTCGCAGTGGGTTTGAGGTTGATGCAGAAAGCAAAAGAGGACTGGAGCTAGGAAGGGCAGCGGAGGGCGATTTGGGTGGCGAGGCGCTGTAAAAAGGTGTGACGACGCCCTGCCATTGGCCGTCCGGGATTAGCAGCCTCCGACTGTCCGAACCCCCCAGCTTACGAAATCGCCCAGGGATGCGCCGGTGCGTGATTGGCGAAGCAGCGCGGCGCCTACGTCAGCACTTCAGGGCCAAGAGGCTCTGATGGCGCTGCACGAGCCGCATACCCGAATGGCCCAGCACCCCTGGCAAAATGAATGGAACCATCGATTCTCTGCTCTGGTTAGTACGAGTACGAGGTGTTTGGGGAGGGCATAGCCTCAACTGCACCTTGGGAATTGCCATGGGTGGCATACAGTGTCACGTTCCCAGCAGCCGTACACGATGCCGCTGTCATTCGTTGGATAAAAGAGTCGATGGCACCAACCTGTTGCAGTACAGGGCACCAAGCCTCCGCTTAGGCGAGTAGAGCCCTGAATATCCTGCTCCATGCATCGGCATTAATGCCCGTCTTCTCACTTCGCCGCAAATAGCAAATGCCATTGCTAGGTTTGCCATTGCCATTCTACTCCACAAAATACGAACCAAAGCATCGTATCTGACACAAATCCCGTTCCTATGCCTTTTTTATATATACATGTCACTACTGAAACCCTTTTCTGTGCATACACGAGGTGGCATTTTGGCAAAATGGTTGTAGAGGTCTCCGATATGCTGCCAAAGACAAAAGTGCGCAATACCCCTGTGCTACGGAGTAGATACGCTCTGTTTAGTGCTTGGCTACATGTAATTACAATAGATGCCCCTGGATCATACGGCCTTGTGTTAAGCAAGATACATACGCGTAATGAACAAGCACAGATCTAACACCAGATGCAGTCATTTCAGGTAGTCTATAACAGCCAACACACAAGTAAAGGCTCCATCTCTCATACTCACAAGGTATTGATTTCATTTCCTGAACAAGCATAAGCACAGATGTTCAAAATATGAGAGTCATATTCGAACGAGCATGGCATTGAAACCACCATTATTATCAGAACCTACAGCAAACATCCACGAGTCGCCATCTACCATGGCTCTCCTAAGATTGCAATACTATGCCATTCCATGCCCCCTTTCCATAAATAATCCCCTATACCTTGTAAGGACCCAACCTTGAAAACTTTCCCATTAAAAAAAAAAGAGAAGAAAAAAAGCAAATATGATGATTATCGTTCCAACAGTCCCATATATCAAATCAACCCAAATCGCCCCGTTTCTTCGCATCCAACAGGATTATAGAGTAATACAACCAAGGTACAGTCAGACTTCAAAAAAGTAAACACTCCAAAGTCAACTCTCCTTTTTCACTATTACTCTTCTTCTTCTCCACCTTGTTCGTCTTCATCAACGTGCTTCTTGAAAAGCGCCTTGAGGCGATGCACGGCCGTCTTGCCCCAGTCGACGAGAACACTCCTGCCGCCGAGGATGCCGTCACCCAGACCAGTCACATTCTGGTGACGATGCAGTGGCGAACCTGCTCCCCAAGGATAGTTTGGGTTGCGCGGCATTGTCTCTTCTGATGGGATCGCCACTGTGGGCACGGGGTAGGCAAATCCCTTGGAGCCGGACTCATGATCCTTTGATGTAGTTGAAGTCTCAAATGTTGTCGGGAGCGGATAAGGGTAAGTATCTAGTGTGAGAATGAATGTGTTAGTTTATCAAGAGAGATCATTAGTGGTAAGAGTACGTACGGGTTCGAGTATAAGCAACTGTTGCGTTTGCATATGTGCCATTCGCTGTGCCTGTCGTGTTGCAAGTGGATGTATACAACGGGGTTGGCCGAAGCGAAGACTCTGGCGCGCCTGTTGTCAATGGCATAGCCCAGCATCGAGTGAGCGTCGTGTTTCCGCTTGGGAAGCGGGTGCAGGTGGTTGTGCTGTCACTGATGTTGGGATATGGGTATACCCATGAATGAGTGCAGGGAGGAGTTGCAGTGGTGCTGTTCGGGTAGAGCGTCGTGACGATAACGCTGCCCGTGTGACTGGACTCATGATCCGTCGCGACGGTAGTGGTATTAGTCCATTGCGGCCCGGTGCTGGTTGTTGGCCCAGATATTGTTTCAACAATAGTCGTGACCATCCGGGTCGTGTTACCACTTGTGTGATTCGCGGACGATGATGGCGATGGCGAGATGACGGTACCAGAAAGAGCTGATGACCCTGTTGACCACGGCAGCGTTCTAGTAATGGTACTTCCAACAACCGTTACATTAGTCTTTGAAGCAGACGCAGAAGATGTTAGAGTCAGCGTGGAAACAGTAACTGTGATCATCTGAGTCGTGGTCGTGGTAGATGCAGCCGGGCCAGTTGAAGACGGCGACACCTGAGTGCTGTTAGTCCAAATGGGTCCGCTGCTAGATGCCGACGATAAGGCGCCGGTCCCAGATGATGCTGCCGATGTCGTCGACCAGGGAAGAGCTGATCCGGTTGTCAAAATCACAGTCGTCCCATTTTGAGTGATTGTAGTGACTGTAACATTGCTTGCCTGAGATGGGCCAACCGAGCTGGAGCTGACTGTAGATCCGCCAGATCCTGTTGTTAACCAAGAGGTGAAAGCAGTGGTTTTCACGATTGTTCCGTTGGTAACAGTAGTGGAAATGACAACGGGACTAATGAAGCTGCTGCTGGAGCTCACCGCTGTCCCAGACACCAGGGTTGAAGTGGATGTAATCCGGGATGTGTTTGTCCAAGATGAGGGAGACACCGTCACCGTCGATTCAGATCCACTCCATCTTGCGGTGGAAGAATTGGTAAGCGCAGTGACAGTCGCAGAGCTGAGCGGACCCGAGCTTGCTGTTCCAATCGAAGAGCCTGTATTGGTTTTGGTAATGGTGATGGGGACGATTGATGAACCACCGGTTGGAGCAGCGGTAGTTATCCAGACGGTAGATAGATTGAAGGAATTGGTGAAAGACCACGTCAAACTTCCGCCACTTGCGCTACCTGATTTGGATGTTGAAGACGGCCTGGAAGTTGAGTTTGTTGCAGGTAGAGGACTGAGAGTGATTGTAACAACACTAGCAGTCGTTGAGCCTGTGCCACTAGGGCTGATTACAGTTCCTGACAGGGTCTCAGTGACATTGCGAGTCGTGGGGAACGGGGGGGCGCTGGAACCTGGAGGCTTTGTGGGCTGGCTTGTCCAAGAGAGCCACGTCGTGTTGGAAAGCGTAAATGACGTGGGAGATGTTCCAAGGGTACCAGATTGAGTAAAGTTCCAGGTGGGAGGGACAGAATGGCTGGGAATGATTGACAGAGAAACTGAAACTGTCGGTGCTGTGTTCCAGACCGTTGAAGTCACGACTTGCCCAGACGATGAAGTAGTATTGATGAATGGGGGTCTGCTCGAGGTGGATGACCCAGATCCTGTGCCACTACTCCAGATTGTGGTGGTAACAACTTGCCCAGACGACCCTGAAGACAGAGTTGTATTAATAAATGGTGGTTGGCTAGAGACGGTCGATCCAGAAACTGTCGTACCGCTACTCCATATTGTTGTAGTAGTTATAACTTGCCCAGTCGACCCCGAAGACAAAGATGTGTTGCTGAAGGGGGGCTGACTAGAGATGGCTGAACCAGACGTCGAACCGGATCCTGTCGGTGCACTATTCCATATTGTTGTAGTTACAATTTGACCAGACGACTCTGAAGACAGAGTTGTATTACTGAATGGTGGTTGGCTAGAGATGATTGATCCACCCGTTGATCCAGAAGCTGTTGCACCGCTACTCCAGATTGTTGTAGTCACAACTTGCCCAGACGACAAGGAATACGAGGTCGTATTGATAAATGGCGGTTGGCTATTCGTGGCCGTCTTGGTTATCGTTCCGTTGGAACTCACCGTCAGGGACCCGGCCGTTGTCGAGACAGTAGAATTGCCAGAACTCGTCACGCCACCCGTAGGAGTAACAGTAATCACCACCACGGTACCGGCAGGGCTAGAAGCCGCCGTCGAGTTGGCAGAGCCTGAGCCCGAGATGGTCGAGGTGATGGTTCTGACGCCCGTCTGTTCTGTAGCAGTCGTATTCCAGGGAAGCTGGGATCCCGTAGTGGATACGGGACTGGAAGGGGCAGAAGTCCTATTGACGGCCCCTGAGCTCCAAGGCTGGGCGGTTGAGACAGACGGCGCCGTCAATGTCAGCGTTTGGACAATAGTGGTGGAGTTGAGCGTCCAGGCAGAGGTTGTAACCGTAAGATGATCGCTTGTTTGTGCCGCGGTCTCAGTCACGGTAGACGTTGTGTTGACCCATGATGCATATCTGCTCCATGTCCCTGTTGAAGACGATTGAATCTCGCCAGAGGGCGTCAAGCTAGAATGACCAGTGCCAGTTGGACGAGTTGTGGATTGCGAGGTTACCACAACGGTACCATTCGTCTGTGTGGTCGAAGTAAGAGAAGAGACGACGGTGCCGTTGTTGAGTTGCGATGTTGATGCAGTACCAGGCACAGATGTAACGGTCACTGTTGCCCCAGATGATGTTGGCGAGGTTGATGTAGTAGACCAGATCGTTGTCACGTTTGACTGAGCCACTGTGGTACCAGAGGTGGTGCTCAGAGTAACCGTAGTCTGATTGTCCGTAATCGGCAATGCAGAAGAGCTTGAGTGGGCGTTGGATGCCGATGGTGATACGGTGCCTGACAGGGTCAGATTTGGAAACAAAGTAGCCTCGGTGGTGCTGATTGACGAAATTCCTGTCCCACTGCCACTGGGTGACCCCACGGTAACGGTGACTACAGATGAGTTTGTGAATCGATACGTCGAAGTAGCAACTGATGGGCTACTTGACGATGGCCACCCGCTGATAAGAGAGGACGAGATGTTTGACAAGGTTCCTGTCGAGATTGACGAGGTAGTACTAGCCGCTGATTCAGAGGCTGTGATCACGATGACAGTTCCATTCACGGTACTCGTGATACCTTGGCCCGATGCTGTGGTACCGGTAGGTCTAGTAACCACAGATGTCAAGGTAAGATTTGTACCATTGGTTGCCGAAGAGGTTGACGACGCTGTTGTCTCTGAAGCAGATGAAGTAGGTGCGCTAGTCGACAAAGTTGAATTTCCAGACAAAGAGCTTGAAAAAGTCAATTGGGTGGAAGTCTCAGAGAATGGTCTCGTCAACGTCACTCCAATTGTGGTCAATGTGACAGTGCGTATGGTTCCATTCTCAGTCAGCTGGCTAGACAAAAGCTGTCCTGTTGACGTGCTCGAGGGTGGCAGTGTAGAGTTGAGCCATCCCGTGATAGTGGACACGATGGTAGAACCAGGCGAAGAAGAGCCGGCCGTGGAACTAGATATAGGTCGAATAGTGCCGGATTCGCCTTCAGTCAATGATCTAGTCGACTCTGTAGAAGTTGTAGACGCCACGGTCGAACGAACAGTTCCATTCTCAGTCAACAAAGTAGACGACAGGCTTCCAGTTGACGTGGAAAGTGACAATGTAGCGTTTGGCCATCCTGTTGTGGTAGACACAGAGGCAGATCCAGAGGCAGATCCAGAGGCAGATCCAGAGGAAGAAGAGCTTTCTGTAGAGCTAGAAGAAGATACAGGCCGAACAGTACCTGATTCTTCTTCAGTTAAAGATCTGGTCGAAGACTTGGTGGACACGCTAGACGTTGCTGACGATGTGCTCAGAGTAGACGTTACTTTAGATGAGAACGAGTAGCCCTCGTGACTAGACGACACTTGCACAGTTTGTGCTGTAACGAACGTGGTAGAAGCCAGTGATACAGTAATCGTCTGCGTTGTTAGGCCAAGAGAGGACTCTGTGACTGATGATCCTTCTGCAGTTGTCGACGAATGGCTCTTGTCGGAAGTAGACGATCCAGTCACTGTTCCGGCCGACGTGGAGGATTTGCTTTCAGAAGATGTCTTGGTACCAGTTGAGTGAGTGGTAGAAGCAGTTTCTGTCTTGGTCACATTGGAAACAGTGCTTGTAGAAGATCCAGCGGGAGGAGGAGGGTCTGGATGTAGGTTAGTCCTTAGTCCATGAACACAAATATGCAGAAAGAATCGCGGTATACTCACAGGCCCCATATTTGGTGGTGGTGGTAGCAGAAGAAGTTTCTTCTCCATAGGGAGGAGGATAGTAACCATAGTCACTTGGTTCGCCGTAGTTGGCAGCACGGGGGGCCAAGCCTTGGAAATGGCTTGCATCACCATTGTTGCGATAATCCTCGACGGCAAGACGATGAACCGCAAGCTGGGCCACAGTGGTAGAAATGCCAGCCAAAAGCAGAACCACCGCTGGCACAAGGCCAGCAGATAATATCGACGCTCTCATCGTGGGTGGGGCGTGGATGCTATTCACTGTCAGAAACAATAGGCTGCACCCATTCAAGAAGAGCTCACCTTTCTCCCGACAATGAATATTGACAGAGTGGAGAAGCTCGATGCTATTATTGACAGAATTGACAATAAGGAAACGCAAATGCTGAATGAAGTGCGATGGAAATGCAACGAGGCAAGGAATTAGCGAACGAAGGGTGTGAGTTGAAGAAAGTTGCAACTCCTCCAGGATGGGATGGGGGCAGAAGAAAAAGAAGAAGCGAGAGAAGAAGAGAACGCGTCAACAGCGCGTTATAGAATGGAAACAACACGCGCGAGCAAAACTGTTCGCAGCTGGCAGCCCACAAGTGAGAGAAAAGTGAAGCAGCTCTGGCAGGAAGAGAAGAGGCAGCTCGGATTCCCAGGTACACCTGGCCGGGACTGGCCAATAAATGGGAGACTCGAGCTGCCAGCTGCCAGCCCATAGCAAGATATGCTGTTCTCCCTTCTCCCCTTTCTCTTCACACAGATCCCCATCAGCTACGACCACCCATGGCTGGTTGCCAGCCGGTCACACGTCCCAGCTGAGATGGACGCTGCTGAGCCTCTCTTCCCGGCTCGTTCCCTCCCGGAAATCATACTCCTGAATTGAGCAGTGCTGTGTTGTTACAAGGGACCATCCCGAGTCCCCTCCGACGCTTCGCGAGTCCATGTCTCGGTCATACTGCTGATAAGGATGGCCCGGCATCGTGGGCGTTCACAGTATCAGATTGATGACGACGGAAGTCCCAGCAGAGCTCCCTGATCCGGATGCCACCGCCAATCCACGCCTCCTCATTCGCCACGATCAGGTTCAGCAGTGCACAGCCAGATCCTGCAGCTGCTGCAGAAGCAAGCCAGGGGTACACTGAGATCTGGGGCAAGCTGATATGACCCGTTATCGAGATCTCGCACCCTTCCATGCAAGGTTACAAAACGCCACGATTCAACCGTTTTGTGTGACGGGTCGAGGTCAAGACAGCCGTGCCGAAGACGAACGCGCCAGAGGCCGCTCTTGATGAAAAGGCGTCGATGATGTGTCCCAAGTTATGAAACGAGGAATTGCGCGGCCCTCATACTCTGTATGAGAATCCAAATCTTAATACTTAGGTGGACCGAGGTCTTGTCTATGCTGCGTCTTTAGTATGGAGAGATTGATATATACCAGAGCGCCTCTATCTGCTCCCGTCATTCAATGGCTGGCCATGGTGAACAATGCACACTGGGGCACTGTTATACACGGACTTGAGCTGCACTGCTATCGCCTACAGCTGGACACAAAAGGGTTGCCCGTCGTATAGATGTAGGAGAAGACGGACCAGAGTTGCCGTGAGAGGGCCATCGGAAACACAAGAGATCCATGCTGATAGCATTGCCTCATGCTGAAAACGTGCCCAAGTCGTCGGATACTAGATGCCCCCTCGCTCAACTCTTGTTTTGGCCGAACAATGCACCGGGATATCTGGTGAGATATCTCCTGGACTCGGTCGTTTACCTCCCGCCATCTTCCTCGCACACGCCTTCTCGCATAATGACAGGACGTCTTGTGTTCTCACAACAATGAGGCTGTATCACCTGAAGAGCCTAGCTGCAGGTATAGACGAGTGTAACATCCGAAAACAAATCCACGGCGGGAGGGAAGACTGGAGCCCAACTTGATTAAATCGCCATTCATGTCCCCTGTCCAGCGATGCCTTCCGTGTTTCAACTTAATTTAGACCGCAGAGAGCTTAGCTGTGCATGGAGCCGGCTTGATCGATGCGGACACGGTTTGGGGGGAAATTCAAGAGCAAAGACAAAAGAGCCTCCGTCTAGTAAGACACATGTTAGCATGCGTCAGGATAAGACAGTATGAGACGAAATCCCCTGAGTTGCCACCATAGAAGAGGTCTCGTCTTGGCTGAAAATATCCGTGGCACTGGTGCTAGTGAGAATTTGTCACATAAAATACCGAAATATGGTCGCTTCAATTACATGCTATCATTTACGTTGCCAGGTTAGGCCCGTTGAGGAACACAGGTGTTCCCGGGATAATCCATAAATAGAAGAGCCAGCCGCATTTCAATCGTGGCTGGAAATAAACAATACTAGCTGATTGCCCGGCAGCAAACATCGTAAGAACCCCTGTCCCGTGTCCTTGGTCGTTTATTGGCATCGTGTTGCCAAGGTCCCAATCGGCTGAGAGATGAAACAGCTCACTCGAGGCTTTCGGCTGCGGCCTGTCTTAGCTTTGGAGCAGTCTCTTTAACCATGGGGTTATTTTGCGACTCAATATCAGCAGCCCAAAGAGCAGCGCCCACTAGATGAGTCAGTATTGAAGCAACTTGGCTCGTCAAGTATCCATACCGGTATTTGTGTAGGAGAAGAAGACAGACACCACAGGTATCATCTCGAGAAGGGTAGCAACGACACCAAACCTGTGTGGCAATTAGAAATAGTTTTCACTTGGAAGGATAGAATGGTGTCTAAGACATACGATGCATAGGCACCACTATGGGTATCGATCCACTGCTTCCTTTGCAAGTCGGACCAATTCTTGAGCTGAAAATACTAAAAGTCTGTTAATACATATCCCGTGAATATCACACTTTAAAGAGAAGCCGTACTCGACTATGCACAATGTTTCCCCTATGTTTTCCTGTTTCAAGCATCAGCAAAGAAGCTACTAAAACGTGGAGATATTGGTCACTGACCATGGAGAAAAATAAAGGCCGCGGTGCCCACGAGAGGGATGAAGTTTAGAGGCAGATACATGACATATCGGATCATTTCTGTGAGGCTCAACTTCTCAAATCGCTTTTTAAAAACCTTGCCCAGCTTCTTCATAGGGTCGCTACCGGCATGAACCTCTCGGCCCTGCTGGACGACGGCCGTTGCGTTTCTGGCAACCATTGTGCCATCAAAAGTGTCCATGAGAGATTCCTGCAGTAGCCAGGTGCGAGATATCATGTGAATGATGATGGAACTTTCATTCAGCGTGAGGAGGACTGTCGTGTACACTGCCAGTGGGCCATTGAAAAGCGCCATGACGGCGAGCTGAGGGAGGTAAGTAATCACAAACATGGCGCCAATGACCGAGGCTGTGAGCGCGCCATAGGGAACAATTCGGTCGAGCAATGGCTTCCATAGGCTCCGGTGGGCGATGAAGTAGAAAATTCCCTATCGCGTTGATGGTTAGACCGGTGACTATCAGAAATGAATGGCGGTAATATTGAATCCGTCATTTTACCTTGATGGGATAGAGATATGCCCGGCTCTGGACGGCATCAGTGGCCATTGCCCTCGCCTTGCCATAGTCATCTGTGCTAGTAGCCATCAGCATCGCAGCATCTTACTCCAACGATGGCCGTGCACACTTACAGAACATGTTCAGCCCTCCTGCTGATCGAATCGACGACGCGGTTGCGCAGCTTGGGCTCGGATTCAGACATTGCGCCGAAATGCTAGCGCCAGGGTTTCCCGTTTTGGGAGTTGCTTTGTCAAAAGTCAAAGAGGGTGATTCCAAAGGAAAACTGGAGATGCAGAGAGAAATGCAAGCAATGGCATTCAGATGCTGTATCTATGAGTCTGCACAGCTTCCAAGTTGAATGACGGCGAGCTTGCTCGCGGCTGAGGTAATATTCCAAATCGCCATAGTGTCGTCATTGGCATGTGCATGTGGGGCCCACTTCCCGACCTCAACTCTTCTCAAACCAGCAATATGAAGCTATTTCCCAATCCATCTTCCCCGTCTTGCACCACTTCAACCACTGACATCCAGCCGCTTGCTAAGATGCTCGCCTGCAAACTGGCTCGCACCAATGGCCAGCAGCAGATATGCGTTCACAAGCTGACTAGGAAACCAAATCGCGCGGCGCCGTCCCAGGATGCGGCCGTCCAAGTGCCACACGGCAGAGTCAGGCCACCACGATAAATCCACGTCCACGTCCAGGTATACGCCCTGATTAACAAGTATGATTAGCAAATCTACCGCTGCTGTCCCTAGCTTTAAAGTCGGCTGTTGAGCATTCCATTGACCGCATGGATATGGGACCAGCACCAGGTCTAAACCTTGGATCACAGAAATCATAGCGCAGGAGCACATACCAAATAACCAACCACTACGGTCCTTGGGGCACGAACCTTTGGAGTTGATGAAAGCTTTTTTGGAGCACGTTCTTAATACGATGCCTCCTCAGCCTACTTATGAAGTTCACGAGATGTTTGGTGGCTACACGGGAGGCCCAACTAGCCTTGCCGACTTGTTTTTTCGACTGGCGGACCTCTATCCAGATGTCCAGGTTGTAGGTCACCCTCTTATGCACTAGACGAAGCAGTATCTAGAAGGCGACAGAGGCGAAGTCAAGATTACAACCAGAGTGGGAATCAGCAGCGAGAAATTGGCCCGGGACGCACTCACAGCCTGCTTGAGCAAAGACGAGAACGATGTCAAGGCCTCGTTGTCCAACATGCCGACTGTGCTTGGCCCCAAATCAGACTTGAAGCAGGATCAATATGGGTCAGGATTTTGGGAAGGCAGGGCTCACACGCTCTCTTCCATGAGGCTGATGCGCCACTATATCCCAGAGAGCGCCGCTCTTCTCGAAGGCTTTGTGCCGTGCTCGATCTCCAGACCGATGGGAACTGGCCCAGAAATGTCGCACCTGCTGGCGATGACGATCCATTCTTAATGCAGTGGTGCCATGGGGCCCCTGGATTTGTTGTCTCCCTTAAAGCTATATGGCCTTATTTCCCTGACATACAGGGGCGAATTGATGCTGCCATAGCCAACGCGCAAGAGGCCATCTGGAATACGGGTTGATAAAAAAAAAAAGCCCAGTATCTGTCACGGCGTTCTTGGAAATGCATTGCGAGTATCTCATCTCCTCGTTTCGGTAGTGCTATAATAACATTTGAATAGGACTCTACCTCAAGGACCGCGCAGAGAGCACTTCTCATCTCTGGCGACGGTCGAAGCCATTGAAGAAGCCAAGCGATTGGAGCCTGGAGTTTTCAATCGCACAGATTACGGCCAAGGCATGGCATCACCTTCAAATATCACTCCACTGCGGCTTAGACTTGGGCAGTCTGTGGACAGGAGGATCCTTTGATGCTCATTCAAAAAGATATTTGATGAAAACGAGAGATTTTCGGTTTGCTATCGAGAGATTTGCGATTATAGTTTGGTCGGTCCTACAAAATTGCGGTATGCGCTGACATCACCCTGACTCAAATCTCCCGTGGCGTTTGTTTTTGATGTTGCTTCGATGTCCTCAGTCAGAAAGTCGTAAGTGGTTTGCTTTTCCTCAGTGGATCTTGAATGTAAGTTTTTGTTGGGATGTATTTGACAACTCTGTCCCACATTGGCTTGGCTTCCGCATCGAAGGATAGGCTTCAATTATGTGGTTTGAGTTGTTGAAAGTAGGCGCCATGTCCGTGATATATATACTGCCATCAGCCACATATACGTGCACTACGTCCTTGACTTGGAAAAGAGCTCCTGTTGATAGTTGGTTGCGGAGTAGTCGCAATCGCGGTCCGATTGACCTTGTTGGGTGTGGCGCAGATTCCAGTCATACATAAAGTTTGACTCCCACTAAGTTGTCTCGACCAATTTTTATTCTTGAATATATGAAACTGTGTCCATTATCGCAAAAGTGTAAAAGAGATTTCGTGATTTCTGTAGTCCTTTTCCCATTCTACCCTAATCTGTTTATTCTAGTTCATGTACTTACGCGTAAGCAAAGTAGACATAGCCGCGGCTCTCCAAACCGGGCGTCAAGTACCAGTATCGTAAAACCTCTCAACGGTCCCTTTGACGCCTCGCGCATGAAAAGATTCTTCCAAGCAGAGGCGTGTATGTAATGTGAGATCCATCAGAGCAGCCGGGCAAAGCAAAAATAATCGATCAAATAAAATAAACAATTTAAAAAAAAAAAAAAAATACTACGAGATAGTGGACCAACGGGCCATATTACATGCATCAATAGCTTCGAGAACACTTTGATGTACACGCCCGAATCTCCAACTACCCGCGTATCGAACGATTTTCCTCATCCTCACTTTGATCTGCCGGTCTCGCAGTATCGGTTACAGGCACGGTGATGTCACCAATGGCCAGTTAGCATTGCCGGTAGCCGTGGCTATCGTCAAAATGCAAGCAGGCCGTCGTCCAGACTTACAGACGTAGCTGAAGGATGTGCCTTTGCCGAGCCATTGCCGACAACCGCTTTCCTATTCGGGCATCCCACGATGTCTCTGCACGCTCCACGAGAGTCGCGCATGCACACTAGATTAACTTTCTCCAACCATCTAGGCCTACAAGTATAAGCCCTGGGCGTCGGTGGTGCCGCTGTGGGGACCCGTGAAGCTGGCAAGGTTTCGGGTCGGCAAGGCGCCCAATGCTCGGAGATCCACCGCTATAGATTAGAACGACTGCTCACTCCCATTTTTATGATTGCAATTGGCTGTACCAAGTAAATTCGCCCCTATGATGCGATAAAAAAGCCTTGGCTTATGTAGGGTTTGTCTGTCTGAAACGATTCAAAACGATGCTGCAATACTGAACGAAAAGGAGGGGGGATGCACGCATGTCGTCACAGCAAACATTTCTTCCTCCCAAAGGCACCACCGACAGCCACTTGAGTATTGTAGACGCAGAAAAGGCACTAGGCCCGGAATGGACACGGCACTTGAAAAGTGGCAAGGGGTCCTTTTGGCGCGAAAGTCGTATCAGACCCACGTTTCGGATTTGTAAACCGGGCGGCAAGGCTGTCGGCTGAAGAACGCATCTAACTCGGCAACGCACGATGAGAGAAGAGGCAGAGAAGAAGAAGCAGAAATAGAAGAAGAGAATGTGGCGTCTTTGCCTGCATGAAGACCCCTGACAGCCCAATCCATTGCCGGTACGTACCCAGGCCTCAGGAAAGGGCCAAAATAACACACTTGATCAACTTTTGCTTTATGCAGCGTACGATGCGGCCGGTGGTCGGTGCCGAAACGGCGTGTTACAGAAGCTGAGAGAGCGCGGAGATAGGAGAAGCTGAAGCTGAGAGAGAGGGGTTTGTCTTTTTTTTTTTTTTTAATTGTTAAATGCAGATGAGAAGCGACAGACACCCCCTAAAAGAAAAAAAAAAAAAGGACGCAAATAGAAAAAATCAACAATTAAAAAGGCTCACGAGAGCTGGCTCTTCTGAATCAAGGGCGTAAAGCCGCGGGCGTTTCCTCCTTCAGGGAAGTCTCTCTCTCTCCCCCATCGGAGCAAGGGAGAAGGGGGATCTCAATGTCAGCGTTTGATTGGACGGTTTTCCTCTGAGCTGCTCTTCCTGGCACAGAGCCAGAGGAAAAAGTCGCAGATATGTCACGCGAGGCCAATTTGGCAAGTTTCCGCGGAGATTCCGCTTAGGAAGCCGAATTGGCCAGTCAGCGTCGAGCGTTTACTTCCAGAACGGCTCAGTTCCGGTACTTGCAACAGGAATCAGCTCAAAGTGGAGTAGTGAAGAAACCAATTAAAGAAAAAAACGAATTAAAAAAAAAAATATCGGGAGCAGAATCGGCAACCTGTCGGCATAGTGGAGACGGAGGAAGCTCGAAGTCGCGAGGCTTTCCACTCCCCACGCCGGACTTGTGAAGGAAAAAAAAAGAGTGTGTGGCTACCTGTGCCTGAAGCGAGAAGCAAGGCGACCCGTTGGACGGAGCGCTCCCTACTTGAAGCCGCGCCGGAGTTGAAGAGCAAGGGGGCCGAAGGGGTGGGAAGGGGGGACGATGTGAGCCACGATCGACGATCAGAGTTCCATGATGTGAATGGGAGTGGAGGGGGGGGGGCGTGTAGAAGATGCAGGATGAATATGAAGAGTTGTTTATGGCTCTTGTTAGTGGTGAAAATATCCAATTGGCGCGGGTTGTGATTTGTGATTTTTGACAAATGAGGAACAGAGAATTATGAAAGAGTTCTTTGAAAGCAACTCCATCAGAAACAATGATTCCAGCTCTATACCTAGATACTATAGATTTGTCTTACACGCAGGCAGATCGCCTCAAGCCTTGCCTTACGCCTATGGAGACCTTTCGGATATAAGGCTTCACTCTGATTCGATCACCCATATCATCATCCCCAGGAAATCGCATCATCCCAATGATTTACAACCAGTATCTCTTCTATTGTTTTCTTCTTGATTTTGTTACTCCAGATAATCGGAAATAACCAACAAATGGGAACGACAGCCCACACATCAACTTACGCACCCACAAGGCTTAGAAAGATACCTACAAGGAAAGATTCATGCAACCCGGAAGATTGCCTAGCCTCGCAATCTAGAATGCCAGTCGATTACCCCAGAGAAACGCAAAAAGAGGTCATGAGAATGGAAAGAAAAAAAAACGGGAACCTCGAAAAAGCAGAGCCAGATGACAGGATTACCAACGCGAGGTCAGGCTCGGTGACGTAGGTCTGTAAAGCCCATTTTCGCTCTGTTTGGGCCTAGCACCGGAGCTTTCCGTCTGCGTTCTGACTCTCAATATTGAAAGCACGCTTGACTCTTCTCTTCTCTTCTCACACTGGGCTGTCTCGTCCTAACCAATTCACGTTACTAGTCCAGTTGTGGTACTTTCCCTCGGCAAAAAGAGAGCCCTTCTGCATCAAACATCAAGGTACGTACTGCCTGCCCGGGTCGGCGACCGATCTCCCGTCCCATCGGAGAGGCTAGAAGCCCTGAGCGCGAGGTTCCCAAGGGGTCGATGAGAGGGTGTCCCGAACCCCCTTTTTAGCTCCAAGTTTGTAGAGGCGAATGACTAGTCTTGCGATCGGGTTGTGAGTATGGATATTTTTATTCTTGTTTCTTTTTTTTTATTCTAATTTATTTCGAATATGTAGAAGCACTGTAAATCGGGAGAGTGAGACAGACACGCCCCCCCCTTGATCAGAAAGCCTGTAAATCTCGCAACGGGCTAGCCTTGCGCGGGTATCGCTCATCCTGGCGTCTTCTTCCATGCTTCTTTTGTTTCCAGTTCTCACTCCCCCGCGGAAGTCGTAAATCCTCGGCGCCGGTAATAGGAGAATAGGCATCGACCATGTATCCCCATGGCTGCCATGCTTGGATGGAGCTCTGTGTCCAGTGTCTCCCACGCGAGCTCATATAACTCCTGGCTGCACAGCAATAGATGCCAGGGAGCTCGGAGATGTGAAATGCTGCTAGAGGATACTATTATGTACTCAAACGTACGAGTTGTCAATAGCAGAATTCGCGCATATGCAGAGAGCTCTGTAACAAATCTCCTGCAGGTAAGTACAGGTTCAACGGCACTCAAATTAATAATAGCAGCAGCAACACTGTACTGCCGATTGAACTGGCGACCTAAGCGAGGGCCCTGTCAATGGCCGCCATGATATCATTTCTGCACGTCTCTTGCGGGCGGCAAAGACGGCCTTAGCGGAATCGCAGAATCAGTCTGCAGCAAAGCCCTTTCCGCAGAGGGCAGTTTTGAACGACCTTTGAGGCTTCAGCCGAGCAGGTACCGAATAAGCGTCCGCTGTGGGGAAGCAGAATTAAGGGTCAGGTTGCCTTCGATTCTTTCTAGAACGATGGATCGAAGCGCATCGACTCCGTTGTCGCCTTGGCTCTTGTTTCTCTTGTTTCTTTCGCCTCCCGTGCACGAGGGCGTGCATTTTTAGTGTGAATCATGGAACATGGTG